CTCCCGAGGTAGTATCCCGCGACGTTTCGAGCTGAGGCAAGCTGATGCCCAAAAGTGATTTATATTAGGATTCTAAAAAATCTTTGTTTGCCCTGCGCGGAATCTATGTTTAATTAGGAATATCATTTTATGCATTTCTATGCATTTCTTTTTGCAGTAAAGCGTTGTGTAAGGGATTATTTAGAAAAAAATTGCGTGTCATCTCCTTATTTCTGCACATTTCGTGTATTTGCCTTCCGATATATCATGTGACCACAGTGTTTTTTGGCATGCCCTGCAACCCACTATTTTACACTGCAAAACAGCTAACAAAAGCACGTTGCCGAAAACACAACAGCTGGCGTATTTTCGAGTATCGTCCTTCCGTGTCGGTCTCAGGCGGTTATGTGAACCTCATAAAGTCAAATTTATCGATGATAATAAAAATATACTTAATTCCTGTCTGAAGATTTGGCAGCATAAATAGAAGATTCTCACCTCCAAGATATATAAGCAAATGCGCCTTTAAATTATCTGAAAGATGTTCGGCAAATATTTTTCGGCGCTTTTATCCTCTATAGACACGTTATAGGTGATTTTGAAAAGATATAAATAATGTTTTTTTATTATTTTGAAGCTAATTTAAATAACTATGTGTGTTCCTCACGCATATATAACTTCTCAAATATATATAAGTTTATTATCGCGTTTTTTATGTGTTTTTACTATCGCCTTTTTTTACTGCATGGAACGAGTGGTGGAACTACGACGATTGCACACAAACTCTCAGAAAGTGTCCAATTAGGTAGCTTCCGAATTGAGTAGAGCATGAAATACCACTTTGTTCTATTTAACAAAAATCATCAATTAGCGAGGGTGATGCTTATTTGCAAATTAAATTGACCTGCATTTTGTCAAGAGCAAACCTCAACATCCAGGCTATACCAGTTTATCCAATATAAGAAAATGTTCACATGGGTAAGCACTGTTTCAGGTCAGATTCGATCTCAGTACTAAGGTGCTCATAGGTTAGAGTGAACAATTTCAGCCACTCCTTTTCGCATGATTCGTCGCCCGCATCATGGTGCTGAGAGCAAACAATATGCTAGTTAGAAAAACAAGCATTGCGATTGTCGCTGAGTGTTTCTATAAAATATAGACTGGAAGGACTTGTCCCGTGACTTTCGTGACATTTTGAAAATTATATTCCCTTAAGCTCAGTCGTCTCGTCATCATATATATATTGTGAAACGTATTCCGTAAAACACATGTCATGATATATATGGCGACGAGGTGCCCATTTCATGATTGTATTCACTGTAATTAATTCCTTAGTTCAAGGGCAAAACCACGATTCAACATCTAATACTGCGATACAAAGTTGTACCAATCACGGGTATTTTAGGCAACCTACTTCACTTCCGAAAACATTTAGATTCAGGTACAATGTATGTGACTCTGGTAAACGAAGGGATTTTGAGTCGTATAAACACGAAGTTTTGTATGTTAATGTAGATTTTCCTTTCTTGTTGTGTAGGAATAAATAACAGAATTTTATAATTTTGGTACCTGAGAATAAAACTGAATTGAACAAAAAATTAAAAAAAAAAAAACTATATACTGTAAACGACTATTTTTCGTGGGCTCAATATTTCGCGATTTAGGTCAAAGCTGAAGTTTTGGAATAATTCGCGGGTTGTAATTTTCTCGACGCGGTGGAATCTCAATATAAATTTCAATCTGTTTACATTTTACCGAAATTGTTCGCGGGACCCATTTTTCGCGAATTGTAGGCGATTCGCGAAATTCTCAAAAATAGGTCCTCGCAAAAATCAGATCGTTTACAGCAGTTAGTTTCACGGCCTAAATAGCGCCTATTGACAGAACAACGCGGAAAATATATTCTCAATTTAGCGGTTCAAACCGGTTCGAACCGGTTTGAACCGTTATTTTTTGCGCCCCGGAACTGAACCGGAACTGAACCGAAAGCCGTGAACCCGAACCCGAACCGAACCAATAAAAATATCGGTTCGACACTCTGACCACGTGTGCCACGCGTCCTTAAAGGGACACTGACAGGGTATTTATGCTCGCTGAGGTTTTTAGTTGTACGTGACATATGAGAGCTCAACTACCCAGAACAGAATTTGCGCCTCGAAATTCGGTTTCTTTCCGCCCGAAAACCGCCGATCAAGAACTGGCCGGTTCGAGTCTCGCTCACTCTCTTTTCCGCGGTCACGGGCCGTTTTCTAAGGTATCGATGCGACCACCAAATTTAATCGAAGTCGTGGGTCACTGAAGGCACACACTCAATATTAAAAATAGAAAAAAAATATGAAACCCATTTTTGTGGCTTCTAAAAAGCTGTAAATACGTTGATTGAAAAAAAAAAAGTTCCACAGACAACCGGAAGCATTCTGTGCGTGCGTCGTTTCGCGTATCGTGGGACTCGCGGGGCCGGCGATGGCAGCGGACGACGGGCGTGGGATCTCTATTTCAGAACTGTCGTTCGCGGTACCGGCGAATTCTGTCTACCGTTAAAAGAGAAATTTGGGACTGATCAAAAGAATTGGTATTCATCCCGTACGACACGCCCGGCCACCAAGCCGATTTGCACGAAGACGTCGCCGAGCCGTCGCTCCCTTCTCGTGGCTGAAGACATCGCTCCCGCAAACGTCAAGCACGACGTGTCTACTTCGAGTTCAATATGCACGCGTACGATTTCTTTACTAGGTGCGAATGTCCCCAAAGCGTGGTGCTTCCCGACTTCGACCCGGGAGTGCTTTTGCTAGAGAAAAATCGACAGCAAACTTTTCAACTTACAGTTTACCCGCTGAATTATTACTAAGGAAAGAGATCCACCAAAATAGCGATGTCCCAGTAGCTCAGTCGGAAAGACGTCCGGTTCACACGCGGTAGGACCGGGTTCGATCCCCCGTGTAACTTTTTTTTTTTTTTTTTCAAACATTTTCCGATGTTTACATATATATATATATATATATATATATATATATATATATATATATATATATATATATATATATATATTTACAATCATCACTGAAGAAACAAACAAAAAATAACAAACTAATGTTGTGGACGATACTTCGCTAAATTAAATGGTATGGGATTTCCGTTTTGACACCTGCGAGCTCAATGTAATCACTTTCCACAAAATGCAAGGAGCGTATAAATCAGGTAACGTCCGCTTTCCGAGGTGCCCGTATATGTTCTACAGGAATTGCAGCCAGCCGTTGGTCCCGATCCCGTTGATCTTTCTGAAACTCTGTCGCACAAGGCCACTTTTTTTCGGATGCAGGAAATGTGAGCCAGCTCTTCACGCAACATCTTGGGTGTATTCTTTTCGGAGCCGATCATGGAAATTCACCACGGGCACTCACTACTCATCTCCAACTCCTCAATGTATACAAAACAACTCATCTTGGAGTACAGAACAACGAGCGGAACAAACATAACTGCAAAAAAAATCGCACGGCGAGCAGTTCCCGACGCCGCATCGCACGCCGCATGCCCTGTCGTCTGCTACCGGAGAGGAGAAAAAAAAAAAAACAAAGAACGCACGGTCGGGTGTAGCCACGTGACTTCCGCCACTCACTCTCTTCTCTCCACTTCTCCGACCTCCGTCGGGTTTCGGTTTCGGTTTCGAAGAGTTGCGTCTTTTGGCTTTATTAAAAAAATACGCTACTCTGTTGCAAAATATTAATTGGGTAGTCCTCCGACACCATAATGAAGCGCCTGGCAAAAAATAAAAAAAATTTTTTGGGGGGTGTCAGTGTCCCTTTAACACCGATTCAGTTTCCCCACGAAATTTAGCAGTGAAAATGACGTCACGTGGCTTGATGTCACGTCACCTATGAACAAATTCAGTTAGCCCCGTAAAATTTTTTCCCGCTAAATCTAGTCACGTGACTTTAACACCAATTCAATTCCCCGCTAAATTTAACAACAAAAAAAAAAAAACTGATGTATTTTTTTTTTTTTTTTTTGCCCATGTGCTCGAAAGTTGAACTTCAGTCGAACTCGAACCTTTGTCATACATCACGTTGAAAGTTCGAAAAAGTCGAACCCTTGGTCGATCTCAAACCTGGGCAGGTTCGCGACATCCCTAGCGCTAAGTGAACGCCTAAAATTTTCCGCAGCAAAATAACCATAATCACCCCATGGAGTGCAGAATATATATTTTACAAACTCATTCTCAAAAAAGATCTTTTAAAGGGCGGCACCAAACGGCCATCAACGGAACTTGCCGCTGTCTCGCTGTCGTCTGCTGCTGCTGTCAAGCATCAAACGCCTTTCATTTTGATTTCCTAAATTTTCGTAGTCATTTGCCGGTCCTCAGCTGTGAGTTTTTTCCGCTTCACTGATTCCTGAATCAAGGTATGTAGGGGAACCAAAAACCACTTCTCGCCGCGAAAGCGGGACCCGCGGAGGGGCTCTAACCGCGGCGTGTTAGTGAAGCCTGCTGCGAGCCGTTCGTACCTAACCCTACTCGATTCTGAAACTTTAGGATTCGATCCCGCAGACATCTGTCAGCGTTAGAGTTCCTGTATAGGCTCCCTACGGGAGCCAGAGTTGCGCATTTGTTTTCCCCGCGCCGCCACGCCGCTATTCGCCGAGATCCATCACGTGAGGAGCAAAGCATCCGGTGGCGTGCAAGAAAGCCACCTTTACGGTCGCTCCGTCGACGTTTCTCTTGCCCCGGCGTATGTTTCCCTGCTTTCCACCTCCTTTTCCTCCTCTCTGTTTTCCATGCGCGGCGGCGCGTGCGGCGCCGCTATTCGCCAAATTTAGTCACGTGAGGAGCAAAGCATCCAGCTCGTGCGGGAAAGCCGGTGCTAGGGCCACGCGCCGAGGCTGAATGCGCAACTCTGCTACCGTAGGTAGCATATACAGGAACTCTAGTCAGCGTGGCTCGCGAGCGCTCCAGACGCGTCTTTGGGATGTGTGTACACTCCGAGCCAGCGTTTTATTTTAACTTTGAACGGCATTTCGTTTCAGCGACATGGACAGTGACGAGTGCGAAGCCGACGTCCCGAAGGATGATTTCTTGGCGCGCGAATATCAGGCGAGTGTGGCGTCATTTTTTTCGCTGTCTCAGCCCTCGGAAGCCCTTGATAGCCGTGAGCGTTGTGCCTTCTAAACTCGGCACTAGATGACATTGGGTAATTTTCGAGGTCACGTCCATAGGCCGCGGCCTACCGGAAGACATAAAGAAAGAACGTGGTCTCACGGATTCTGGTTTTATTCTATGTAGCATTGATAATAATGCAATTAATACAAAGCTAGCTGGACAAGAATAAAGACAATCCATGCAAAAAGGGAACAAGCTAGGGGACAAAGGACAAACTAATCTCCAAGCTCCACTAGGTGACTGCGCAACTGAAAGAACCCGCCACGGGTCTTATGTTGCACGTTTTGACTCCCACGGCGACTGTGGAGAAGGAAGTGACGTCAACAACGCAGCAAATGCAGATTGGATGTTGATTGATGAGAGATCAGTCAACATCCAATCTGCATTTGCTGCGTTGTTGACGTCACTTCCTTCTCCATAGTCGCCGTGGGAGTCCTAAACGTGCAACATAAGGCCCAGGCACAGGGGGGCTATGTTCGACAAATGTTTTGTTTCTCCTAAAAAGAAGCGGAAATGACGTTAAAGCGTCTGATTGGTTAGAGGCTTGTCATCTGAGCCTCTAACCAATCAGACGCGATATCGTCACTTCTGTCACTTCCGTTACTTTTTAGGAGAAACGAAACATTTGTCGAACATAGCCCCCCTGGTGTCGAACCAGGGACCTCTCCATTTCCATTGGAGCTGTGTTTGGAGATTTGTGTTTGTCTTTTGTTTCACTTCTCCAGGAATTATGGCCTTTATTATTGTCCAGCTCTATTGTACCTCTGCGTTAAATGCATTATTATAATAACCTTCAAATGCAGGCCGTTCACCCTTGTTGGTGTTATACTGGCGGCAGCTGTTAAAACCTATTTGTTCTACTGACGTCAAAATCCCTGGGGGGGGAGGAGGGGGGGGGGGTATGTTTGACAATGTTTCGTTTCTCCTAATAAGAAACGGAATTTACAATATCGCGTCTGATTGGCTAGAGGCTCAAATGACGAAAGAGGAAACTTTCGTCATTTGAGCCTCTAACCAATCAGGCGCGATATCGTCACTTCCGTTTCTTTTAAGGAGAAACAAAACTTTTGTCGAGCATAGCCCCCCTGGTTAGCTCATTTGGTAGTGCACTGCACTGGAAATGGAGAGGTGCCTGTTTCAGGACCAGGCAAACTTTTTAAGTCGCGTACCAGTCACCGAGTTGTGTTTGGAGATTTGTGTTTGTCCTTTGTCCCCATTGTCCCCGTTCTCCAGGGATTATTATCTTACACTTTTTCTCGTTTCTTTTTTTTTTTTTTTTTTTACGGCATTGCTGAGGTAAGTATGCAGAGTTTGATCTTAGCCAGAACTGCCAATGGCTTGGCAGATTACGCATTCAAAACCATGCGTGAGAAAAATGGGCTATAATCTCGGGCTCGAGCTTACCGCGAGCCTTTTCCCGAACGCCAATGATTCGGCTAGGTAGGCTGCCATATCGGGAAAACAAAAGCAGGATGCTGGCATTGGCCGAGACATTTTTTTTTCTTGCAGATAAACATTATTATTATTATTACTACCGCTTCCACCTTGCATCGTCTCCTACCAAAGCCCTGCCCCCCTCCCTGAATAATACTGTAAATGACAGTCTTCCTCGCCTTGTATCTTGACAGAAGGCAAATGCTAGGGACCAGAAATTCGAGTTGTATAGTTAGCATATGCTATCAACATGGTGTATGCTATTGCGAGGTTGAGGTTATGTGTGGCGTCGTTGAAGGAAATTCGCTGAAAGCAAATTGTCAGTGTATGTGCACATGTTGCCAGAGCTATAAGGTCTACTTTTTAAAAGTAATTCGGTTAACCTCTGCTTACTTAAGCTCAGTGTAATAAGTATACATGTATAGCCGCTGACGCCGACCAAGTTAATGCTAAGTTGGCACGATTTCGAAAAGTGAATGCAATCAAACATGACCACCTCCTCCTCCCCCCCCCCCCCCCCCCCAAAAAAGAATGTAACAAAGTTGTTGAAATTTAGTTGCTTAAATATTGAAGATGGCAGCGAAGGCTGACCTCTTCTCGCGGTGGTCTCACGCATCTCGCGTTCTGCTCTCGCACCTGCTTGTATACGTGGATACTTCGACGGCGATCACTTGGTAGCTCGCGCGTTCGTTCGTCATCGTGGGACATAAAAACAAATGCTGGTGGAGACAGGTATGCATACATCCTTCAAATGCTTGTCGAAGTCTTCATGTGCCTTACCACAATTTCAGGATCAGGTGAGCCAATGAATTCGGCCATTCAGCCGTCGTTCTTTGAGGCTTTTGGGAATTCAGAAGACGTTTGGCGTACCTTTAATCGCCGCACCAATAGCGTGCAGCATAAATGCAAGCTCTTGCTGTTGCCGCCGTCTCCGCGCACTCATGTCATCGAAGTATCGTCGAACAAACACTTTACGATTTTTGACGTGATGGGGGCCATGTTTAAGCGCGCGCTGGAAAGCCGGAACTGGAAACATTAAAAATATGCATCAGATGGCGCCTCGGTACGAAAAGAAAGTGAGTTCGTTAAGCTACGCTCTGAACCCGCGCGCTCGAGCGCAGATGTCTGGAGTTCACTAACTTAACGTGCCCAAATTCCCACCACCCTCTAAGCCCGACCCTCAAATCCACCTTGCATCTTAGGTGGAGCTCTTTGAGGGCGCCAAGGAGGCCAACACAATTGTGTGCCTGGGCACCGGCACGGGCAAGACCTTCATCGCTGTCATGCTCATCAAGGAAATGGAAAAGGACATCAGGGTGCCTTTCGAGGAGGGTGGCAAGAGGACCTTCTTCCTGGTGCCCACAGGTAACATGCTATAGAAGACCTTCAATGAAAGAAAAATTGATTGTCTCTGGGATTTGCCAAAGTCATTCTAAATGAGTAACATTACCTCTTCAAACTCATCCTTTTGCTGGCACAGTAAGGAGGCACCTGAAAATATATCATAAAGTCGGCACATGACACTGTGACATCACGTGATGTCACCTTGTCACAAGATGTAATGTCATGTCACGTGACATCAGTTTCATGGCACATCGCACTGTCGCATGATGTCGCACTGTTGCACGACATCACACTGTTGCACGACGTCACAGTCCCACATGACGTCGCAGTACCACATGACGTCGCGACGTCGCGGTACCACTTATCACAGCGTCACATCTCACAGTGCCACATCCACGTGTCACAGTAACACATTTCACACTGCCAGATTACACACTGCCACATGTCACAGTACCACACAACGTCGTAGGATTGACATTGCATGGAGTCATGTGACACTGACATCATTTAGGCTATGTGTCACTGATGCAATCCCTGAAGCTGGCCTTATATATGCTATGCATTTAATATTTCTAAATGCAGAAGTTGGGAATGACAACTGCTTTATTATCGGGTAGTCTTGGAACACTTCCGACTTGCGTCTGTGTGTGTTGGTGATGAGAAAAGGGAAAGGGCAATGGTGGATGTGGCTCATAGGCCTGTCTGTCACTGCCTCATTCCAACCTGCATAGAACTAGACTGAAGGTCTGCACTATTTGCGAAATTAAATCTACGCACTATTTATGCGAAATGGTCGCTTTTAACATTGTCAGAGCGATTTCGAGCCCGCGGTAAAAAGATAATGCATAAAAACGTGCAGAAAAATGTAATGCAAGTTGGAAATGTTTCAGCGCTACCCGATAGATGGCACCAGTGTGCCAGCGGTTACGAGAGATTGCAACACACCCCGCACATTCAAATGCAAATCAGTAAACCAGCCTCGAGGTGGACTATTGTCCTATCTGCGACTTCATGACCAGGATTACCATTAGACCCATTGCCAAATTACCCAAGCATCAAGAAGAATGCAAGGATTTGTGTTTTACGCGCTGCACGTGCCGGCCTCAGCAGTAGTAACTTTTCAAATGCATAAAACAAATTGCACCTTGCATGTGCGTTCGTTGACACCTTATTTCGGTTATTTACTTAAAATCTTTCATACGGGGAAGGCGTGCGCATGTGGCGCGTGGAACCCCAATCCCTGCATTCTCCTTGATGCTTGGGTAATTTATCAATTGGTCTATTGCCAGCAACAGTTTTTGACGGTGCGCGTAAAAAGCACAGTGGAAGCTTGGACCTATCGCATCCTTAAACCAAGACGTTAAAGGTCAACAGTCTGACATTCCTCTTATCTCCATTAATGAAAGTAGAATTCATCGTACTCAGGATGTCGTAGCGAGCGTTTAAACAACCGTGGAAGGTCGACCGCAGCCACATGTCATCAATAGTCATGAACAGCATGAAACTGGCGTCACTTTGGGATGCCCCCAGCATGCACTTGTTCCCCTTCAACATACTTTGGCTCTGCCTCCTCCCTGCTATTCTCATCTGTGACTAGAGTTGTGTGTGTTTCGTCAGCTGTAACGTTTGCTTTCCATGTTGCTTGATTGGCAGTGCCCCTGGTGGCACAGCAGCAGAAAGCCATCCAGGCCCACACGTCGCTGCGCGTTGGCGGCTACATCGGTGGCATGAACGTGGACAACTGGGATGCTGCGCGCTGGCACAAGGAGTTTGTCAACTCTCAGGTGAAGCTCCTTTTCTGTCGGCTCCCTTTAGCACTTATACCGCGTGGGAGTATGAATGCTCCAAGCGGAAATTGTACGCAAATGGCAGCATCGGTTTGGACGATAAGGTAAACATTAGTTATATGTACAGCCCCCTCCCCTTTAAAAAAAAGCAAAAAAACATACAGGGTTTTTTGGTGCAGAAATAAACGACTTATCACAGAACGTTCATTTGACGCCCAAATACCGAGCACTGGCGGTTCGAACCAGACGTGAAAGTTTCATTACTAACAGTTGTTCAAAAGTTGTAAGGGAATTTCTTAAAATTTCAGCAAGACGATGGTGCCCATTCTCGGTAACTGGCACCATTCAGCTTTGTGTGTTGTAGGGCGCCATTCTGCCATAGAAATTTTCATAAAGTCGCTCGTAACTTTTGAATAAGACGACTGTTACTTCTGAAAATTTGGCATCTTGTTCGGACCTCTAGCACTCCATTTGGGCGGGGAATGAGCTTTCAGCAATGCATAATTAATTTTTTTTGGTGAAAGCAACCCTGCAATACTTTTTGGGGGGGACGCCCTAGCTGTATAGTCACTGCCAAAATGAAAATGGCGGGGAGGGGTGCAGGGCCGTAACCAGGGGGGGGGTTAGGGGGTTCGGACCCCCCCGAAATTTGTTTCTGGGTACGGCCCTGGTCGGTGCACTTGCAGCCAGCCGATTTTAACCTCCACCTCTGCGCACGCGCAGTGGCACCGGTCGGCACTGGGTACCAAACCGGGACCGGTTCTTCGGTTTGCTATAACTCTCCATTATATGCCACCGATGCACATGATTCATAGGCGAAAATAAGACAAAATGGCCGCCGTTGTCCTCGAAAACCCCCCCCGAAATTTTTTTCTGGGTACAGCCCTGGAGGGGTGTCAGTTATCCAAATACCCGTAGCGCAAGCTTCCCTCCTTCGATAGCACTTGAGAGTCTATGATCCTCGAGTGTGCACGTGCAGCCAAAGCACCAAGGAAGGCAGCCCTTGACTATCAATCAAATCGAGCGATAAAATTTTTAAAAAAATTTTTTATTGATGTTGGCTGTTTTACAAAGCTAAATAGACCAAACCATATCCGTCGAGTGAGTAGGGTTGATTATTTTCCGTTTCTGAGCTTTCAAGTTAATTTGTATGCATTTAGTTTTCTTCATTAACCCTTTTGCCATTGTAATCTTCCAACACCCCACCTCCCCTCTGGCGGGGGTCCCCCTCCACTTCCGCTAATTCAGAATGGGTCCCCAAAAGATTGGTGGTTGAGAACCACTGCTCTAGTGCCTCATTAGGTAATGTCTCTAAGCTTCAGTCTAGACCAGCGGTTGCCAGGTTGACCCGGCCTAAGAGCCGCAAACAAAACCACGAAACTTCCAAGAGCTGCTTGGGAGAGGAAAGGCTAGAAAAGGGGGGGGGGGGGGGGGGGGTGCAAACTTTTGTCTAGAGCAATAAACGAAATTCAAACTACTTTCAACTATCCGAGTCAAAAGCAGTCTAACTGTACGTAAGGTAGCATAAGACTGCCAACCCGCAACCTATCTTTCGATTTAAAACACGTTACATTTCTTTTTTTGGGGAAGTGCTTGTGTGACCGGGAGGGACGCGTTGGAGGGTTGGGTGGGTAGGGGAGGCAGCCGTGAGCCCCACATCAACATGCGAAGGGCCACAGCTTGGCCACCCCTGGTCTAGACACTAGGGAATTGTGCCAAGAATATATATCAAGGTGACGGTACTGGCAGGTGCTGGTGATGACCCCCGAGATCTTCAAGATCATCCTGCACCACGCCTTCCTGCCTTTGTCGCGGGTGAACCTGCTCATCCTGGACGAGTGCCACCATGCGGTGAAGAATCACCCGTACCGGGACATCATGCGCTGCATGGACGGGGTGGAGCAGGGCCTCTGCCCGAGGGTGCTGGGCCTCACCGCCTCGGTGATCAACAGCAAGACCACCGAGGCCCAGGTGGAGCACAAGATGCACGGCCTCGAGATGACCATGCGCAGCCGGGTCCTCACCGTCTCCGACCAGGCCTCCATGTCCAGGTATTAGCACAGCCCCCTTCTGGCTTCGACTTCGGCGCCTAGGAGAGTTGTCTCGAGGTATAACTATTTTATGTTTGCAGTGTACGGTCAACACCCGATTATTCGAAGCTCACGGGGACAGTGTGTGGGATCTTGCTAGCTACCAACACAGGTACCGATAAAGTAACCAAAGGGTTGTCTCAACAGCGGTGGCGATCTCAAAGGAGATATCAAACCTAGTAGCGCGGTCCCCACATCTCTGCAGCAATATAGACGACGTTTAGGGCTACATTACCGTGGGTCGGTTCGATTAATTACCTCCGTTGGTGCCAATGATAGACTACCTTGTCTCACTCTCTCGAATATAGTGGAAGAGAAGACACACGTACCAGAGTAAGGACAGTCCAAGAGCTTTTATTATAATACTCTTTTAAAAGAACTACAATGTCCCCATCCAAAATGCCCCCCGTGCCGGCAAGGTAAGAAAAGGTCTTTACTTGCCAGACGCGGGGTTCCGGAGAGCCAAGATAGGGGAAGCATTGGAGAAGTCGCCGACACACGTCCTATTTCTTTCGCGGTCGGCGGACGAGTCCCTTTCCCGAAAGCGGGAAAACGAGAGGCGAAACTTTCTCGCCTGTCAGCAGTGATCTGCATCCAAGCGGGGGGACGGAAATTGGTCCCCCCGGGAGAGAGTGAGAGGAGGAACCCCCAAGAAAAGCGGCCCTCCGCCTCACGAACAGGTCGGAGCTCACGGCGAAGGCGGCCGGGCGTTCCGACCCGCGGCCGTTAGCACAGCCATCAGGAAGGGAGACCAGAGGAATCCCCACAAGTGAAACGCTTCGAAGTAAGGGTAACTGGGAATCAAGAAATGCCCACTGAAACCGTGTGCTTTTCGTTCGGTATACTCACCAGGAAAGGTTTATTTTTGCTTGCCTCCGCCGTTTGTGCCCCCTTCCACTAACGGAGAAGCGCAATATTGACTATGCTCCGCAAATTGCAGACCTCTCCTTGTGTGCAAGCACCCTCGGCAGTTTCTTTGCCGAAGAAAATGCAAAATTCTACTCCATGGTGCCACAAGCGGACTCTACGTCGGCGGCACTTGGCCACTAAGCGCGGAAAGTGACGTGATGCCTAACCATTTGCACGATTTCGCAGTGCAAAAGCGGACTGCAAGCCATGGCATGTTTTTCGACAACAATATATTTGATGGATGAAGCCTCTCGTAGGGCTAGGTTATGCCTGAAACCAAGCTTCGTTGGCCTTTCATGCCGCGCTCACTTCCGTAACTTTCATGAAAACGGTGCCCTAGTGCATGCGTCCCCAGCCGTGCTGGCTTGGCCACTTATTTGGCTTGGCCGCCTGGCAGCTTACTAGTCTCTTTCCGCGCTCGTTTCCTTGTTTTCTTTCCGACTGCGCACTAGCTACATAAAAATTGAGAAAATTATGAAGTGTGCAGGGAACACACCTGCTTCGAATTAACCAAAATTTTGAGTCACCTTGAATTCCCGAGAGTCGACTGTATTATAAGTTTCCCTTCAAGGTCATGCAGCAACACTTGGTGCGGGTAAACGCGCGTGACCTGCGAGCTGGGGTCCAAAGGGGTCCTTGTCCGCCGCCTGCAGGTACGGCACCAAGCCCAGGGAGGTGGTTGTGGAGTTTCACAGCAGCCGCATCCTGGTGGAGCTGCCCCTGTTCAGCCCGACCAAGAGGCTGACCACCAGCCAGGATCAAGACATCGAGCGCCGTGTAGAGGACGCTCGACGTGACGCTCAACGCGTCACGTTGAGCGTCCTCAACGTGACGCACGACATGGGCCTCTGGTGTGGCCAGCTCACCGCCCAGATTTTCGTAGAAGAGGTGGGTTCCTTGGGCTTGGCTTGTTTGTTTTTTGTCTAGGCCGTTTAAACGAGGTCTTAGCTCAGTTTGACTAGCTTTGGCACGACCCTGCTGGCTTTGGTATGACCCGGCTAGCTTTGGCTGGCTTGGCTGACTTCTTGTAGTCCATTTTCAAAGATAGATGCAATTAGTGTGTGGATGGCCGAATGAAATAGGTGTACATGGAAGTTTCAGTGTGCCTGTAAAAATTGTGGGTATGTCGGGTAGGCCTCCTTAACTTGGTAGGAGTCTGGGGTCAATTCAACCTAATCACACTTGTTAAGTGTACCTTGTCACCCATTTCCTGCCAAGAATCTTGCAATTGTAAACCTTCATACCGAATGTGACCCCATCCAAATTTACGGCAACGCTTGAGCCTTCGTTCCTTTGCGGAGCGCAAGCTTGTCTGCTTCTTTTGCAAAGGTTGTGGTGGTGTCAGAATTAATGCCAAGCTCTGATTGGATCCGATTGAAGGATAGCAGGTAGACCTCAAAGCAAGTTGCCTTGAGGTCTACCCACTATCCTTCAATCAGAGCCAATCAGAGATCGGCATTTTGACGTCAACACAACCCCTGCGAAAGCAGACGAACATTTGCTCCGCATATACTGTCCTCTCGCCATCTTCGCTGTGCTGAAAGCTATGAGAAATGGCAAATTGCTTTTTATTTTGACAATTGGTTAGTAAATCAATATGAAATCGTGTGTGGAAATCGGAGGGCTTGAGTTTTTTTTTTTTTTTGGCTGTTTCCATTGTAGTTCCACGGGAACTTTTTTTGTTGTTCACCCCGACTCCATCAAAGAACAGTCTGTACAAATTAAGAAAAGAAAAAAAGGCTGTGAAAAAGAAAACAGTAGCAAGTCGTGGTGTTGGAAAGCGAGGTTCCGACAGAGTTGATAGAATAACCTAGAGGAAAAGGTCCCCTTGCACTTCGGCCTCTTCGGAATGGCTGGGCACAGACACGGACATCGGCGGTCCAGACAGGACCACGCTGCTGGTGACGCTTCGATAGAAGCGGGAAAACATCACTTGCAGGGAATTATCTAGTGTCTTTCTAGCTTTATTTTGCACAAAAACACGGGTGTCTCGCATTGCATAATATTGACGAGCATTGAAACAACCTCAATTAGTCGCAGCAAAACTAAGCAGCCGTCTGCCTTTTTTTCTTAGCTCTCGTCGCTCTCTTCTCTCGGAACCAGCAACGTCGGCACTCGCGATTTTCCACGTTCTGCTTCCTCCTTTTTCCCCTCCGGATAGGAGCCTGAAATGTGCTCGTCGTGCAGGCCCGTAAGCTCCTGGAGAAGACTGAAGAGAGGCTCGTGGCCGAGTAGGTGTCGCAGTGCCTGGACTGGCTCCGAGAGGCGCAATCCAGGCTGAGTAAGGGTTGTGACCCCGGCGTGAACTTCGTGGAGCACCGCCTGCTGGCCCTGGCCACGCCCAAGCTGAAGAAGCTGCTGGAGGTGCTGCGCGTGTTCCGGCCCACCGGGCCCGAGGAGGACTCGTCCCTGTGCGGCATCGTGTTTGTCAAGGAGCGGGTGGTGGCCCGGGTGCTCTGCGCCTGGCTGGGCCGGGTGGCCGAAGAGGTGGCCCCGTACGCCTTCGTGAGGCCCCACTTCGTGGCGGGCCACGGCGGCATGGCCGGCCAGAGCACCAAGGAAAGCGGCATGTCCTTCAAGCAGCAGTGCAAGGTGGGCAGCTGCGGAGGGCTGATTGGACCTTGGTGTCTACATAGCGGTGATTAGACTGCACTGATCACAGAAGGGCAACCAGTCAAAACTTAAGTGACCTTGATGACGCGAGTTTACACTTCAGCCTCGGGCGTTACTCGACCTTGTACACATGACCTCGAGTGTGGTTGGTCTCGGAAAGCGACCGCTTTAAAACAGAGTGGTCAGCTCAGCAGCTGAGGGGTACTATTCGCCCGGAAGATTGTAGTTGCGTCCATTCACGAGTCGAAACTAACGGGAGTCGTAGTTTATAGCTAGTTTTGAGAAAATATGACTACGTCTTTGCCGACGTCATTTGCAGGACAGTCGCCGGTGGCCCTACACATTTTCGTTTTTTTCCCCCAGGAACCAGTCTTGTGGCATAAAAATCCCTCGTACCCACTGGGAGGAATGGACACATCACTAGCAAACCGCCCCAGGCGGTTCAAATTAATCCTGAGTCTCTCACTGGGACAGGCCAGATACCCTTTGTTGGTTTGGCACGTGAACCCCCACCCAGTTTGACTGACATTACAATGATTACACTACGATGGTTGCACCACGGTGACTGTGGAGGGGTAACAACGTGTCTTGGCCATGTCTGCCCCCCCCCCAAGGTCCTGGAGCAGTTTCGCCGGCAGGAGTGCAACCTGCTGGTGGTGACCTCTGTGGTGGAGGAGGGCATGGACGTGCCCAAGTGCAGCCTGGTGGTGCGCTTCGACTTCCCCCCAGACTACCGCTCCTACGTGCAGTCCAAGGGCCGGGCCCGGGCCAGGCGCTCCCTCTACCTCATGATGGTCTCCCGGGACGACTGCCAGCTCAGCTGCTCCAACCTGCAGGCCTACCACGTCGTCGAGTCGGTGAGGAACCACCTCGAGGGGTGCTCTGGGAACCTGCACATATTCGAATGTCTGTTGCGTATGTTTGTTCTGCTCTGTTGGGTCTGGGGAACAAAAGAAGTGCACGTTCGTTGTACCGAATGAAAGTGGGGAACACGAGTTTGAGTAAATGTGGTGATGGGATCCACAGTTTTGAATTTTTCTAGGAAACTGGGAAAAAAAACACTGCCCGGTAAAAATCCTTTTTGCAGTTCAAATTTGTCCTAGAAAGGTTTTTTTTTTTTTTTTTTGAAGTCTGGCCAATGCACAAAGACTGGTTCACAGACTTCCGACTGCTTAGGATTGTGTTCCTTAAAACCTCTCGGGATCACTTGCAACGAAAGAACATGCTGGCGCCATCTGTGAAAGAAGACACTTGGCTTTCCGTGTGTTTTCTTTTTCTTTTTTCAGATCTTTCTTTTTTTTTTTTTGTTAGAAAAACTTGATGTCATAAATGACAGTTTCTTTTAGATGGTACGCACATTTAATCTCTCAAACACCGCAAAACCCTCACTGGCGAAATGCAGTTCCATGGCCACCTTATAGATGGTGCCAGAGTACCAGTGTGTTCTCGTAAGAGTTGGCACAATCTTTTGTAAGCAAACAGAAGGGTGTGGTCGGGCATTTACCTGGAAATCTGAACATCTTTTAGCCCCTGCACACATGTGTGAGTTCTGCTGCCTGGGATTTGATGATAATAGGAATGTATATAAGCTATAAAAAAAAAAACACATGTTCTCAAGTGAATATGCTGATTAGGGCTCTCCTAATCAGCAAAATGGAAAAACAAAAAATTGTTTTTCCAGGTTGGATATGTCCTAGAAACTCAGATTTATGAAGGCTTGACTAGTAAGTGGTCGGTGTAATTTGGTTTGTGGTTGAATTTAAGGAGGGATTGTGTATGAGAAGCTAGAAAAAGCTCTTGAGGTGCAACGTGTAGTTTTTTCCTCGTTTTAACCCACTTCATCCGCATCATTGCTTTAACTTCGGTGATGTTGAATGATGTCCGAAATCACAAACAATGAAAACTCCCCAAACAGCGCCGAGTTTCAGGCCAACACAGCCAGGGTTCCAGAAGATGCGAAGTTTCTGGCGAGAAAGTAAACCCGGAACAGCGCTTTTGAGCCCGGTAGTGTCGGGAACACCGCACCTCAAATGTTTTATTCAAAGAATTGACGAAATTTTTCAGTTCGTGGGGTTGCGTAGTGGGCCGCATTGTTGGAAAAGCAGAAGGTGCCATGGGTGGGACGTTTTGCACACAGCTCCTGATGAACAAGTGTCGAGAGCGCAAGGCCCCCCTCGACTCCGAGGTGGTACTCAGCTTTGCGGTGGACGAGATGTTGCCGCCCTACATGCCGGTGAAGCGGGACGGGGCGGCCAGGATTACCATGACCTCTGCCATCGGCCTGGTGAATAGGTAAGGCGCGTAGCGCTATCTTTTCACGGTTCATTCGTACCCCGAACTACGCTTTCCTAAAACCACCTTCCAGCGTCTCTGGTAGCTTTATCTGTTTACGCCAACTTTAAAACTGCCTTAATAATAATGCCACTATTTTAGTATTTTATTAACAGATAATTATTTTCATTTTTAGATTATTTTTTCTTTATATATACCTTTAAGTCATTTTCCTCTGCAGTGCCCTCGTGGCCCTGAGGGTATTTATAAAGGAAATAAATAAAATAATATGTAACAATTTTCTGTTTGGACCATGTAATATTAATGTGTAACTTTGGACTAGCTTTTCTGGTTTCAGAACAGTGGAACCGTTATCTCGCTTTTTGTTCGCTTGTGAGGCTTGCATTCCATTTCCTCCTCTGGAACCGGATAATCTGATCACCTTAGTGAAGCAAACTGGAAAAGAATTATTTTTTGTAGACTAACAATTTGCTTAGTCAGGCGTGCCTGGGTCTGAACACAGAGACTTAGTAGTAAAAATAGAGAATAAACAGTGCTACAGCCATTAGCAGGCGATGTGAAAATTAGTCGAGCTGAATTATGTAACCGGTCTTAGCTGAATCCAGTTAAATTCAGCTGGATTAAGGGTTATTTCCAGCTGGATTCAGCTGGGACCAATTCCATAATCCAGTTCCGATGTTCTCTTGGGTGGTTCATGACCTGCAGATATTGGTAGTCCGGACGAGATAATCGCACGCGAAAACGAAGGGCTATCCGGTTTTATGCTGGATCAAGATACTCGAGATGCTTGGGCCCGCTTCATGTGGGGCAATTCTCGGGGCAGTTTCAAGGTTGCTGGCAAGTTGTCCCCTAGATACTCGCACTACAGCGCTAATTGCTGGGATGAGATCCTGCTCGAAACGGGCGAGCAACTCCAACACCTCCGGAGACATTCGGAGCTTGCGGCAGTCAATCGGGCACATATCTTCATGTCGCCCTCATGTGGGGGTGGTGTTTATAACCAAACACCTGGTTCTACATTGTAAAACCCGAGACGTAGGACAAAAGAAGAAAAAAAGGGGACGACACAGACAGAGGTCTCCCCTTTTGTCCCCTTTTTTCTTCTCCTTTTGTCCTCTGTCTCGGGTTTTACAATGTTGAAAGTTTACCGGCTCGCTTGCATCTTCTCTGTAATTTCTATACCTGGTTCTAGTTTGCGGTTACTCAGTGTTGCAACAAAATGGTCTTAGGGAAATGAGACAGTATTCTTAACGCCATTTAAAGATGCGAAAGCACATTATAAGGAAGTCAAACGTATTCTTAACACTGTTTAAAGATGCAAAAACGCATTCTTAATGCGTAACTTTGCGTCGAATTAATGCGAGAATATACCAGTTTTAATGATAACGTCACGTTGGGGGGGGGGGGGGGGGGGGGGGGGGGGCGGGCTTTGTTGCTGGAGTTGCAATGTCAAAATGCTGGGGAAAATTAACCCCTCCGAAGTGGGCCTCAGTATGCTCCAGGTTCTCGTGCCTGTGTCATGTGCAGGTACTGTGTGAAGCTGCCCTCGGACATCTTCACCCGTCTGCAGCCGGACTACACCATCCTCCCCGTGAACAAGGAAGACAAGGAGTACTACGTGTGCACTGTCTACCTGCCCATGACGAGTCCCCTGAAGGAGCCCATTCAGGTATCCCCAGGGCTGCAGAGGAGGCTGGCACAGCTTCCCTGTGTTGTCCAAGCTGCTTGCGCACGTGCGTAACTTAATTAGTTCTGCGTTTTCTTTGGGTGAGAGCATGTGTGAAGGGAATCCGTGGAGCTGCATGCTTGCGCCGCAGTAACCATGCTAGCCTTGACAACGTTGCGCAGAATATCGTAAGGATTATAAAGAATATCACAAAAAAGGGAATATTATATTGACTCGACGCAGAAAGAATAAAACAAATTCTGGACAAGGGACGACAAACATATTATGTGCTTGCATGCAGAAAGACCAAGATAAGAGTGCACTGCTAAACTTAGTTTTAAATGTCTATGCTTTTAATGTTTGTACTTCCGTCCCTTCTGCATATCCTCTACGCTCTTGTTGCTTCCAGCGTGTTCGCTTGCACGCTTTTGCAGTGTGAAAACTTGGCCCAAAAGAGCTGCTTTTCTGTGGTGTACACATTCAAATGGAATTCTAGCAAGCAGGCTGGTGTTAGTTCATCTGTGCACGTTTGTCTGTTGTCTCGTCTGACTTGGAGAACTATTGATTCCTAACTGTTTTGTTTTCCTTTCAGGGCCAGCCCATGGAGACCAAGAGGTACGCCAAGATGGCCGCAGCTCTCGAGACCTGCAAGAGGCTGCACCAGATGGGTGAGGATAGTTTGGAGACGTCGGGGGAAACTAGCGGTGTGTGCAATGTGCGTGGCGCCTTACCAAGGCCTCTGTCTGGCGACCACAGGTGAGCTGGACGACAACCTCCTCCCCGTGAAGCGCACCCTGGCCCTCTTGGAAGAGCCGGAGGAGGAGGCAGAGCAGCCGGGGGTCCCCAAGCCTGGCACCAAGAAGAGGAGGAGGGTGTACCCCAAGAGGGTGAGGGCAGGAACAGTCACACCCTGCATGTTTACGCTTTTTCCTTCTCGTAAAAAGAAGTGTGAATTTATGAAAGATCGGGGTACACCTAAGGCACTTCTTATGAGTTGTGAGTGCGAAAGCATGTACATCATTCTTGCTCTACGCGTGTTGGCGCGCTGACTGGGCGCTGACCTGGCGCTGCGTGTCCGGCGAATGGGAGTCTGGTTGACGCGCGCTAGCCAATGGGATCGAAGCAGTGAAGGTGCCGTGGCTAGCTTTGCGCGTGGTTAAAGTTTTCTAGCTGGGAGCTGGCTTCATTTCATAAAATGAAATGAATAGATTTCATTTAATTTTTTTTTTTGACTTGGAGAAGGATTTGAGAGCCGTTGGGCGTGGTTTCAAAGTTGATAACATCGGCTCACTTCATGAGACAGTTAATGCTTTCGCATTAAAAGTACAGACTCAATATAAAAAAAATTACAGGAGGACACTCAAGACTGCTTAGATGTAGGAAGGCGAAAGCATTATAGTCCAACGGGAGAAATGTTTTCGAGTAATGTTTCTGCACGTATTAAAGTTTAGGACGACGTCCTAGAGATAGACACCAAGTACTGCATCTAGGACGACCTCTAGGATGACTTCGAGAACAATGCCTAGAGGAGGACACTTAAGGAGGCTGTAGCATATTTGCGTGGGCGGCCACGTTTGCCTGCGGAAGCCGCCGTAGATGTAGAAGCTGCCGATGTCGAGGCCGTAGATGTAGATGCAGTCGCCTCACAGTCCATCGCACGAAGCACACGATGAGCACAGATGAAGTCTGAAGTGTACCTTTTGCACACAGTGCTCGACATCACTCTCCCACACTTGAGCGTGAGTGGCGCATGCTTGATGACATATTTTTATGGCCATTTTTCGGGCACAACAATGCTGCTTTTTCGCGTAACAAGACAAGTAAGGTCGTCCTAGAGGTCTAGAACGACCTCTAGGACAACCTAAAGGATGATGCCAAGGACAGCGTCGTCCTTGAGCATACGATTGAGTGGCACGTGCCGCTCAGTCATATTTTTATGTCCATATACATTGCTTTTTCGCTGAGTGGGACAAGTAACTATGAGTGTTTTTTGCAATGCATTGGAATAAGGGCTGGTCGGAGACTACGGCCTCCAAGTGCATTCTAGCACAAGGCGTAGCAATAGCAGTCTAATTGCTCGTTAAGCTATTCTACGGCAATCGGCTATAACTATACACTTCGATGACTTTTTACAGCAGAGCTGTTAAGGGGGGATACGGCCCCGAAATTCCATTTTTTTTCGAAAAAATGCATTTTTAAAAAATATTATATTTGGGTTCACTATATTCTGGAGCATAGTTTCAGAAAGTTTCATTTATAAATACGCAGTATTTATTTCGCAAAAAATTATTTTCGACAAGCTCGCGGCCGCGCGGGCTGCGCGCGGCGATCCGCCGAGCGAGCAGAACAGCGAAGTTCGGCATTTTCAAATTAGGCCTACTCCGCGCTCGTTCGACGCAGCCGAGGTATCTTACCCTCGTTGGAAGCGCCGTTTCTTCTAGTTTCTGCCCATAGAAGCTTGCTACATTGGAGGCTATCTGTGGCCCGGGAGAACCCCGTACAAACAAGCCGAAAAAATGTGGGAACTGTGATACCAGCAATCCTATTGGTTGCGACCCGAAACGGGGCTCATGATTGGCCGCCTTCGGTGACGTCGCTCCTTGTTCGCCTGATACGCGCGCTTTCGGCTGCTTCTTTCGCTTCTGATCGTATCGCTACTTCGCCGCTGTTTAGATTCGTTTTCCCTTTTTGTTCCCGGTAGCTTTGTTCCCGGTAGTTTTTCTGCCGAGGAATGCCTGCCTCCAAGGTTAGCACTCGCAGTAGCTTTGGCCGGCGTTCTCGATGGCGAAAACCGAGGGGTCGATCAGCGGCACTCCGCGCAAAGGACGGGGACCCGTCTCCGCCGGCACCATCGTCGCCGTCTCCACCGCCGCCGTCACCATCACCATCTTCAAGCTCAAGTTCCCGAGATTGTGTCTGGTACTAAACACTTGTCGACACAAACCCACCTGGACAGCTACCGCCATCTATAAGCGACGGCAGCAAGCACAAAACCAGTATGGTTGCCGCCGTCGCTCGTAGATGGCGGCAAGCTTTCCAGCTATTATAGAAGAATTGATAGTTGGGCGGCGTGTTGGTGGGAATTCATCCTAGGAAACAGCAGGAAAAACAGATGATGAAAAAGAAGCACACGTAACGAGCGCAGCGCTCGTCAGGTGTGTTTCTTCTACCTCGTCTGTTTTGCGCGCTGTTTCCTACGCTCCTATCAGTTTCGTTTTGGACTTAGGATGGGCCGGCCGCGCGCCCTTTCGGGGAAAGAAGACTGGATGCGGAAGGAGCGGCGACATACGCAGCAGCGCGAATGGGTCTGTAACCGCCGCAAAGCTGCTGTTGCCTCGACTTCCACTGCGTCGAGCGCTTCAGATTCCTTGCCAAAGAAGAGCACATCGCTCGCCTGGAAAGCCGCCGCCGAGAACAGAACCAGTGATGTAAAGAGCGCCGGCAGGCCAACGCCACGGACGACGATCGTGCCACGGAGGCCAAGAGCAAGCGCGAGGCCGGGCAGCGACGCCGATGTTCTTAAAATTAATGAAATTTACAGGGTAGGCTGGTGGTCATGCTAGAGGCTGCATAACAAAATTTCAGGTCTGTCGGTTAAATGAAAAGGAAATTAGAGTAGCTTCCATCAGCAACACGCCTACATTGTTTGGTTAATCTATCGTCAGAAAACTATCACAATATTCAAGATTTTTATTCACTAGATATGTAGCAGAATGCCTAGAGGGTGCGGCTATGGAACGTTTTTTCTAAGAAGTAATTTATTTCTATAAATTTTCTCTTCTGCAAAATTGGTCAACTTTTTGGTCTTCTGTGTCTTCGACAAAATGTCAACATTTTTTATAAAAGACATTCGTTAACTGACAAAAAAGTTCCATAGCCGCATTCCTTATTAAATTTCAGTCAAGAAAAGGGAAGAATGAGCCTTCCCTGTTTTGCCATTATCAAACGATAGATTGACTAAAATGGAATTTATACCAAAAAGTGGAATGGAGAAAAATGCGTTCAAAGTGCTCCAACCCCTACCTTTTCTTTAGCTTTGGTGGACAGAAAATAATTTATAAAAAATTAATTATGCAGTGAAAATTAATTAAACTTTTTAGGAATACTCTCTAGATGTTGGTGGATATAAATATGTCATTTTTCAAAATCAACTTTTTTTGCAGAAATTTTTTTTTCTGGGCAGTGTCTCCCCTTAAGAGGAACCGTGACATTAGACCCTGCCAAGACCCTTTCTCAGTGACCACAACTTGAAAAGGGCATTCCTTATGCGTTTTTGCTGTGAAAAACATATCCAGACTGTCCTTTTTGGTAGCAGTAATCGTCTTCCTCAATTGCTCCAACTCAAGTCTGTGGCACATTTGAAGCGCCTTTGCCTTCACACTTTTGGTTTTGAAATCATGCAACTTGTTAAAGTTTTTTTCTATGGCCCGCCCTGCTTTTTCGAGGTAGAGTGACCTAGGAATGACAACGAAACCTCCTTCTTTATCAGAAACTAGAAGGGTTAGGTCATTCGTTTTGAAATAATTGACAATAGCAGGAATTCTCATATTCTTGTCATTAACTTGACCAGTCTGTAGCAGCACGTCAACACAATCGTCCACACATCGAAGTCTATCAGCTTCTTGGGCCTTTGCCGCTATGTCGTGTATCTTAGACACCAGCTCTACGCCCTGCATTTTTGGTGGTGTGCAGAATTTTGGTCCTTTTTCGAGTATCTTGCCTATCTCCGCCGGTATTGTAGCATCCCCCAACAACGTTACGGATTCTCCCTTGCGTTGGTTATTTTGAGCACGGAGACTTTTTATATGCGGAATATATGAAGACCATAGGAATTCCGTTTCCTTACTTGCTCTGTCAAGGAAGGTTCTGTACCTTCGTCCTTGGCCGCCACCGGGGTCTCCACAACCCGCAAGAACCCAGAGGCAAGTTCTGAAGTATCGGACCTGCCTCCACATCTCGGAGCGGACAATCTTGCATATTCTGTTTGCATGATGTTGGGAAGGTCTTGCAAAGCCAAACAACCCAACCAAGTCTGGTGGAACTGAACCATGTCTGATGGCGGCAGAATAGGTTTAAGTTCTACCTTTCTGCTACAGTCGTCACTTTTGAAGGTGATTCTTTCCTACAAAAGAAAGGTATCTGTATAGGTTCCTGTGTGGCGCCTATATTATGTGATATTTACTTGGCCCAATGTGATCGGGCAGTAGCCAGTACACTTTTCAACAGCCATGTATCTCATATTTTTCGATACGTTGATGATTACCTCGTTCTTCTTCAACATCGCCCAAGTGAGAATGAGACGCGACTATTCAACATCATCCGATCTAACTTTTTAGAAAATGGCCAGGGTCTCAAGTTCACCCGAGAGTCACCAGTGAACTCCAGACTCCAATTTTTAGATCTAAGACTGGTTTTCTCTGACAACCACGCTTGCTGGATGTATTCCCCTCGATCGAAGAAAGGTCTTTTACAGTATGATTCGGCTCATTCCAAAATTATTAAAAGAGGAATTGCAAAAAATTGCCTGAATACAGCTCTTAAAAAATCTTGCGTACACTCAGCGGGGGAAAGCTTTGATGCTCAAGTACAAAGACTGAAAGCGTCGGGATATCCCAGTTCGATAATATATGAAGTCGCGGAATCCTTGATGACCTCAAATAAAAAACATGACACTGAAAAACACAAGAAACACCGACCGACAGTTCTGCCATATATACACCGCTTGTCCCACAACTTGAAGAGAACAGCTGCGAAGTTTCAAGTCCAAGTCGTGCTTTCAGCTCCGGACAAACTAAAAAGGCTCTGCCCTAAGATCAATTGCCAACAGCATCAACAGCAAGAATGCACTGTAAAACATCGACTCAAGTATGCAGAATGTCAAAGTGGAGTGATATATCAAATACCATTTACTTGCGGCAAAGTGTATGTAGGTCAGTCGGGGCGAGGTATCAATACGAGATTAAGAGAACATGCCCAAACGTTGAAATCGGCACCATCGGGACATCTTGCGATACATGTCAGAGACTGCAAATGCTCACCAACATTCACCAACACCAAAGTTCTGAAGCGGTTCCGTGACAGAAACATTCGAGAGCTGTACGAGGCTCAAGTCATCCCCACCAGTGGCGACAAGTGTATAAGCGCCCGATCAGTGACCCTAACACAGAAAGAACTTCAGTTCCTTCGGTGTATGCCCTAAAGACTTGAAACACAAAAAGAACTTCAGTTCTAGCGGTGTTTTACCTCAAGACTTTTTAGCCGGTCGCTCTGCCTAATGGTTTTTTTCTTTTTTCCTACTATTCAATTTTTTATTATTTTTTCATTTTGCTGTATAGACAGTTTTTTTTTTTTTTTTACGTGACAAGTACTTTGCCTTCAGCTGCAGTCAAAATATTTTTGTTTCGATTTCTAAAACCAAATATGTTCTTAATAGCAGCAGTGACTTTAATTTTATTTCATTTTTCTTTTCTCCTTTTTCACTTCCACCTTGTCTTTCTCTAGATGCTCTATTAAATTTGACAGTTGTAAGTAAGCGCTCTGTCCTGTCCCCTTCTTCTCTTCTTAGTCCTTTGCGCTTTTAAACCACCGTCTAGATATCGAGCACAGCTCCGCTGGTCTTCCTTCTTCACGAGAGTGGAAAGGCTGAACGTTTTTTAGAATGATCTACGGTGGTAGAGAGTGCAAGTCAGTACTTTCATCATGGCTATGTTCCCTCCTAAAGCACTTGGTTCAGCTGCAAATTTGACAGAATTGCAACTACATCTTTCTTCGCACTTTGGCTCTGTAGCCACGGCATTTCCCATCCACTATCTGTCATTGGGGGTAGGTGAGTGGGGCAGGTGTTGTCATCGGTCTTGTACTATTGTGCCCGTGACGTCAATTCCTGATGCTGTGAAGCCTGTATCTGGATGCATGAGGCCTGGTTCAGATAGTTGTGTTCAGAGTTATTGAAACGGCATCGACACAGTCATTGGGAAAAGTGCTTACTGCACACAACGTGCCAAGCAATGCAAAAAGTAGCTTTGGGAAGCAATTGGTCGATGCTGTCGTTTCGGTTGCTTCAGATGCAGCCAGCAGAAACGTGCGAACCAGCCTCGACCGTACCATCAGCGGGCGTTAACAACTGGAAACTTTCCGCGCGATGCGGCCTTTCTCGTGGCAGGTGTGCCGCCTGTTCCGGGAGGCGCCGCTGGCGGGACCCGGCACGTTCCGACTGCACGTGCTGACGACCCGGCTGGAGCGGCTGGCCTCCGATCTGCAAAACTGGCGCAAGGAGCGCCTGGTCGACCCCGAGGACAGCCCCCTCTGGTTCGGGATGCTGCTGCGGGAGGACATGCCCCTGGTGGGCTCTCTCTCATTTCTTTGGCTGCTTTCCTCATCTTCCCTTTGTATCACTCTCTGTCTCCTTTACTCCCCTCACCACTGCTCTCTGTGCCTTGTATTTTTTTACTCTGCAATTCTCCTTACACTCTAACCCTCTCTACATTGCCCTCTGTCCGCCTTCACCTCTTTACATTGCTGTCTTTTCCTCTCTCATCATACTCTCTATTTTTATATGGCAGTCTTTTTTTGTTATTCTCCGTGATACTCTCACCTATAAGTTTTGTAGTGCCGTATTTTCTCTTTTTCATACTCTATATTTGTATTGTGGTCTGCGTTCTTTCTTCGCTGTACCACTCTCTCTTTCAGTCTGCGTGTTGCTGTCTTTTTTTTTGTTTACTTCTTATCTCTGCTTGTGCTTATTTTGTTTTAATTAGTGCCCTCAGTGTCCAAGAAATGCACAAAGCGCCGACGACGACGCTTATCATACCGCAGCCTCATCATTCTGTTAGTTTGGTTTCTTTCACGCACTTCTTCCGAATTCGCCGCGAAAGTCGAAGCCCGAAAAATATGACGGGGAGGAAGCGCTCGGCTCGGTGTCGTCACCTTCCGCTTTCTTTTGTCCTTCCGCCATCGCAGATCCCGTCTTTCCCGATCTTCACTCGCTCCGGGGAAGAGCTGGTGACCGTCTCGCGCGCCGGCTCGGTGCACCTCACCAAGGAGCAGTGCGAGAGGCTGCGGCACTTCCACCGCTTCGTCTGCGACGAGGTGATGCGGGTGCGCGAGCGTCCCCTGCTCGCCTTCGACCCCGGCTCCGCCCCCAACTGCGTCACCCTGGCACCCGTGATGCAAGGTATGCGACCCCCAACCGGCCATGCTACCTCCATTCCCCTCGGTCACGGAGCTTCGGCTGGAACTTGTGTCCTGGCCGATTGAACGCAAGTTTCAGCCGAACAGCAACGCTCATATCCAGTCTGTGACCTCGGGTAGTCGAAATATTCCACAGTACTGCCTTCTTATCTTGGCGAGCGGACGAGGGAACTTTTATTTTTTATTCCTGACCTAGCCGTTGAGCACTCGCATTTATGGTGGGATATTTTTACTCTTACAGGGATTAGCGCCGCTTGCAGTGCTAATCCCCGTAGGAGTTTACTAGGGCAAAAGCCACCCAAGTTTCCAGACCAGGAAGTAGTTTATCCGAGGCCCGTGGTTACTCATTCGTGCCGTATAACTCTTCAACCAGGCGACGGAACTGCCGCTATAGACTGGCCCTTCGTCAATGCCGTGTTAAACCACAAGAAGCCGGCGGCAGGCGAGCGGTTCCAGTTCCAGAGGCACTCTTACGAAGACGCCGTGGTGGTCCCGCAGTACCACCCCCTCAACTACCGGCACAAAACTTACTACGTCAAGAGGGTGCGCGACGACCTCAGCCCCGAAAGCTCCTGGACCACGGGCACCGCCTCTTTCGCCGAGTACCTCACGGGCGTCCACGACCTCCGGGTGACGGACCGCTCGCAGCCACTCCTCGAGGTTGCCTTCACGGAAGTGCGCCTCAGCTTCCTCACCCCGCGCTTCCGCAACCGCCACGGCGACGCGTTTGCCAAGAAGACGACGGCGGACCGCGTGGAGCTCCGCGTGGCCGAGTTCTGCGACGTGCACCCGATCCCGGCAAGCGTGTGGCGCAAGGCGGTCTGCCTCCCCAGCATCCTCTACCGGATCAATCAGCTCCTCCTGGCGGAGGAGATCCGGTGCACCGTTGCCGCGGAGACGGGCGTCGGGCTGCGGACCGTCGAAACTGACTGGCCGGCGCTGGACTTCCAGAGCGCGTCGTTCGAGAGAGCCTCTGCGGGTGCCAAGAGGGAGATCGAGTTCGGGACGCTGCTTCGCGGACACGGCGACGCGGAAGAGATCCGGATGCCGCGGATCTCCGGGTCGTTCGAACTTCAGCCGGAGCTGGAGGGGAACCCGGGTCCGAGCCCCGGGCGTCTGCTCGAGGCGTTGACGTCTGCAAAGGCCGCGGACGGATTTGACCTGGAGCGCCTGGAAGTGCTGGGAGACTCGTTTCTCAAGTTTGCGGTCACCATCGACCTGTACTGCGGGGAGACGGCGGCGCAAGAAGGGCTGCTGACGCAGGCGCGGTCACGGATCATCAGTAACAGGAACCTGCACAGGCTCGGATGCGCGATCGGGGTCGCGGAGGCGGCGGCATCCGAGATGTTTGAACCGCAGCGGAACTGGCTGCCGCCGGGTTATCGCGTTCCGGAAGGGTGCGAGGACAAGATGCTGGACGTAGACTTTGCCTTCTGGGCCTCGCAGAAGAGTCCCAAGTGGTTTGACACCGTGACGGCGGAGGAGCTGACTTCTGCTTATGAGGTTGGTAGAGTCTTCTGGCGATTCTGACTTCCTCTTTCTTCTTAGTGACTCACTGTTTGCCTAAGATGTCCCACAACTTGTAATATGTTTGGTATGCCATAGTTTCAATGCCACATGACCACGGAAAAGAGAGCGGGCACGACTGAAACCAGCCAATTCTCGGCCGGCTGTTTTCGGACAGAAAGAAAACGAATTTCGAGCCGCAAATCGTGTTCTGGGTAGTTGGGTTCTAATAGGTCACGTTCAAATAAAAACCTCGACAAGCATAAATCGGTGTTCCTTTTTGCCATAAAGCCCATAAACCACGTGACCCCAATCGAGTGTCAGAAAAGCTCTGTAATCTAGACACGCTACTTAGCACACTGGCGCCATCTGTCAGCTGGGCTCTGAACACTTTCAACCTGCACATAATTATGCTAAAAGTTTTTCGGTGATCGCGAAAACAAATCTATGTACCATCTACAGGAGGTGGTCGCTCATAGCATTGTCCGAGTTATTTCGAGCCCACGGTAAAAGAAGGGCGCGTAAGAATATACGAGGTCGGGGGTGTGTGTAAATTCATTATGCAAGACGCTTGAGCACACCCTAACACGAATGTCTGGACCAGCCTTTAGGTAGAAGGCTGGGGTACTTCTTTAGCTTCTCTCCTTTCTGCTGGCTCGAAATGCAAGTAAATTGGAGTCATTTGCACAGGCGTACAAGGCGGAGTGTTTGCGGCCGGACTACGTGGCGCCCAAGCGCGACAGCTCGTGCGCCGTGCCCGTGTGCACCTCCGCTCAGGTGCCGGATAAGAGTGTGGCCGACTCGGTCGAGGCTCTCATCGGAGCCTACCTCCTGGTGTGCGGACCCGTCGGAGCCCTCAAGGTAACTCTTGCTGTGTCTGAGTGTGCTCATTCAAGGAACCGTGGTGGTAGTTTGGAAAATAAAAAAATCATAGTGGCTAGTTTGGGGAAAAGGAAGCGATCCGAGTGCATGGTCGTCTTCGGCGCTCCGTAACCGAAAGTCGCGTTCTTTGAACCTGCTACTTTCCAAGGTCTAGCCATACGGCGTGCAAGCTTGTCTGTTCGAATCGTACAGTTTCTTTAATTCTTTAATACCTATATGCTAGAGGTTCGACTGGTGCAATGTTTATGCGACTTCCGGGAGGCAAATTGGAGCAGACAGCAACCGGTCTACTTTTGCGGTACTCCTGCGCACTCTTATGGGAAAACGCGCGTGCATTTTGTCTCTTCGCCGGAAAATAACGTGGAACACTTTGGTTACTTGGGTTGTACCGAATAGTAAGGACCTTGATTAACATTGTAAAAGTGTAATTGCTTTAGTTAGCGCATTTTTCTTCATCAGTGAACAATGTTTAACTTTGCTATATTTCAGGCCCAAACCTCTGTTCCATAGCAGGTGTGTAAAAAAGAGTGACGATTTAAAGTAAAATAACGATCAAAAAGAATGAAAAATGTGTTCAAGGTTTGCCAGCGTTCCGGTGCCGCTTATATATGCCAGTCCTGTCACATATATAAAAACGACCGCATTGTGCATCTTTACGAGCAGCTAAGAACATTTGAAACGTAAATAATAAAGTATGTGGGCTATGAAACTTGTTTCTTTTTATTATTTCCTATGCCAGGCAGCTTTTATCGGGCACTTGTTTTCTGGCATTTCCCTATTTTCAAAGATTTCAAACGTGTGGGTGATGTTTTGAATGCAGAACGAGCATTTGACACATATTCATGAGCAGAAAGAATAAAGCGGTAATTATTTATTGCAAATCGGACTATATTAAGCGCGATCCAAACCAACGCTTCTTTTTGCGCCTGTAGGTCGTGCGGCTGCGGATGTGACGCAATTCGTGGCGTTTTTGCTGTTTCCGGGCACGCTTTCTGAGTCAGAACCGTGCACTTTGGTTTGGATGGGCAAAACTTCGGGCGAGCGCGCACGCGCGCATGCAGGCACGCGCGGACAAGCAAAGTGCAACTGCGACAGACTGGCCGGCCAGACGGCGAGAGAAAGAGAGAGAGAGAGATTGCGTTGTCATGTTGGAAGAGAATAAAAGGGGGGGAGGAGAGGGCAGCCAGACGGCGAGAAACACGGAGCCGGAACTAGCTTGCCCTCCACCGATTGGCCGAGACACAGGAGCGCCCTATACGTCACCGCGCGTTTTTGTGCGCGTTGAGAAGAAGTTGAAATCAACCAACTTTCTTGTGCGCGCCTGGAAGGAGCGAAGAAGCGGCGCGACGTCACGAAACGTCACATCCGCAGCCGCACGACCTACAGGCGCAAAAAGAAGCGTTGGTTTGGATCGCGCTTTATGTGGCCTTTGATTTATTTTAAACATTTACATGCACAGGGAGTTACTGATCCACTGTTACGCCATAGTTATATTGCCATGTCTCTTTGTTATCCAGATGTCCTTCGTTCGTTTGGTACGTATATGCCCCATGCTGAAAAGCGCCTATGCCGTGTTCACACTAACAGTGTCTGACAGTGCACATAAATACATGTATGAAGCTCTTTTAGCACCATTTAATGCCATGAATTTGAAAGAAAAATGCCATAGTTGACCAATTATTTCATCGGCGTGACTGAGAAATGTTCCGAGCTACCTAGTTTGTACGAATTATTCACGATATTTGCTGTTATAACCGAGCACAGGTCGACAAGGCTTTTTCTTTCTTATAGAAATGCATTACCGGAAGTAAATGTTTCCGACTGGTTGCTGTCTGCTTCATTTTGCATAGTCTCACTAGTGCCAGTTGAACCTCTAGCATGCATTATAACAACTCTGTGACTCAAAGAGTTGTATGCGTGCACCACCATGACTGGCTTTCGGCTACGGCCGCTGACGGAGTGAGAACATAAGACGTCTCTTGCGAACGCCCGCATGCACCTTTAACGAAGGACGGCCTCGCAGTTCCCCAGGGAAGTTCTAACTGTAAAAGGCACATTGCTGGGTCTTACCAAGACAACACAGACTTGAATAGCATATTGGCACCAAAATGTCGGACTTAGAAAACTGCTTCCGTTCCCGGCATTACGAAAGGCAGTCGGAACCCCCGCCTGCGGGGAAGGGCGGGCGGTGCAACAACATCCTCTACGAAGCTCAGAATGTGCTCCTTTGTTCGGAGGGGGCAAACAGGGAGTTTCGTCGAGCTGTCGCGAGACTGATACCTGAACATGCTGAAAAGGCCCGATAGAATAATAATAATAGGTTTGGTATTTCTCATTTACAGTACAGCTAATGTATGGGTCCACCCAAGTCTGGAGATTTGTCGGGCTGCACCCAGCAAACAGCAACAAAAACGCAGAAAAAAAGAATTTTAGCTTAATTGGGAGGGGCAGGGAGCAAAGTGAAACCAGATGGCTGTGTTTGCTCGTGCGTGGCACTTAGAGAGTTAAGCATGGTCGAAGCAGCGGTTGGGGTTAGTGAAGTGCTTCCCAAAACGGATGGCTCTCGACGTCAGGTGATGAAGTGGATGGGCGTCCGGCTGACGCAATGCGACCTGGAGGGCGGGGCAGAGGGCAGCGGCGTGCGTGGCTTCTGGGGCTTCCCCCCGCCCCAAACGGCGCTGCTGCGCCACGTCCCGCACCCGGAGGAGGACCTGGCGGCGCTGATGGAGCTCATGGCGGACACGGTCGCGGACGTCGAGAGGGCTCTCGGCTACACCTTTGTTGACCGGTCCTTCCTGCTGCAGGCGGTCACGCATGCCTCCTACTACAAAAACAGGTACGAAGGAGCGTCCTCCGTAAACGACGCTCTTCCCGGGACTTTGTGCTTTTCGATCGGTGGCTGCGGTGCGTTCTTGGCTAGCTTAGCTTCCGAGATGCGGCGGCTGTGCAGGAAGTTTATTTACATTGTAAGGTACACGAGGAAAACTGGGGGAAGTACCCCACTTGGTTTCTGTGCGAAGAACATTTACGAGCCTAAGAAATGGTCAGAACGCGAATGAGTCGATACATCCAGGGACTGTGGCAGGAAAGGACGACCGCAATGTCCGCAGAGTCCTGTAATGAATGCGGCTGTTCACAATAAATGCTGTGTTTTATAAGATGCATTATTAGAGGCTGCATTTGTCTTATAAACAAGTGCAACCATGGAGGCAGGAAGGAGAGGAGGCGACGTATCGGCTCGGGCCAGGCAAACGAGAAAATCCCGATGGAAGCTGGAAGTAGAGGGCGCGGTCGGTGCGAACGCCCCCAAGGGGTACCAAAAAAAGCCGTTGGCATCAAACCGGCTGTCCTTTCCGTCCAATAGCGTCTTTTGATTTGGTCGTCGTTGGGGCCATGTCCCTCCAAACTGGAAGTCTTACCCGACTTTGCCTCTGGTGACGCACCCACCTTACTTACCGGCTCTTCGGTGTGCATGAATCGTATCGCGCTAGAGATTTGGACGAGGCGCCCGGCGACTGTACGAGCGATGGCACGCCTCTTGCAGGCTGACGGACTGCTACCAGCGCCTGGAGTTCCTGGGCGACGCTGTGATCGACTACCTGGTGACACGCTACCTGTACGAGCTGCCCCGCAAGTTTAACCCGGGCCAGCTGACGGACCTGCGCTCGTCGCTGGTCAACAACACCTTCTTCGCCTCGCTGGTGGTGAAGTACGGGCTCCACGGCTGCTTCAAGCACTGCAATCCGAGCCTGTTCAGCGCCATTGGCCGCTTCGTCAACTACCAGGCCCAAGCGCGCGAGGAGGAGCGCGAGGAGGGCGAGCTACCGGACGACGACCGTCAGGAGTTCCCGGACCTGAACGCGCCTCTGGACGGGGCAGAAGACGACACTTACTGGAAGGTGCTGGAGGTGGGTGTGTGGGGACGAGAATTCGGACCGCAGCTTAGGCTGTGCCTGTGACCACGATAGTGGTCACCGGCTGTCCAGCACGTTACCGAGACAGCCCTTGGCTGTCTCAAATGAGCAACTAGACACGTTTGTTTGAAAGCACCCTGCATTATAGTTGCGAAACAGGGACATTTTTAAGGGGTTGCTAAGCTGAGAATCAAAGAAAATCTAAGCCCAATGCATGTAGGACTTGCGGTCTGCTCTCTTATACCTGTAGATCAGTAGACCTGTGTCAAGGCTTCTCAAAGCATAGAGCTGCTGGTGTCTTCAATGTAAACATCTTGGACAGAAACCTGTCTGGTTGGAGGGAGCTGTGGTAATAAAAAGTAAATACTCCAACAAAAGCCCTAAAATGACATTACAAAACCTGATGGTCGTTGTTCCGTCATTGCTGAAGAAGGAACCATTCAAAGTTTCGAAACTGGTAACATTTTTTTAGGGCTTTGGCTGGAGTATTTCATTTTTGGTCTTACTGCCGTTGCCTATGCCTCGTATTCCACTCAGTCTGCTCCGGCATTCGCTGTAGGGTCGAGTCCAATTTTCGCTCGCTTTTTCGTTCGGTGCGGTTTGTCTCTGATGGTCTTGCCGTCGCCGCACCTCCTCCCTCAGCGTCACTACTGCCACGAAGAGGAGTGTCAGGAGCCCGAGGAGGTGGAGGTGCCCAAGGCGCTGGGGGACCTCTTTGAGAGCCTGATGGGCGCCGTGTTCCTCGACTGCGGCATGTCCCTGGACCGCGTGTGGCGCATCATCTACCGCATGTTCGGCCAGGAGATCGAGTCCTTCAGCCAGAACGTGCCCGTGCCCCCCGTCAAGGAGCTCACGGAACGCTTCCGGGACGCAAGGTTTGGGTGAGTCGAGGCCGGGCTAGATGTACACCTGGATGGAGTAGGGGTCTGGTCTGGAGCATGGTTCCGATCTGGCCAGGAACTGGTAGTTCAGGCCCAGTCCTGTTCTTGAGCGTGGTTCACTTCTGGAGCACGGTTCAGACCTGGAGCATGGTTGATTGGGCTCAGATCTGGAGTATGGTTCAGCTCTGGAATAAGGTCCGGATATGCAGTGTGTGCTGGATTCCATGCGTTTGCATGGAATCCAGCACGATTCCATGCAAAGCTGGATTGCGCGCATTTGCCTGTGCAGTAGATGGCTCGTTTGCATTTTTGACGAAAAAGAGCTGACTGCACTTTTACTGCCGCATCATTCACTAGGCTTCTCTCGTAGATTGCATGCTCCATACAAAATTGGGCATACGAGCCTTTCTCATCAACGGATTGTGCTAATATCGGGAAGCTATGACTAAATTTCAAGTCGAGTGCATACACTCGCCATACGTTTTGTTTCTTTGCCTTGTGCTGAACTTTCAGTCCGGCGGAGCTCCTGGGCAACAACAAGGTGAAGGTGCAGCTCACGGTGACTGGAAAAACGTTTTCGTGCGTCGCCAAGAACAAGAAGCTAGCCAAGATGGCGCTAGCCAAGAAGTGCCTGCGGATGGTCAAGCAGTGCGGATCCTGAGCCTCCCGCTGCCTCCCGCTCCGGTCCACCGCGGTGTGCCTCGGGATCTAAGAAACCCATTGTTGTGGATGTAACAATGTGTTGCAGCCTGCCTCTGCAGTATTGCGTGGCAGCAGTGCCTCTTTGCCGATTATTTTGGGACAGATTTGTTAAAACTAATATTTCTATTTGTTCAAAATAAATTAATTTCTATATTTTTAATACACATAGCTTACTAAATGTGAGCTTGGCTACCCTAATTTGTTTTAGAGCTTTAAGCTTCGCGTCTTTTTTATCTTCGCTTCGAGAAGGCGGCATTGCATAGTACTAACAAGTCCTTAGTCTAAACCGGTGACTCTCTGAAGCTTCAATACGATAGCGGAATTATTATTGTAGCGGAGCTTCAAAGTGTGAGCGGCTTAGAACAAGCGTATACCATAAGATACCGAGAAGGCATCCAGATTGCAGTAACTGCGCACCTACTACTAATGAAACGTTTGAAAAATAAGTACAGTCGACTCTCATTAATTCAAACTTGCAGATAATTCAAACTAATGTGCAGGTCCCATCCTATGTGGCTCTTTGGAAGGAAACTCCCTTCGCTTCGAGAAGGCGGCATTGCATAGTACTAACAAGTCCTTAGTCTAAGCCGATGACTCTCTGAAGCTTCAATATGATAGCGGAATTATTATTGTAGCGGAGCTTCAAAGTGTGAGCGGCTTAGAACAAACGTATACCGTAAGATACCGAGAAGGCATCCAGATTGCAGTAACTGCGCACCTACTACTAATGAAACGTTTGAAAAATAAGTACAGTCGACTCTCATTAATTCAAACTTGCAGGTAATTCAAACTAATGTGCAGGTCCCATCCTATGTGTCTCTATGGGAGGAAACTCCTGAGAATTTAAACTTTGCTTTATTCAAACATTTCTGCCCCCCTCGAGTTTGAATTAATGAGATTCGACTGTAGGACATATCGAGCAACCACCTCCTCCGCCGGCCACTTCTCCAAGCACACCGGTGCAAAGTGGTGAAGCCCACTCTATCGTGTGCTCCTTTTGCATTTTTGCGCTCCAGCACAACAGACACCTATCCCTCAGTTTGTCCGCGTGCATGATTAAGAAGATAAGCTTCTCCGTTCATCTAGAAAATTTGCGCAGATTCTTACCCCGAGCAATTAATGATAACGAGCCCAGAATGACCTTGCCTAGTCAGTGTCGCCCTAGCTCTTTCCCAAACATTCTAGGTTGAATATTCAAGATGACCAGCACAGTAGATAAAGAACAGAGCGCCATATTGCCGACTCATTCCCCGATTCTCTCTCGCGATAACCAGCTGTTACCCTGACTGCTGCCGCCACCGTTGTCGTCGCACTCGCTGCATGTTCAGGGGTGGAACGGCTGCGCCATTTGCGCCATTTTGCGCCAGACGCATTTGTCTGCGCCATCCTGCGCCATTTCACGGAAACTGCGCCACAGCCAATACCTTGCGCCATTATGCACCAAATCGCACAACGTGCGCCAAAAAAAATTTGTTTTTTGTCTTGGTTTCGGTTCCTATCGACTCGATTAGCAACAATTACCCCGTTTAGCTTGGTCGGCCTTGCAATCCTTTGTTCTCTTTATTCTCCCTGTGTATCCCGAGTCGGAAGCGCGCGAAAAAACTCGGGGATCGGATTCGAATCGCTACACCTGCGACTGGACTGTTATTCTTCAACCATAAGCTGTTAAGCAAGTCGACCGAGGTGAGGTCGAGTCGTTAAGCGTCCGATTGCCTGAGGCTCTGCAGCCCGGGATCCGGACGTCAGCCAATTGAAAACAAATGAGCAAAATACTCCTTTTAGTACTTCGTCGTTAGAAGTTGAAACAGCATTCCCGCAAGATAATTGCGATTTGATAGAACTGAAACGCGGTCCGATCCGGAACCTTGCCTGCCAGCTGCTGTCACGCGAGCGGTAGATCTGCTCGGCGTACTTCAACCTTGCTCCCGCTAATCGCTTTGAATACGATAACTCCGTTAATTGTAGTCTGCTGCTTCGATATTGAGTTGCACAATAAGATATACTCGAAATTTGTTGCCCTGTTCCTCCGCGCAACTGCACGTCCGTTGCTTACGCACGTCATGTGGTTCGCACATATAATCACTCTGTCGAGCACGCGGGGGTTGTGCGATAAGCAGTGCTGTATTGCATTTTGAGCAGCTGAAAGCCACTCAGAAAATATCAAGGACACCATCTACAGAAACATATGGTACTTGCTTTTTGATTCTCATTAAGGCTCACAAAGTTTCAAGTTTTGGCATCTGTTACACTGTTATCCCATTACCTAGGTCCCTAACCACTCATGTTCATCTGTGCTGCTAAGCACAATTGAAATTGCTCCCGTGCTCGTCTAAGACAAGCTGAAGTGCAGTGAAAACTGATCTGAGCTGCTCCTAGCCTGCTCCAGAATGTAGTTTTAGCTGCTCCCAACCTGCTCCAAAACAGCGGTTTCAGCTGCTCCCGTGGCTGCTCCCAAGTACACTTCATGAGTTCCACCCCTGATGTTCTTTTTCGTTTCTGGCACAAGTTTGCCTATTGATTCTTTGGTTCATTCCGTTTCATCCTGCATCGTTGTCTGTCATTCGTGACAATATTATCTCCAAATTTTTGATTGGTGCTTGCTCTGTATTTTACGGCAGTATAGTTTGTGTGTGATTCATTGTCGCTTCTGAATTTGCCAGTTCTGCACACTTGTGGCAGAGTAAATATGCTTTGGTTAGTGGAAGAATGCATTGTAAACTTGCCTTCCTGCTGGCATTGTATGAACAAAAGTGTGGTGGGATGAATGGGCTGCCAAAGATTGGCTGCAGAAAGTGGAGGATTAGCGGCACATGGTACTTTACTGCCAACGATTGTTCATCTTGTGTCCAATGTTTATCTTGTGTCCAATGTTTATGCAACAGGAGAAGCCCCTCCATTTATTTTGTGTTTGCGATTCCAGGGAGAACCGTGAATGCCAGAGAAGACGAGTTGAAACAAGCTCTGTAAATTGTTCAAGTTTCCCATAAATAGAGCACGTTTTTTCGAACAAGTGTTACTGCATTTGTTCGTTTTTCACTTCAGTGGGGAGCTTCCCCACTCCGTCTGTGATAAAATGTAAGTTTTCTACAGCCACTGTGCAATATTAAAATTTTCAAGATATGTTTTCTGTGTCAATGTTGTTGATGTTTGTCTCGTACACAACTCTCCTTAGTTATGATCATCTATTACACTTCATAGGTGTTAATATTCCTTTTTCTCACCACTTTCAGTTTAAGAAGCTCCCGCTCCTACATTACTGCCGGAGCAGACTGATCTCGTCAGCCAGTTTGTGCTCCTCTTTGTAATTGTTGTAAATCATGCGGTTCAAATGTGTCTGCACTAAATATTTTTGATGAAACTATCAGTTCCAATTACTACTTCATGCAGCTTCAGTCAATGGCATGTGCACCATGGGGGTTGGTGCCATTTTGCTCAACTCTAATACCCGAATCGCATGATATGATTTTACTGCAATTTTGCAGTTGTGACGTCGCTCGTGGCGAAATGTAGGGTGGAAGCTGCAGTGCCCAAAGTTGTGGCTGCACACCGTGTGAATAGACCATATATGAAATGCACAGTGCCATCTAGTGGGGTGCCAAAGAACATGCTTGGTCTCATCAGTTCGCTTCAGTGGTGGCAAAGGCCAGGGCGCAAAAGAGTAGTTTTGAAAAATCCTTCGCTCGCACAAGCATTTGCGCAGAAAAAGCGCTTTCGAAAACCAGGTGCTCCCACCTGTGCCTTTGCTGGCACTCAAAGCCAAATATTGAGCTGAAGCATGTCCGCCATGTTGGCTGCGGCAAGGAACCGACGATCGGCGGGACGACAAGCAGGTACATGCGCAACAGCGTAAAACAATGCTAAACCTTAGCTCGCAGGTGTGGGAAAGGATAGATGACTGAGCAGTAGGTCTCGATTGTGACTGAAAATGCTAAGAAATTGACAAACAGCAGAGGAATCTCGACGTAACAGCGGATTATTTGCATCTATTGCCTCATTTGTATGTTCAGAAATGTTTTGGTGTTTTTTCAAGTTACATATCATCTATTTTGTGTTGGCCATAAGTATTTCGGCTTAAGTTCTTTGCTTGATACTTCATTCATTCTAATAGGGAACTTATTTAGCACATTTTGATGTGTTGCAACATACACCATATTTTCCGGGCCAATTTAGGCCGAAAAAAAGTTTTTGCTTAAATAATCTGCATCCGGTGCGTAGTTCGTACTGGTGCTTAGTCGACACGAATATCTTCTCGTACACGACACACCTTGACAAATGTCTGCTTTTTTAGCTCACAAAGAAGCTTGTATTAAACATAAATCATTAAGAACATACTCTCATTCACAAAACCCGTCACGCCTCGTCACAATGAACGATCTTGAAGACCAAAACTCCTGTATACTCTGCGGACTATAGCCCGGAAAATGCGGCACCAACGAGAAAACGAAAAGATACTGGGACTTGCAAAAATGGGAACTCGCCGTGGTTAGGAAAAAGTTCACAACAGTTCCATTTTCCAAGACAATTTATTGAATAAATCCTACAACCATCACTTTCAATACCGATCCTTGCATTGGAGCAAATATTTGCGGCCTCCTGCGCTGTACGCACGGAAAGCCTATCACAGTAGTGTGGTCGGGATGTTTTGAGCATTTTATTAATACATCTGCTCTTAACCTGGTCCCACATATTACAATCTTAACTTCCCACCTACAAGTTTAAAAGTATACAGCATGACTTGCAGGTGCCACATGTCAAGACAGTTAACCCGAAAAAACTAAATCTCGTGCAGCATAGAACATTGGGCTTGCACTAAGCTACCTGCTGTAAACTGCCTGTTGGTGGCATCAAAGAATCGCATAATATCCCCACCTATGTAATAAGCCGGCATTCAACATAAACACAAAACAACATAAACATAAACGTAAATACATTCAAAACCAATCATCTCTTAAATAACCCGTTAGAAAGTGGGGGCAAGCTTGTTTGTACATACTGGAAAGGAAACAAGTGAGGAGTGAAAGAGCTTTGGTGGTGCCCCTAGAAAATGAAAGTTACAGTCTTTATCAATATGAAAGACCCACTCTGAATACCTAGTTAAAGGCAAGGTGGATAATGCAGCAAAACTTAATCGGCGTGCATTCCTGCGGACAGCAGCCACAGTCTCGGCCACGTGCTCCGAGCGGTCTCTCGTATTGGTGGAGACTGTACAAGTGCCGTCCTACACTGTGCACCAACCATGCACAAAGGGAAAACGCTCCGCTCGATTCCGTTTGTTCAATGTGCCCTTTGCAGCAAAGGCATTCAATCTTGCGATTCGCTGCAGCATCCGATCGCGCGTCTACCGCATCGTGACCAGCTCTTCGGCGGATGTCGGGTGGATGGCGACGCAGTCGTCGAACTGGGCCTTGGTGGCACCCATCTTGATGGCCACCCCAAACCCCTGCAGGATCTCGTCCGCACCGTCGCCGATCATGTGCAGCCCCACCACTTTCTCCTCCTTGCCCGCGCAGACCAGCTTCATAACGCACTTCACCTTGCGCCGAGTCATACTGTAGTACATTGGCGTGAAGCTGCTGCGGTAGACCTGCAGAGGCGATGGAAAAGGATGCTGAGGACGTGCATCTTGTCAACGTTTCCAAATCCCAGGCATGGTTTGGGGGTTAATTTTTGGGTGTATTGGTATTTACCGAAAACTCTGAACCCTATTATAACACCCTATATAAACTATAGACAATTCACAATATTTATAAAAGAATGTAGAGCACTAGAGGCAGGCAATGACATCAAATTGGAATTAAATGTAAACCAAACTTTGTATTGTAACTTAAAAAAAAAAGTATTAATATTTTGTTTTTGATGCTGTTGGAGGTTTTCCTCACCTGTTTAAATTCATATATTCAATCATTCCAGTATCTTGTGTATTTTGAATTTTTTTTTATTTATATACTTCTGTTATTGGGAAGATGCCAATCAATGTCTAATTTTGTAAGCCTGTCAAAAAAATATAATAAAAAAAAAAATATTTTTTTTTTTTATGCAACAACAATGTTTCAGGACATTTATTATGGTAATAATGGCAAGTTAGGCTTTCGTGCAAAAACTGCACCCTGGCTAGAGGGAGTTTGAATTCCCACTGCGAGCACCGCAAACACTGCAATTTTGAATCCTGATGAGCTGAAGCTTGTATTTAATGCCATTTTTAGTGGTTCGAATTTATAGACCTTATGTGACCTGCTTAGCCACAAGTGCCATGCTATAAACCAACACACAGTTTACAAACAAGTGGGTGTTTGCTCACACCAGGTGTGGGCACTGCACATGCACACAAACCAGACGCGTGGACAGAAGCGTCTGCTCAAGCGCCGTACCGACAGCAGTGCCACCGCAACGGCGTAACGTCGGAGCTGTGTGTTGGTGTATATGTGTTTAATACAACACTCGTCAAAATGGTCTTGTCACTGTTGAGTGGCCTCTTAGCAATGTGCATAGCATTTTGCAAGAATAATTGCATTGCTCTAATTAGTGGCCTTAAATATTTCGATACATATTTTTTCACGTTCTGAAATAATAATAAATTTCGACACGGCTTCCAAATTTCGTTTTCTCATTGGCTGCTGCTTTGCATGAAAAACCTAGCTGGCACAAGGATGCGGGTTGAGAGAAAACCCAGAGCCATGAAATGTGTCCCAATGTCTCATGTTTCTAAAGTGGGATGATTTGGCAGTTTTGAAGGTGCCCAGCAAGTTTCTAATTGAAATTTAGCACTTTAGTAAGTAAAAATTAAAACTGGAAAAGAATCAAACACTTAATTATTCAAAATGCTACGCACCTTCCTCAATAAGCCCTTTGAAAGAGACCAATAGGTGCGTATGGGATTAACCTTTTTCTTTAATTACTATGCAAAGTTTAGTTTTTACAGAGAAAGTTTGGCTGGTGCACTGTGAAACGTTTTATACTGAACATAGTCACGATTAGCATATTGAAGGGTATGACACCACCACCACTAGTGTGCTGCTTCTCCTCGGCAAAAGTCGGTGATTGCGCACAATTACGACAATCAATGATTTCTGTGCTATTTCGAAACAGTTCCATTTTCTATTGTGTATCTGCCAATACCTCTAGTGAAAATATTTAAGTTTTGTGCCACAAACAAGTGCAACCGTCATATCTACTCTCATAGTAGATATCGAAAGCAGTACACAACAGGTGGTTCTGTCTGCAAAACAACCTCGTCTCTACCATCTGCAGCTGTAAAGCGACACTGTACACGCAAAACTGGTTTGCACTCCTGAAACGAGCAGAGCGGGAGCGTTTGTTTCACGTTAACTTGGCAAACTGTAGAGGCTGCGGCCCCCACAGCCCAATAATGGCATTGGAGCAAGGCTTGTGACAATGCTCCATGGTCGGGGCCATGGAGGCCTCATTACCACCACAGCAACTGCATCTTCAGCGACACTACGCTACACGACACAGGAGAAAGACGAAGACATGTTACTATTCAATGATACTTAATTCGGCTCAAGCCTTTTCCGAAAACAATGTGGCTTTTGAACGATGTTTGAAAGATTGCAGCCCTGTAATCGACCACTTCCGCTCAAAACGTCATCCTGGCATTAGTACTCGCCACACATTCGCACGTAAATTGAGCGTATGGTTGTCTCATAAACTTTTCCAGAAGAGATCGTTACTCTAGCGGACGGCAATGTTGCGGCAGTGGACGTTCATTCGAAGTTGGTTGGTTTTGCGGCAGACGACTCTTGGCCAGCAGACGACAAATGGTTCCTCCAGGCCTCGAATTTGGTGGTGATATAAAAGCTCCCGTGATGTGAGATCACGTGCCTCGCTCTGACACACCGTACTCTCCAGAGTTCGCCAACTTATCGTGAAACGGAGTATGGCTCCATTTTGCCAGAATCGTAAATGAGTCTAGATATTCTACAATACCTAGTCTTGTGTGGCAGTGAGCAGGCTAGATATTTTGTCCAAGAACCAGAAAATGAAGTGCTACTTTGCAAAGGCATTGAACAGTGTCACTGCATTTGCCATTCTTCATGGTACACCTAAAAATGGCTGCCGGCACCATCATGTCTCAGCCACCACGTTTGTGCTTGAGTGCAAAGGCCCGTTCACGGACTTAGGACTCCTTAGAACCAAGCGCCTTGAAACCTCTTAAAATTTCTTAGAACGAGATAACACACTAAAATGCTGGCGCCATCTGTGCGGTGACCCTGGAACTTCATTTCACTAGAGTGAAGGTTTTGTGGGATTTCTGAAGTCAAATGAACGTAATACCTATGAGAAATGTTGTTTATGATGTTGACAAAAGTTTTTCGAGCCAAGAAAGAAAGGATGATGCACAAGAGAAATATCAATGTATGCAGGACTACCAGGTTTCCACTGCTACCATATAGATGGCTCCAGTGTGTCCTCTCGTCATAAAGGCACTCGGTCTAAGAAGTCGCAAGTGTGTGAACGGGCCTTTACCAAGTGCACTCTGTTGCTGCTTCTGACGAGAACACAAATATTGGCGCCATCTATATAAAGTAGCTGTGGAACAAGTTCGATCCACATATAACTAGACTGAAGGCTTTGCAGTATTTGCGACATCAAATTCACACTATCGATGAGAAATGGCCGTTTGTAGCATTGCAACAATTACTTCAAGGCCACAATAAAAGAATGATGGGTAAGAGAACCTAGGAAATATATACGCAGATGGAGAAGTTCCAAGGCTACCGACAGATGGCGGCAGTGTGCCAGTGTACGAAGATTTAATAAAGTCATTGGGTTTTAGAGACAGCGAAGAGAGAGTGGATTTCAAGACTGTAGAGATTACCAAGCAAAGATTAAGTGAATGGTGGCAGAAATCGAGAGAAAACTAGGTATTTTCTTATTCACTGATGGCAAGGGGGTTTCATAGCCTCACTTTCTTTGCACTGCGGAGTGAATATAGATTTCACATTTAAATATTCTAAGCTTAAATGGTAAAACAAAATGGCTAGGTGGCGTAAGCTACCGCCCGATCCAAAGGGGTCAGCCGTATTGATCCATCCATCCATCCATCCACGATAGATGAATGGATGCTAACGGTTGTACCAGAGCCGTATATGTAGAGAGTTTGGTCAAGGGGAGGCGCGGGCAGAGCCAGGGCGTGCACCAGACTCGGCAAGAGGGCTTGGCATGCTCTCTTGGCCAACCAGAAGCCGAAAAGAATCGCCTAGCGGTGGTAGCAAGAAACAGTTCTGATCAAAGGTCTATGTTTGTAAATGGTTTTAATAAGCGCGTAAGAGTGAAGCGTAGTAACTCTTCGTGGTTGAAAATAGGGTGCACGTGTTGTTTTGATTATGATCATGCAGAAAGATGTAAGAAACGAATGCGTCGCTCAACTCTGTTTTACTCGGACAGAGTGTGACCACTCGGACGGCAGATTCCCGGCCCTCGGCGCTTGGCTTACGGATTATGTCGATCGTTCCGCTAGTCGCACTCCTCCACCATCATTTTGGATGAGCGTGATTGAAACATCACGTGTACCATATTTTCAGTCATCGAGAGTTACTGTAATGCAGTTATCAGGTTTGCTTCTCGCGACCACCGCCAGGGTATTATCTACGGCTTCTGGTTGGTCACATTTGAATTTCTGAAGACGCCCTGGAACACGCCCAGCCCGCTTTCGGCCAATGGCGCCTCCCCATTTGTCTCCTATACATGCCAACGAATGGCCAAACTCTCTACATATACGGCTCTGGGTTGTACCCTTTATATCGTGCGGTAGCTTACGCCACCTAGCCTCTGCACTCTTTCGTTTCGTGTATTCCCATGCGGCCCCCAGAGCCGTATATGTAGAAAGTTTGGCCATTCGTTGGGAAGTATAGGAGACAAATGAAGCGGCGCCATTGGCCGAAAGCGGGCTGGGCGTGTTCCAGGGCGTCTTCAGAAATTCGAGTGTGACCAACCAGAAGCCGGAAATAATACCCTGGCGGTGGTCGTGAGAAACAAACCTGATAACTGCATTGGAGTAACTCTCGATGGCTGAAAATATGGTACACATGATGTTTCAATCACACTCATCTAAAATGATGGTGGAAGAGTGCGACTAGCGGAAAGATCGACATACTCTTACGCCAAACGCCGAGCGCCGGGAATCTGCCGTCGGAGCGGTCACACTTTGTCCGCGCAAAACAGAGTTGAGCGGCGCATTCGTTTCTTACATCTTTCTGCATGATCATGATGAAACAACACGTGCACCCTATTTTCAACCACAAAGAGTTACTACACTTCACTCTTACGCACTTATTAAAACCCTATACGAACAGAGACCCTTGATGATCGATCAGCTCAGAACTGTTTCTCCCTACCACCGCTAGGGGATTCTTTTCGGCTTCTGGTTGGTCAAAAGAGCATGCCAAGCCCTCTTTCCGAGTCTGCCGCACGCCCTGGCTCTGCCCGCGCCTCCCATTGACCAAACTCTCTACATATACGGCTCTGGCGCCCCCATTGCCAGTCTACCCGCGCTCGTCTGCCGGGTCCCTATAGGCTCCTTGCATTGACGTCACATCGCACACATTTGAACACCAAGTAAAAGGAGGAGAGTAGCTGCTTTTGTAAGAATTTTGAGTGACAGGTTAATCCTCTATAATCTTCTGGGAGGAGAATGGTGACGCCTGTGCAAATCCGGGAGGCACACAGGAGGATCCTGATAAGAGGGGAGCTCCTTCTTCCCCTCTTCTCTGGAGGGCAACGGAAATGACGTCCTGTGCGACTGGACCTCAGATTTCATGCATAATACTGCATTGCCTAAAGACAACCCCGGCACCATGACTACTACACCATTCGCTGTACACCAATCAGACATGCTTCGTTCAGCTGTAGTTTAGCCAGTTTAGCTCACCTTGATGTCCTCAGGGCCGTAGTGGGAGCGCGCCTCGGCCTCGGTCATGCCCACCGTCCCGATGGGCGGGTGGCTAAAGATCACCGTCGGGATGTTGGCGTACACGAGCCTCGAGTCCGGCTTGTTGTTGAACAGCCGCTCGGCAAGCCGCCGCCCGGCCGCGATGGCCACGGGCGTCAGCAGCCACTTGCCGCAGACGTCGCCGAGCGCGTACACCCCGTCGCAGCTCGTGTTCTGGAAGGCATCCACCTGGACGTGCCCCGTCTTGTCCAACACGACGCCCGTCTTGTCCAGGCCGATGTCGACCGCCGGCTTTCGGCCGACGGCCCAGAGGAGACAGTCAACGCCCTCGATCTCGACACCCGTCGTCGTCTTCACGCGGAGCAGCGGGCCACTCTTCGTGACGCTCGCCACAGTGCAGTGTTTCTCGAAATGGACGCCTTCGGAGGCCATGTGCTCCATCAGCGCAGAGCCCAACATCGCGTCGAAGGCTCGGAGGATCTTATCGGTGCGCACCACAACGGTCACCGCGGTGCCGAGCGCGTGAAACACACCGGCGAGCTCGACGGCGATGTAGCCGGACCCCACGACGACCGCCTTCTTCGGAATGGAGGTGAGCTCGAAGAAACCGTCGCTGGTGATGCCGTGTTCGGCACCCGGGACATCAGGGACGATCGGGTAGCCGCCGGTTGCGATGAGCACGTGATCGGCCGTGAAGGCGTCGGTGCCGACGCGAACAGTCTTCGGAGCCGTGAAGCCACCCGCGCCTCTGATGATCTCCACGTTGCTTTTAATCAGATTCGCCTTGTAGATGCCGTTTAAGCGCATGATGTAATCGTCCCGCTTCGCCTTGAACTTGGCCCAGTCGACGGCGGAGGCGGCGGTGACGGCGAAGCCGTAGTCTTCGTGGTCTTTGATGAGTTCGGCGTGGCTGGCGGCGTAGTAGCACAGTTTCTTGGGCACGCAGCCGACGTTGACGCAGGTGCCGCCGAGGGGGCCCTGCTCGACGAGGGCCACCCTGGCACCGTGCTCAGCGGCACGTCGGGCGCTCGCGATGCCGCCCGAGCCGCCGCCGATGACGAGGTAGTCGAAGTGTCGGGCCGTGCCGGTCATGGTGTTGGTGCTCAGAGAGCGCCGGATGCCGTGGCTGCTAGCGAGGAGACAGCGCAACAGAGGCATTAAGCGGGGGCAGAAATTCCGGGTTTGTCCAACCGCGAAAGAAGACGGCAAAGTACACTGTACACTTACTTGAGGTAGAAAATGAATGGAAACAAGGCAGAAAGGCGGGCAAGGCGGGGGCGAGGAAGCCGCCGACTTGATGTAGTGGATTGGATTGACTTTGAGTTTTAAATATCAAAAAAGAGGGGAAAGCGTTCGCGCTGCCGGGCAAAACACAAAATCTACCAAGCAGAAATCAGTGACCAAGCTCGTGCACGTTTTTTTTTTTTTTATTGTACTGAAAAATTAACGAAAACATTACTCACATTGCACCTACAGGCATTCAGTTCCATCAACAAAACTCTTCAGGCGGTTTTTCCAGTTCCCTAGGGAGCACTTTCGTATTTTGCTTAGGAGGCGCAAGCGCAAGAAGACGCCCAATACGAAAGATTTTGTTATATCGATCTATCCGTTCATCATCAATCACACTATTTCTTTCTTGGCAGACGGCATTTCTGGTTCGCATGCTCGTGTTTTCAAACAACCAGTGCAAGTTTGTTTTCAGCAGTTTTCAAGCATGAATTTGATCCAAGAAGGGAGCTACGTCGTGATAAGAGGGGCCAACAACGTACGTCTAGTTCAGGTGGACAAGAAAAAGTAAGACGCGCTATGCGAGTCGCCATCATCGTGGTCCGCACTACCGGCTTTTTCGTTGCATGATATCACATCGTGCCTTGAGCTGATTTTGCCTTAACTATTGCAGGCCGATTTTCTTTGGAAAACGGAAGTTCGGAGTGCAAGCCGCGATCGGACAACCCTTCGGATCCGTGTTCGAGATCCGAGATCGAGATTTACGGAAGGTTTCTGCGGAGGAATTCAGGCGGACATCCTCCGAATGCATTCCCCAAGTCGACGGTGAGGACACAACTCGCAGAAGCGTGATTATGGTCGAAAACGCGTGTAATTGTTGGATGGGACTGTTTTGAAGTTATAATTTCTAATTTAAGTGAATGATGTCGCATAAATTAGCCAGTAACACATATCTTTCAGGTGGGCGATCTTTCGGTGTATTTTTGTTTTTCCATATGTAGGAAACACGCTTATTTTGTGTGTGTGCGTGTGTGTGTGTTTGTGTGTGTGTTCCCCCAACTACCGAAAACAGCATTGGGATACCCTGTGTAGGATGAGTTACATTGCTGTGGATAGACATATTTTACATATATCAGGTGCTTCCACTCAAAGCTCGGAAAGCACTGCAGTGTGGCAGAACAGTTGGTACCGCAGAACATGCACCATATACACTTCTCTGTATGTTAAGGACTCACCAGCTAACTGGTGTTTCTGTGCACTTTTTAGGAGTATTCTTAGCTTCAGGGGAGGGCGCATATATAAAAGGGTTTTTGTTTCCATCTGCATGTCTAATTTACAATTCCAGTAAGCTGCTGTTGACACTCTAGCCCTGGAGACAGGACAGAAAAGACAAGACAACACTCTGTCTCTGGACTTGTTGGTTGACGATGCTGAAATGCTGTCAAGTTTTATTTAATTGCTCTTTAACTATGACCTCAACATACAGTCAGAAACTGGAGACAATATTCATTGTGGTGCTAAACACCCACAAACTAATCTTTGTATGCGTCTTTGCCGCTTACTGGCTTTTGAAACTTTGTGACAAAAGACAAGAAATTAGCTCGAGGTAATCTCGAATTGCATGTGTCTTTGGTTGACAACATGTGCTCTCTTTTCAATGTAATGTTATCTATTATAAATATGTCAATGAGGCATGCGCATTCACTTTAATGAGCCGCTGCCATTCTAGATGTGCTGACAAGTGGCCAGGACAACCGGAATCTACTGGATGACGGGAAATCTCAGAAGCTCACTAGGGAGCAGATTGAGAACTTCAAGGCAGGCGGAACATCTGGAGAGGTGTGTTCAGTCACTAAAGACAAAGTTTTGAGTTACACTAATTTTCAGTCTTTTCTTAACAACTGTGGCACACAGCTACCATCTGTTCAAAGCTCATTAGGAGGAACCATTTTATTTTTTTCTTAATTAGAGTTCTATAAACATTTTACAGATGAACAACTCTCCCTGTCTGCTCACGATGACGTAACCTGAAAAAGCGCGATTCTAAAATTTCACTAAAAAAACATTAGAATGGACTGAAATCACTTGTAACTTTTGAGTAAGATAACGGTTAGTACTGAAACATTGGCATCTGGTTCGCACTTCTAGCGCTACATTTGGCTAGGAGTGAGTATTCGGCGATGCATAGTTTTTGTGTGCGGTGAAAAAAAACCCTGCAAACTTGTGTAGTTTGATAAGGAATTTCAGTCAGCTCAGATAGATGATCGTTTTCGTTTCTATTAGTTTAAACGTAAAAAAGTATGAGCCAAAAAAACTTTTTTTTTACCTATATTAGTTTTGTTTTTCAGAAAATCTGTTGCATGCCAGAGCTAAAGAATATGAATGGAGAGTAAACGAAAGATCGCGCAAATCCTTGTCACAACTTACCGATTGTTGTTACGAAGGGGCGTGGCTCCATCACGTCTGCCCTCATTCTTAGTTGTCTTCGCGAAAACGAGCCACCAGAAAGACCAAGCGGCGCATTCACGTTTTTTTTTCTCCGCATGTCTCGCGTTTGTCGTCCGTTTGTTTCCGAGGTACGAGCTCGAGGCATTGGCCGTTGCCGCGTCCCCGTCTGCAGGAGATTGTCAAGACGCTGCTGGAGAACAGCACGACGTTCAAGAAGAAGACGGAGTACTCCCAGCAGAAGTACCTCAAGAAGAAGCAGCAGAAGTACCTCCAGCATTTGACGCTCGAGAGGCCCACGGCACGCCTTCTCGGCGAGATGTACTACTCCCAGAACCCGCTCAAAGTCGGGTGAGGCTCAGCCGTCGCTTCTAATATTTAGTTTATTTTATTTCGAAGCACTCCCCCCCGTGGCACTATGTTAGGAGAGAGCCTACACACTCCCTGGGAATACATAAAAATCTAAAGTAACACACGCTCGAACGAAAAAGTTTGACAACATCATTTCCTCAGACGGGTCGGGCAAATTGTCAAAGAAGGAAAAAAAAAAGATGAGGGTTGAAGCGAGGCGAAACAGCAATAGGTTACAACGCACCATCGCTGGAGCAAACTCATACAATGTGCATACATAAGAAAGAAAAAAAGATGTTGCATTTTGTTGCTTCGCCTGCCAGAAAGGAAAGAAAAAAGCTGATACGAAAATGTCTCTCACTGCAACGTTGTCTACACTATGAGGCGCTGTTTAAGTGCCTCTTTCAGTATATTGGAAGCATAGAGTAGATTCCCTCTATTTCCTAGTAGAGGCCGATATGACGAAGATGTAAAGTGTTGGGGGCATTCACCGGATGCCACGTGTAATTGCCCTGGCTTGTACGTCGTACGAAAGAAGTGGTGTTCACTGAAGACACAATGATAGAGGCATCTGCAAAAGCAAAGCATACGAAGCATGTTTGCTTCGTATGCTTTGAACATGCCTGCAAACTGTCTTTTGTACGACGTATTAGCGGCGTGACCGCAGCTTTACGAGTCGCCACGACTGGCGACGACGTGGAAGCATTGCGCGAGTACTGCGGAAGCTCACGATTGGCATGCTCTCGGCGGCCACAGACTGCTGCGGCGCCAACGAATGTTCTCTACGCGGAGAGCAGGTCGTCCGCTTCTTGGATGAGAGTTTCGGTGACGTCCGAACGACGCCGAACGACGCCGGACGACGCGGACTGGCTTTGGTCGACGGAATAATGGGTAGACTTCGATGCTAGATGCCTCGAGGTCTTCCCACTATATCTTTCGGTCGGCGAATAAGAGCTCGGCGTTCCGACTTCGTCGCAACCCCCGTGCAAGAAGCGAATGAACTCGCGCTCGGCGTAGTGAAGCTTTGTAAGTGAGGTCAGCCTTTACGGAAATAAATTTATGCCGCGTTAGTATGTGCTCCGTGTGATTACCTCAAATGCCTTTACCAATATATTAAAGGCGTACGCTAACTCCCCTCTCCGTAACGGCCGGTTCGCACACTTCCAACTGCTTGCCCCTTGTGGTCTCTCGCGACGAGAGAATGCGCTGGTGCCACCTGTCGGGTAGTTGCGGAATTTTCGTCTATTTCCTATTTGTTTTGTCTACCATTCTTCCGCTACTGGATCACTTTTGACATAGATATAAATGAGCATTTTTCTTAGATAGTGTGTACATTTGATCTCATAGATACTGCAAAACATTCGCTCTAGTGAAATGTAGTTCCGGGGAAACCTTGTAGATGGCGCCAGCGTGATCTCGTTGTAAGAGATTGCAAGAACTCGGTCGTAAGTAAACGCAAGTATGTGAACTAGCTTTAATGGCGAAGACATATAAAGTTGAAGTGGAACATCTCTCTAGTGAATACTGACATAGTGATGCGTGGCTGAAGTGGTGCCTGTCTCTAGTAAAAACCGACACGACAAAGATACGGACATTGTTGATCACCGTGGATTACTGCGCGAGGTATGTTAGGGAAAATGAGGCAGTGCATCAATGTGGCAGCTATAGAGTGTGCCCTTTCGTTATGATCTTCACCTTTGGGACATCTTGCGATCCACCGCGACAGGTGCAGGTGTGTCCCTTTTGTTCGACGACGTAAAAATATTCGGACGACACCATAACAAAATTGCAAGAGGGGTAAACGAAGCATATGTTTATCGATACACACGCCGAGGACACGTCTGTTGGGGCTGCATTTTTGACTATTTTAGGTGACGAGGTGGATTTTATAAGGAAATGTGACAACGAGCTTTGATTGTGGGCTGGATTTTTTTTGTGCACGTAATAATATCCTCGGTTCTCTCTTTCTTTATTTCCACCTCCCATTCGGAAATAAATATTCAGTCGGCAGTCGGCCTCCTTCTGTGTGTGCATCTCTTCCTTGCATCCTTCCTCTTTTTTAACACCACTTTAGCTTTCTTGAGACGTTAACCATAAACACTAAAACCACCGGCCGGGCGGCGCGAGTCATCTCCCAATTTAAAGGGTTCACCCACGCGCGTCCGTCCTTCCGCCCAGGAACATGCGGGTGGACGCGCTGGCCCAGCTGCTGACGTGGTGCAACGTGCGGTCCGGCGGGAGATACGCCGTCTTCGACTCCTGGCTGGGGCTGCTCACCGCAGCAGTGCTGGAGCGGTTGGGAAGGGAGGGCTCCGTCGTGCAACTCTACCCTGGTCTGGGGCCCGACAGGTGGGTGTCTTCCATAGAGCCCTTATTGAAAAAAACACTCAATCCTCCAAAAAGTTTCTCGAAAGTACTTGCTACACTCTGATCATCTTACGACTGGCTACAGCAGATGCGACGAGCGTCGGAGCTAATCCAAGGCCGTGCAAGTTGTATGCGACCCTGAAGAGGGGGTGCAGTGACGTGCAGGAAGCATATCACGTGCTACTTTCACGGCACTGGATTGGTTGGGATTGCTCGTCTGCAGTTGAATGTGAGGTGAAAGGGAGTATAGATAAGATTGTGTCACAAACCCCTCCTGCAAAAGAAAAGTTTTTAATATGATGTTTTATTTTCATTGACAGCGTAAGGTCCATCTGCCTTTGAGGTGCAACAACACTGGTTTACACCAAAGATGAGCAATTTAGCGAACCTAGCCTGGTGCCTTTAACATGCATCGTGCAGTTGCGATCTGCGACCGCGGGCCAATTCAATACTCATCCAGATTAGAGTGGGCAAGGGTGGGGATCGAGCCCCCGTTCCCCGGGTTCTGAAGCTGCGGCATGCCTACCCGCTCGGCCACCAATCCCCTGTTGCATATGTTGCGAATTAAACTTTCTCCTCCCCCAAGAAAAAATTGAGCGCAACATGAATGTTGCGAGGCTCACCTTGAGTTTTATTCAATTTTCTGTCGACGTGCCGAAATAGAAGCAAGTTTTGGAATTGCTCCTCACTCAAAATGAGTCTCGCAACATAAATATGGCACTAAAAGTTTTTGACGTTATTCTAAAGTCAGAGTAGGTTGAGTGAAGGCTATTTGTCGGTGACAGGTTAAGCTTCCGGGGGAAGCTCCTCCCGCCTCTTTTCACTTTAGCGGAGCAAACACTGAAGAGGAGGCAACCTCCTCTCCAGCGTTCACTCTGCTAAAGAGGAGAGAGGTGGAGAAGCTTCCCCTTAACTCTTAACCCGGAGCCGACTACATAGTTCAGACCCAGCTAGGCGGCGTTAGACTCGGATGGAGCTCAAGTCGCGGTTAAGGCTGCATCATATGATGTTAGGTTAAGGGCCGACGTTAGGTTAGGTTAAGGGAAGATAATCCTCTTGGCACCTGCCTCTCCAAAACTGCGAGGGGGCCACATTAGGACCAGTGTTGCGGAATGGGCACCCCATTCCATTCCAGCTCCATTCCGGGGAATTAGAGCCTCCAACAATTCCATTCCTTCCGACTAGGAAAGGAAACACTGGGCCCATGTCCACTCCTGGAATGGCTGATCCGTTCCATTCCATTCCTCCAATTCCTAAATATGAAAAAATGGCTCTTGACAGCCACATTGTGTCGCCGGAGAGAGCAGCGTAAAGCTGATGTTATTAAACACAGAGACAATGGCAAAAGCATGTAAAATGCCTCCCCTAGCACTATATACTACGGCTAATGGTGGTCGCTTGGAGCACTTCGTGGCACTTCTGTCTCTGAAGGGATTGATCAGGCTTGAAGCCGCAGTTGCAACGATAATTCACCTTACGAAAGACAGTCTGCAGGTACTGCCTGAGGCGTGTTTCTTCATTGTGTGACAGTCCTATCACATTATTCATGCAAAAACTGTCTCTAGTCAGGTTCGAAACATGGTCACCGTAAGGGACTCTAGGACCATGCTATAAAACCCGCCTTAAAACATATACTTTTATCTCTGCTCTTCGAACCATTCTTGCAATTTCTTACCATATTCAATCCAATTCTTTATTTATTTCCCACACCAACGCTGAAAGATCTGCTGGGTTAAAAGCTACGTGCTAATTACGCGCGGTTAGAGCAGACACTATGTCGCGTCTCGTGGCACCAAGAACGACACCTTGTTGTCCATCTACAACTTTTCAGTTTTCTTGCTTAGTGTGCACCATTAATCTTCGACGAAGCATGAGCCATTGAGACACTCAAAACGTCAGTCATTTTCAGTGCAATGATACTGCTCAAGAGCCACTTCGACCACGCGCTAACAGTGCACCAGCAGCCCGTAGACCCCTAGCTGAAGGTCGACATACCTCGCATAAGGACCGAGCCCATTCCATTCCCACTCCATCCCGGGCAAAATGCATCTTGCGGCCATTCCATTCCCATTCTATTCGGGGTTGCGGAAGTGAGGAATGATTCCGGAATCATTCCAACTCCAGAGTGGCAACACTGGTTGGGACTAGCTGAAAGGTCGAGGGGATATGGTAAAGGAGGAAGCTACAAAAAGTGGAAGGCGCAAAGTGTGCGTTGGCCTTTAAGCTGACCGCCATTTTCACCAACACGTTCCTTCAATCTCGGTCATACTACAGCGGATTCCTAACCGTACTGTCCCCGACCGTTTCCCCGCAGTTCGTACCGACAGGCAGTGAATGCTCTCAACCTGGATGAGAACTTTGTGCACTCGACCGTTCTGGAGCTGCCCTTTCAGCGAGCCCTCGACCTGCTTCGAGAGTCTTCCACGGCGGAAGACGGGGACGGAGACTCTTCGATGGCAGCGTCAGCAGATCAGGCCGAGACGACGGTGGCGGGAAGCAATAACGACACCCCGAGCGACGGACAGCCATCCGGCAAAGAGTGGAAGGTGGGCATTACTTTTTAGGCCTTTTATTCGCGCGATACTCTCACTCGTCTCATGCTGTTCACGTTCTCCGACTGAAAGTAATACGCTTTTTAAAACCTGTTTGAGATGTTCCACTCTAATGGCAAATTCGAGTGGTCAATCGCCGGCGAGACCGAGCCGGCGGAACCGGCAGACAGAAACGCGCCGGCGGCACACCACATTACCCTCAGCACCCGAACACGAAACGGCAGACGCTGGCAGGTTACTTCGCCTGTTGCCTGCACGACACCGCTAGCGAGAGGCTGTCGCACCCATGGCGACCCATGTCCCAACAGCTTGGATTAACTCGAGTAGTGGCTGCTGAAGTGACTTCAGATCAGTTTCGTTCCTTCATTCTGTTTTTTCTCACTGACCTTCTCTCCCATTTCGGAAGAGACGACACCGGATACAGTCTGGTGTCTACTCGCCCGGCCGTTTGGAGCTTGGGCGGAAAAAGCGCCGATAAGTTGCCAGCACTTGCCAGAGAACCATTACCCGAACAGTGTGCGCCGGCAAGAAACTGATCACGCGAACACTATTGCCGGTTTTCCGGCAAAATAAGTTGTCAACGATTGACCACCTGAATTCGCCATAAACATCTTGTAAACCGTCTCTGATGAGGTGCTCATGCATGCCCAAGTTTTCACAGAAACCTGGCCTGTTGAGAACCCAGCTGTCAAAAAAAAAAAAAATGGCCACACCTCAATATCTGTTTAGACTAAAGCTTAGGCTAGTCGGAGTGACATGCTTTCAAACGGTGAAAAGATCACGTACAAAAGACGACCACGTCTTTCGTGTCGCACTTCCCGCCGTCTCAAATTATCTGGATTTTTTTTTTTCTGCACTAACTTTACCTGTCAATAACTTGCCCACTTGCCATGTCTCTCTAAGAGGCTTTTACATCGGGAAAGAGGAGAGTTGCTCTCTCGTCCCAGTTAACTGTGCCATTTTGAGCGCGCTTTGTCCTACTCAATTGCGTATCAACAGACGGACAAGCACGCAACTGTTCGAGCGTGATTAGCAATTTGGGGCTGACGTGTCAGTTTCGAGATGCTAATAGTGCTCGGTTGTAAAAGCTACCATAGCCATTGCACAGCCGTACAAAGCAACAGAAACCAAAGTGCTCCGTTTGTTGCATCCTAGACGTGCTTCGATGGGCTCAAAACTGTGGTACCTTGTTTCTCTTTCAGGAGGATGAGAGGACACGGAGGAGAGCACGGCGATTGGAGGAGCAGCAGAAGGCAGCAGATCTGCTCAAGACAAAGGCACTCGACGGGTACGCAGCCAGCCAATCGGCCGACCCCTTTCGACGGCATATTTAGCTACGACTGCAGCCGTCTTCTCATGTAGGGCGGCAAAACAATGGCTGCCCAAACATGGTCGGAATGATGGGCTCTAGATAGGAATCCTCAGGAACCTAGCTGTTTCCTCAAAAGCCTCCCCAGCGGTACCTTTGTTGGGTAACCAGGAGTACTTCTTGGAGGGGAAGTAGCAAATCATAAAAATAATAAAAAAAGGTTTGTGCCAGTACTTCGGTTATGCCGTGCAAAATCTTGAATTGACATAATAAAAGGGAGAGCGAAGGGATGGGACAAAGTTGGAGAAAGACACACACAGGACAAGTGTTATGTCGTGCCTGTCCCGTGTGTGTGTTTCACGAAATTTGTCTCATCATTTATCGCTTCCTTTCATTATGTCAGTTAACGAACTACCCCGGTGATTCTTTATTTTACAAAATCGTAAGACATAGAATATGCTTTTGGGTCGGTAAATCAGTGTGCAATTGTCTACTTACCGAGCATCATACCGAGTCTTCCAACGAGAACGCCACTCGTTGTCGCTACGGTTGCACGAAAGGTCTGCCGGACCGCTTCGTTGCCGCATTGTCGAGAGCAGGAAGGGTTCCTTGGCTGCCATTCGAGGCAGAGTTCCTCGAGATCAAAAAATTTTGATTACTCTGTTCTAGTATTTCGCTAAAAACTTATTGGCCTTTTTTTTTTTTTTTTTTTTTTTTTCACTTTCTAGGGGTATTTGAAATGCGTAACACTCGGAACGTTTTAGCACACGTCCGTTCGAAAGCACAATCTTTCGCACCCTTTTCGAACCGCATCGAACAGACTGTCCTTAAACTGGCGCTTGAACTGCCTGTCGGCCACCGTGCAATGGCAACTGACTTCCTATTGCTGCCTGGCCCGGCGCTCTCGTTTTGCAGCCACGTCCCTCGCCCCTCCCTCCTCGCATTGCCGTGTCCGCCGTTGTCATTCTTGCAATGCTTTGGTGGTACTCAAAGCCCACGAGCGAGAGCTTTCAAAGTACACATAGTCCGCCTCACTGCCGCCGATCACGCACCGAGAAAAGTCCCCGCTCCGAGAGCTGTGGCCAACTCCTTGCCGTACGCCTATCGAGACCGCATCCCGGACTCGGACACGAAAGAGTTAAACACTAGCAGTTCTTCGGGGCGTCGACGATGTCCAAGTCCGGTCCTCGATGTCCGAGTCCCGTCCTCCCGTCGCAGGCTGCTGGTGGCCAGCAAGCAACACCCGACGCCGGTGGTGCTCACTCTGCTCGAGTTCCTGGCGCCCTCGCGGCCCTTTGCGGTGTTCTGCACCTACCAGGAGCCCCTGGTGGACCTCTACGGCCGCCTGAAGAGCGCCGGCAATGCCGTCTTTCTCAAGCTGTCCGAGAGCTGGCTCAGGGCACACCAGGTGGGGCACCCGTCTTTGGCTGGGCGGTGCGAGCCGCTGCCACCCATAGTTGCCGACAGAATGAGAGTAGCAGGAAGGGACTTCAGTTGCCCCGCCCCGTGTTGCACGTTCGCTACCTTCGATGCCGCTTCGGCATCTCACGAGCCTCAACCCTGTACATGCAGCCAAAGCACGGCGAAAGGCATCCAACACGTGCTGGAGGCGTTCAACGGAGACGAGCATTCTCACCTTGTCGGTGGCTACGCCACGTCGCATCTCCCTGCCGGCATGTTCTAGGCATACTTACGCGTGAAGCAAACATACTTTGAGCGTGCTTGAGGTTTGGCCGCAGATACTTGTGTCTTCTCGTCTGCGGCGAATACTGGGTAATTTGTACGATGTGCGAGCGGTGTAACTGCCGCTTTACGATAAATGCTCGCGACAGCGTACAACTGCAGCATTATCAAATGTGGACGCCATGCTCGATGGTGGGTGAAAGAGGGGTGGCGGAAGCTCAAAACCATCATGTTCAGCTAACCAACACTCTCAAAGTTGCAGTCTGACGTTACTTTGATTCCCGTCAATAAAAGCAGAATAATACAACCAGTGGGTCCCAATTCTACTGAAACGTTATGCCTCAACAGCGTTTTTGTCCTGTAGTTCCAGGGTTGCTCCCGTCTAAAATTGCACCCCCCCTTCCCCCCTAAAAATATAAGGTTTGCCCCCCACCTCCTGAAAGAAGTTCTGCGGATGCCTGTGGTTGCTAGCGCATGTTTGTTTTTTTGTTTCTTTTGGCTAGCACAAAATTATTTTTGTGTGTATATGCTACTGTACATTTTTCAGCTTTGTCACAATGAAAGTATTTTTTTTACATTGGCCACTACATGCTTTTCGCACTTCTGTTACCACCAAACATTGTTGTCGCTTGGCTACCGTGAAATAATTTTTTCGTGTATAAGTAGAACCTCGTTGATACGTTTTTCAGGGGACCGCGGAAAAAAAGCGTATCAACCGGGAAAGCGCAGCAACCGATAACGCACTTAAAGGCACTCTATATAAGATAGAAAGCAGCTCTTATGCAATGGTTTATTTTATGCACTTACCGAACTCTTTTGGACTCAGACACGTTCACAAACGCGTAATATCCACCTGCCGCTTCGAATTAATGGTATGCAGTAAAAATCGTTTCTCCAGAAGCCGCAGTCCCCTCTCACTCTCCGCGCAGTCATGAACGTTTACGTAGCGGCGCAAGGTGTCCAACGCAGCGATCGCGTCCGCAAACGTGGGTGCAGCGTAATCGTTGGTTTTTTGTTCGTCTTCTTCATCACTTTCTTCGTTGTCGGCAGTAGTGAGGTCGGCCACAATGTCCGCTATGCTCGATATCCGAACGATCAGCAATCTCTTGCGCCTTCTCTCGCAGAATGCCTCCGTCGATGTTGACACAAGATGCCCGGGCTTGTTTGAACCATACCAACAGGGCCTCCTCTAACTTTGCGTGTTTTGCCCCCCGAGCCTGTTTAAAGCCTGGTTGGTAGAAAGGAGCCTTCGCCTCGATCTCCTTTCGTCTCGCGACGACACTGTTTAAAGTTGACGGCGCGAGTCCAAGCTCTCTTGCGACCTCAGACCTCTTCCGGCTGGGATTTCGATCCACCGTGCGAAGTATGTCAAACTTCTCTTTAAAAGAGAGTGCTTTTCTCTTTCGGGATGTCATGGCCGTCGTCAACGCGCACGCACTCAGAAACGGCACTGTTCACGCAGTCGAGCTGTCGAGCGGAACAGAAACTGGAAGTGCAGCCAGTGCAGCGTCCCGGCGTGCGTGCGGCGCGTGAACAACTCGCGCCGGAGAGAGAGGACAGATGAAAAGAAAGAGCAAGAGAGAACGAGCGTTTTCGCAGAGCTCAGCAAAGCAAAGCCCAGTGAGGAGACCGGGAAAGAGGGGGAAAGGAGTAAAGGGAAGGGGGGCGCCCGCGTGCGCGGCCGCGCGATCCGCGCCTCCGCGCTGCGTGGTTCGGCTGTTCGGCTCTGCTTTGCTTCGCTTCAAGCCGGCGTGGCACCTTGGCGCACGGCGCGCCGAGGCGCCGAGGCGCCGCGATTCCGGCACTTTTGGACGTAACAACCGGGAAAGCAAACGTAACAGGCAGGAAACTAATACATGTATCTCTATGGAAGTAAAACGGGACCGGCGTTTTTGAACGCAACGGACAGGAAAACGTATCAACCAAGAACGTATCAACGAGGTTCTACTGTATCTATTTTTTTTTTATTTTTTTTTTTTTTCAATTTTCATTTTGGCTATTATTGAACGATTCTTTATTGGCTTTGGCTACCACCAAGCATTTGATCCTTTGCTACCATGACATACCTTTTTTTTAAAATTTGGTTATCTCTAGTTATGTTTTCTCTCTTTGGCTACCACCAAACCATTTTCTCGCTGCAACTATCACCACACTTTTTGTTTTTGCGATTAAGCTATCTTGAAAATATTTTCCCTCAACTACACCAAAACGTTTTCTTTTCGGCTATCACGAAATATTTTATTTTAACTTTGGCTACTAGTAAAAATTCTTTCACTTCAACTAGCTACAAACAACGTTCTCACTTTGGCTACAGCGAAAGATTTTAGTTTACGGGCGACACTTTGCAAGGATTTCAGTGTTAGCATTTGTTGTCTGTCGTCGCAGCAGAGGTGGAAGAGCCCTTCTCTCCTTGCATGGCGCAAGGAGAGAGAGGTTAGGTATTCCCATTGCCACAAAGAGGAAAGAGAGGAAAGCCCCGACGACTCGCCTGTAACGACGCAACGCCGAGGAAGCGTCAGCGGAGCACCTTCCCCCGTCGTCTGCTAACAATAACTTCTAAACAGGCGTTTTAAACATTCTTCGCATTATACAAAATTCCACTTTGGCAGTAGTATACATTTGCTATGCGTAATATAGGAAGGCTTTAGAAACTCCCACCACTCACCATAACATCCCTACTTCTCGAAACGTAAAATATATGTTCTGGCAAAACTCGTTGCCTTCCCTCCACATTCCCCGCAGAGCTTCGCCTCCTTTCGCCGCACGTGTCCCCCTCTCCGCCCTTCGCCCGTGTCGCACATAGACGGCGACACGAGAATCCCAAGGTACGAACGCGCAAAGCGGAGGTGCGTACACAACGACGCGAGCATTCAGAGCTACAACTGGCACGGGGTGGACACGCGTACACGGCGACAAACGGCTTTGCTTTTACTTCTTCGCGCAGTGTGGGCGAAAGAGGCAGCTTTTTTTTATTTAGTTTACATTTAGCATAGTTGTCTACAGGGTGAGAACAGCGTGCCTATTTTTGCCGCCGTGCTTGGAGAGCACGTGCCCACACGAGCCACCGAAATTGCTATTGAAGGTAGGGATCTTGCGCCAGAGGCAGCTGCCATCTTCATCCTCTCCGCGACTGTAGCAATGAAAGATTGGACTATTGCCTCTTTGCCTTTACGTTAATGCGAGCAACTTATTGAGCCGCTCTACTCTCCACCCCAGGTGCTGCCCGATCGCACTCACCCGTCCATCAACATGAGCGGCGGGGGAGGCTACCTGCTCACGGGCATCAAGGTCGACAACTCAACGTGACGCCCGGCGGAGCATCGAACCACCTCGCACAAACGCTTTGAGTGTACACACGTCGGGCTGTGACGCGGAAAGATACATCATTCCAGTTCACCAGTTTAGTCGAGGCTCGGATGTATGTATAAAAACGGGAGCTTCGAGAACCCCAAAGCAAATTGGGATATGGCCATAAAATCCGGCAACACTGTGGGTCGCTGTCGTTACTGCAAAGTAATGACCGAGAGCCGCATTGTTTCCGGGTTCCCGCATAGTTAATTTGCTTCGTCGAATCGCGGTGCAACAGTGCGAGCACATTTGACGATCAAAACTATACAATTTTTGAAGCAGATAACAGACTTTGACAAGATATTGTTTGTCTGACCTAAGGCAGAGTGAAACGCAATAAAAAAAAAAAACTTCATTGTGCGAGCTTTTTAAGGAAGTAACGAGTCTTACTGCACGAAGCCTGAAGGTACACTGTTCCGGCAATCAATGTGGCATAACAGACGAGTCAATTATGAGCGTATGTTACCACGAGGGGTTTACCAGAAGAGAACACGAGTTTAATCGTCAGGCACCACTTCCGATACCCCACGGATTTAGAAGATGATCCTACTAAGTGAACGAATCTGGGTAATTGGAGAACTCCGAATTACGCTTCAATGCAGCATGTATTTTTACAGCTTTGCACCGATAACCGATTGCACTAAAAGAATGCTGCGTCTTTGTTCTATTGGCAATAGACTAGTGGCACAACAGGAAAAACCGAAGGACGGCAGAGATCCATTATGCATTTGGTGAGCAGCAGGCTCAACATTTGCTTTAACGCAAAGGTTCAAATAAAGTGTCCAGTGCATGCTGATTGCAATGCATCGAATTCAATTAGCAGAATCACACAGAAAGCACGTAATTGGAGGCAGCTCAAAATTGCACATCAGGCCATTTTGAAGGATACAATTCAATGACATTCCCCCGAATTGTAAGATAGTCGCTCAAGAGAACATGGTGGCACCACCTAGGAGGTAACTCTGGAACTGCATTTCACTAGAGCGAAGGTTTTACGGTATTTTCAAGATCAAATGTACATACTTTCTATGAGAAGTGGTTGTTTATAACATTGTCCACAGTTTTCAAGACAGCAAAAAAAAAGAAAGGGAAATATATGGAAATACCAAGCGTTCCACGACTACTGGATAGATGTCGCCAGTGTGCTTTCTCGTCGTAAAAAATCTTGAGAGGTCTTAAGACACTCTCAAACCATTGCAAGTGTGTGAACCATTCTTTATATTGTCCATGCTGGCAGGCGCAGGACAAAGCCAGGAGAACATTTGCTTGTCAGTTTTGCCATTTTCGATGAAAGACCGGACAAAGGATATCGCGCACATCTATACCAACTGGAAGCAGGATGATACCAAGTGTTGAAGCGGCTTTTTATTGTCCTTGGGAATCGCCCCTGGGTGCTTAGGATAACTTTGAGGCACTTGTTTGCTTGTCCTGGATAGTCGTCATTCTTGTTTACAGAAGACAGGATGACCAAGCGAGTGATTCCGGCTGTCCTACACCAACAAGTCTGTGGATGCCGCTGGGATATCCTCTTCTTTGTCCTTGCTATCCCGGCTGACAGGATAACAGAGACACAATCGCAGGCTCTCTTCCATCAACAAGATAGCAGACGTCGCCGTGCACTCTCTTGTCCTAAGTATCGTGGTTGGCCAAAGACGGCCCGAAAAAAATGTTGCAGGCTGTATCTCATAGGCAGGATAATGCTTGAGCTTCATCTTTGTCCGAAAGAGCTGGGTACTGTAGCCATGGTCCTTCGGTTACCTGGTCCGGAATTTTTTCTGCATGCTATGGGAAGGATTTCCCTAGGGACGAGTTGAAGCACCTGAGGCATGCTGCCGACGTTAGGAGTCAACCAATCGGATCACTCGGAGTGTCTAACGAACTGACGAGGGTTCGGAGAAGTTGCCACAACGAAAGTCGCTAGATGTGTCTGCCCTTTCATAAAACCCCACTGGCCCTTCGAAAAGATGAATGATTAGGAACGGCATCTACGCTCCAGACCTAGGTGTCGTATGATTTCGGAATTACTCTTACATTGATCGGTGCAGCTCGTGGTGACAAAACTGACTAGGGCAGATACTGCCGAAGATTCCAGGCCAGTAAGTAGTTTACCTAAGGACCATGCGATATCCGGGATCGGTGCAGCTGGTAATCCTTTTGACCAGCCGTTTTCACTTCCCGTTGCAAATGCCAGTAGGACGAGGATTGTCATTGCGGCTTTTTCCTGTCGTCGAGGTCGTCGTAGTCGTCGTTGTCTAGGGCGGCGATGATGCTGGCCTTCTGGGCCTCGTTGAGCACCGCCTCAAGGCTGGCGGTGCGTTTGGCGGCGCTCCTGATCTCGCGCTGTGCCGAGAGGAGGCGCTCGTTGGCGCTGATGCCCGCGTACTCGGCGCCGTTGACAAACGCCGTCTGCGCCATGGCTTCGACCAGGTTGGAGACGCTCTGCATCCGGGATTCCAGGTTCTGCAACGCGGATTTTCGCATGTTTAGAGTACTTGGGAAGAAAAGCGTAGTACCACTATACAAGTGTACTGCTCCCCAAAAATTGGTGGTGACAATAAAGATATAGTGGAACAGTCGTCGTCGGGCAGGCAACAAAAAAATACATAAAAATATCTTCCTCAAAAATACCTGGTGCGTATTTTTCAAATATTTGTAAACCATGAATGAGGTTCTTTAAAACTCAACGATTTCCATCGCGTCAAACTTCGCCGCTTTGCACCAGTGTACTGGCGTCGAGCTTCACTGCTTTGCACCTGCGTGCTGGGGGAAACGGCTGACGTGTCTGAGCATGTTGGTTGGTTCAATGGGCTCGGTTATATTGTTTGCTATTATAGGTCAGCATTCCTTGGTTATGATTACAGTTCAACTTCTCAAAGACCCGTAGCCCTCAAGTTTTGAGCAATGCCCCTTGCGAGCAAAACCGAATATGTTTAGGTCGCTTCTCCGTTTTGCATAGCGTTGCACCCTTTCAAATGCATTGTTAGTGGTCATGGACAGACGCCAAGGGACGCTGACAGACTAGTTTATGCCCGTAGATCGTGCATGATGAGACGGCGCTTCATGTAGGCATGAAATGGTCACGTCTCACGGACGCTAGCGGAAGCGCCTCTTGTGGTCGCATCTCAGGGACGCTACAGCATCCCCTGGTCGAGAGAAATGGGCCCATTAAAGGACGATGCCACAAAAGTTCCCCCGCTAAATTTAGCAAAAACTTTCCCCGCAAAATTAAGCGAAAAATTTTCCCGCTAAATTTAGCAGAACAAATAACCCCCCTAAATTTAGTGAAAAAAATTTCCCCGTAAATTAAGCGAAAAAATTCCCCGCTAAATTTAGCGGAAAAATTTCCCCTGAGTGGGAGGCGAGCAGGAGAAGGCGAGGGGCATAGCCTCCTCTCCGTACCTTCCCCTTCTCCTCCTCAAGAGCTGCGCTCTAATTCCGCATTGCAGGGGGCGTTCCAGGGTATTTTGAACGTCTTTAATGTCTTTAATGCAAGTATTCCTTTTCGTTCGGCAGGTTTTCTAGAAAAGAGTCGTGGTTTATTAAAGTATCCGTTCAATTCACATTAAATGTTAATATCAAAAAATATTGAATCTTATTTACATCACAATTTTAATATTCATATTCAATTTGCGGTCAAAATTGTGGTGACATTCACACACCTCTAGGAAGTTTTCTAACTGGCGGCAGACTTTCTAATCTAACTGTGCCGAGCACAAACGCAGCGTAAACGTTCGTTCCCTAACTCGCAGCTGCGGCATCACGACGGCGCCACTTACGACGAGGTTGGCCTTGAGACGGTTGGCCTCCTCTCTCATGGCGATGAGCTCGAGCCACAACTCGTCGCTGCCGGCACACCGTCCCAGCTCGGTCTCGAAGGTCTTCATCAACGAGCACATCCGGTTCAGGCTCTGCAGAAGCCAGGAAAGCGGGGTTGAAGCCACCGCTCGGCCTGTTCCAGCGCATGCTGACATTGCACTTGCGTTTTGTTCGAGGAATCTCGTTAAAACTTCTCCCCTTCCTCGCAAGACTGATCTAAATTTGGTTTGTTGTGGCGAGTGGTACATAATGCAACACAGTGCAAACAAGACATCGGTGCTTCTTTGTTTTTTTTGTCTTACTCATGGAGAAAAGTTTCCTCGTCTACATTTCCTCCGTACATATCTGCGCATTTGTGTCCTGTATCATTGCGTCTAGGACGCTGCCCTAATTTATGACGAGACAAACTCCTGGTTGGTCAGGCTCCGAAATTAGACTCCTCACCTTGCAGTATGCTTCGTGTGCGTCCAAGACAGCAGCCGTCAGCTGCATCAAGATCCTAGATGTTGCTTCGACGGCAGCGATGCTAGCCTGCTTGATGAGGAATTCGTGGGACAACGTTGCCGGATTTAGGTCTTGAACCTGGAGAATGCGTCGCGCTGTTTCACTAGGACCTAATTTGCAAAGACAAAACCTGCGGCCCCAGCAAGTCAGGCGGAGTATGGTGGAACGAGGCACGTGACACTATATTACATATTGTTGCGCACTCCCGTAAAGGGCTGTTGCATACTTCACATCCAGTGCAGAGCGCAAGTTTATCTGCTTGCACAGGGGTTGCAACGATGACGGAACGCCAAGCTCTTATTGGCTGATTGAAAAAAATAGTGGGTAGACCTCAAGGCATCTATCATCGGGTTTACTACACGACAAAAACACCGAGACTGCAGGCAAAAAATGACACAAACACTACAAAGTCTTGAAGTCTGCTAAACTATCAATCAAAGCCAATCGGAGCTTCGCGTCGCTTCTGACGCCGCCTCAACACCTGCGCAAGAAACACACGATTTGCTCTCTGCATGTGAGCTCTAGCTTTAGCCTTTTTGCCAAGTGAGGTATATGCCAGAGGCATTTTCGGTCCCTGGCTTGCATTGAATGTGGTAAAAGGGAATTTGGACGAAGTCTTTAACACAGCTGTATTGAAGACATTGTGTGTGTGTCGTTTTTGCGTCCTGCGGTCTCGGGCTAGTGTATGCCTATAAATGCTGACCGACACTTGTTCTGTTATATCAGAATTGGTCGCTTACCTGGTCGCTGTTTGCGCAATGCGCGGTGGCAGGAACGCTCCAAGCTCGACACAAAAGTGCTGCCGTGCCGGCATTGGCGATAGCGAGCCGGTGTCTCTGAAGTAATCTAAGGAGAAAGAAACGAAAAAATCAAGTACGCGATCACAAAGTTATCTTCTCTCTACGTACCCCTTGCTATGTCGAAAAGCTCTGAATCGCTGGTAAAACCTAAGAAACAACGTCGACAACATGTGCACGAGCTTGTTGGTAAGATATCACTACGTACAGTTAAAAATGAATGAATTTTTGTTTAGTGTGTTGTAAATGGGCGCAATTTACACGCCGAAAAATTGGGAAAAGCTACAGTAACGCCGACTTCCCTGCCGGCCACGCGCGTTTGTTTACACCGGAAGCGCCATAAGCCGAAAGTGCAAAAATAACAACAAAACGTTTGGCTAGTGTTATCAATTGTTAAAAATTATTATTTATTCTAATAAATTTATTCGAAGTTATGTAAGTAAATGGGATCGCTTATTGTGGTTTTCAAATACCAGAATTAATTGCGACATCTAGTGGCGTTGTCAAACAATGATCGCGAGCGGACGACAAGCGTCGTCTGCAAAACGAAACGAAATGAAGCCTTCAACATAGACATCATACATACTTCACATACCTCCACAATGTCGATTATTCCCACTTTCACAGTGGTTTTTATCTCAATACAGTACCATCGCAGCATTAAAACCGGTCGCCTCACACGCGCTAGTCTACCGAGCACGCACTGGAGTTGGGGTCGTCGTAGAGGGAGAGGTTGTTCTTGGAGGTGTTGCAGTGTTTTTCCAAACCAAGCACGCGCTCTCCCTGTCATAGAGTGAAGAAGAAAAAATATCTAAGTTATTAGCACACCTCGTGAGCAGGTACGCACGTTCGAGGTCAGACCGCCGTTTTCATGAGCAACCTAGCGTTCCTGATGGCGGAGACCCGACTGAATGTTCCAGCAGCAGCTGGTAAATAGCTGGTAAACAAGGTGTGTCGCCAACTTCATCGGTCCAAGCTGGGGAAATGGCGTCGTATGTGGCAACAAAGCGGCGTAAGTGGAAGAATACTAGCAATTTCACGTCACGTTTGCAGCTTGCGATGTTGAAAATGTTGCATGTATACCAAGACCGCCAATGTCTCCACAGTAATTTTCCAAAGCGTCCTGTGTGACTCCGGATAAAAATACAAACCAGGATAATCTTGGAAGTGTAATATTGCGTCACAATCAATGCAAAATTGTTTATTTGTTTCGGAATTTGTCTCTTAGGTATAAATTTAAATTAATCTAAATGAGGCGCTCGCTTTGGGTTTGGTTCCGCTTGACTCTAGTTTCGCTTTCAAACATAAAATCCACAAATTAGCCAAACTGAATCCAGAACTCTTGAGAGTGTGTCGGGCTTCCCGCACAAGCACGTACATACAAATATGACGTCACGTAAATAATCACGTGATTGCAGGTATTCTCAAGCAAAGAAAGTTATAACTTTAAACATCTAAAATTTAATATATTATATGGTGTAGATTATTGTATAAAATACGTCTATATATTTTATTTTTTTATCAAAGTTTTAAACGCGACAACTAAAAACGGTTATCACCCACTAAGAGTTTAAGCTCGACATTCCCTTTAGCGCACATAAAACAAACGAACGCGCCGTTGCGCCGTCTTCGAGACTGCGGCTGCGCGACCTTGATAAGCTCGAGAGCTCGAGGGGTCGAATCGCTAAAGCCGCTCTCAGGCGCGCACATCACATCACATCACAACAGCGGGAGTCGTAGCGCGCGCGGCCGTTGTGCAGAGTCAAGTGTTTCACCCGCAAACCGGGTTAACTGCTTCTCCCGCCGAGAGCAGACCGGCCTAACACCGTCTCCCCGCTCTCACGCCGTCAGCGGTCGCCAAAGGTCAGGTGGGCCAGCAGAACGCCCCGAACATGACGACCGCCGTGCCGGCCTCCGACCACGAGAAGCGCAAGCAGATCAGCGTGCGCGGCATCGCCCAAGTAGAGAACGTGGTGAACGTCAAAAAGGCCTTCAACCGGCACGTTCACTACACCCTGGTCAAAGACCGCAATGTGGCGACGCCGCGGGACTACTACTTCGCCCTGGCGCACACCGTCAAAGATCACCTGGTTGGGCGATGGATCCGGACCCAGCAGCACTACTACGAAAAAGACCCCAAGGTACGCCGAATCATTATTTCCTAATCGCTGTGTTTTTTTGACGAGCGGCTTCCGCGTTTTCGGTATAATCAATCAAGCGTTGACAGTTCGGTACGCAAAGGGAGATACGTTGGGTTTTAGGGGTGGGAGCGGTGTTGCCGGATTGAGGTCGTTGCGAAGGCCGGACCCGTCAAACGAGGTTTGGTCAGCGGTGCACTGCGGAGTGGGGCGCTCTTGGTTTCGTTTTCTAGCAGACGGTCTTTGCAGTCGTCTGCTATCCAATAGGAGCGGTAAATAACGGTTTTTTCGTTCTTGAATTTGGGTTTCTGAGGTGCATCCTCGTTTGGTGCAAGACGACCGGTTACGTGACTAGTCGAGGGTCGAAAAACACCGCTGCAAGGAGTGTGCACAGAAAGGATTAGATAACTGTGATTACGCCAAGGAAATCCTCCCCCGGTTGCGAAGTTCCGGAGCGTCTTGATTTGGTTGTTTGTGCGATTCGTGTTTTCCTCCTTGAATGCGCTGCGCGCGCGCTAAGCTGCCATTCGTTGGTTCTTCGATAGCGGGTAGCACATATTCCGGGGTCAGTGTGTTTTTCTGGCTTATCGTTATCGGCTGTGAAGTCGATAAGCGCAGCCTATTTAGCGCACAGCCTTGGGATGCCAAGTCGCCGTTATCGTTTGAGACTACAGCGCGAGTTTTGGTCCTTTACTATCTCCACGTAACCGGGAGTACTATTTAGTCGTCTAGCCGACTGGCCGTGAAAGTTTTCTTTTTAACCGTGTTAATGTTGGAATGAGCCGGATAACTCTGACCTCTGCTTGACCTACCTTCCCTTCTTCCGGCCGGTCAATTTTTTTTGTGTGCTATTTTATTTTTACGTTTTTTTTTTTTTTAATAGAAAGTTGAGTGTGCCTTCTTACTTCTATTATACGTTTCTAATATAACAGATCCAAGGACGTTTTTGGGCCTTTTGTTGCCGGGCAACCAACGCGCGCGGTGTCTTCCGCCTGTAAGGTCGGCTCTTGTGCAACGCTCTGGTGCATTGCGCCGAAGCGCGCCTGCCGACCGCAATTACTATTTTGTAATTTCCTTCGCCGCGACGTAACCGAGGGTGTTACTAGCTCATCCTTCTTCTTTTGCTTGTTTACCTTAAAGTTTTCCGTCTAGTCGGTTCTGATTGCGTCTTCCGCGGCGCAGTGTCGCTTCAATTCACGGCGGGGATCTTTGCTGGCATTGATCCAGGGTTGTTTCTTATTATGGGTTTGTTGCACCCCTTGTCTTTCCCGAAGGGCCTCCCTGCCAAGGCAATGCGCAGGAAATGCGCCGCTTTGCGCCGCACTGCGTCCTCTATAGCCTTGACTGTAGGTATATTTGTAACAATCGGCTCGAAGGGGGGGGGGGGGGGGGGGGGGGGGGGGGGATTGCAAACACCGTGTTATGGTCGCTGGATGGAATTTCTGGGACAGCTGACGGCTGATGATGGGGACAGAGAAAAGACATCTGCGTGCACTCAGCGCTGGATGTGCTTGAAAGACATAGAAATTTAAAACTTTTAATTGTTTAATTTTATGTAGGAACTTGCATTATATATTGAAGCGCGGTTGAGGGCTCATGCAGGTCGTGCTTCAAAATGGTTGCAGTATAAATGAACTGGCCTAAGTATGCATTTTACTGCCTTAAACCTACTTTTGCATAAATCTGGAAAAGTCCCTAGGAAAGACATTTTTTCTTTCCTCTTTTTCTTCTCCCTCGTCTTATTTGCTCTGTGGACAAGAAAAATTTTAACATGAAACCAATTAATTGGTTAGAAGATGGAGAAAAACATTTAACTACTACGCAGTTGCTTACTTTATTATCTGTTTACAATTTCAGAGTTGTAGCCATGAGTAGTGCTCACGCTTGAGCTATATTTGGCCATAGCCTAATTAGATCATTAAAAAAGCAAAATGCATGGTTTTACTAATTTTGCTGTCCGGAGCTGCAGAAAGTAGGATTCACTTTTCGACTTGCATATAAATAAAAAATATGTTTAATAAAGTTGCAAGTGGCGTTTTCACTGTGGTATCATCAGTGGCCTTTCTAAGTAGACGTGCAATATTCTTTGTACCTGACACCTTTAAATAAACTGTCAAAGCTGGCAGCTGTGATGACAGCTTGAAGACTGCACAACATTTTGTGGTAGCTGCTCACAAGTTGTATTAAAAAAACATCGTGGGTCTGCCAACATGATATGGCAGTTTTCTCTTACTGCGCCATTGTCGGGCTGATTTCAGAGCCGCTGAGCACAACGTAGCATTTACCTTAGAACCTGAATTTTTTCAGCTTCAATCCCTGTAACAAAATTGAATGACAATAAAAAAAAGCATGAGGGTATGGAGATTTGTAAAAAAAAAAAAAATGGATGCCATATTTGGCTGCTTGATTGTGATTATTTGCACACTAAATTGAAGTACTGCCATGCATTTTCTGCATACAGCAAATACTGAACTATTGGATGCGTACTTGTGCGAAGTAAAGAAGCCCAGGAATGACAAATTTATGTATAGTATTGACGAATAATTTGAAGAGAAGTCATTCGCTACTTGAAGGTGGGAAATGTCTAGAATGATATTTCTAGGATTAGGGACTATACTCTATTCACCCCTAAGCTAGCCGACAGTACAATACTCGCCAGATCCTGATCTGCATGTGGGGAGGAGCGGGAGTAGTTATATGTGACAAATGACTTTTGTTTTAATAGTTGACTGTTAGCATGTTCAAGGCTTGTCGTTAAAGTATGAAGTCTGTGGATATGGTTCAAAATTATTTAATGACTCCCCCACTCCTGTAACTCATGGACAATAATTTTTTTACTGGCGTCTATCTTGTTTGGGCTAAAAGTGAGACAATCGGTAAGCAATGCTGTAGCCAGTTTTGTTAAGGTTGTGCTGCTGCACTGTACTGTGTGGTTTGTATACATTTGAAGTGCTGCACTGTACCCATATATAAACTTAACTGTAATGACAGTCCTGAGCATCGTATTCACCTGGCTACAAGGAAGTCTTGATGCACCTCTGAGGTCGCTGAACTTTGGAATTTGATATGGCATAAGAAAGTAAGCAAAAGAAAAGGTAGTAACTCCTTGTTGCCAGAATACGGACCATGATTTACAACGGCGGTTGCAGACTTTCTTTTTTTCTTTTCTGACGACACTTTGTTTGTTCCTTTCAAGAAAGTGTTTTGGCATAATGTCCCTTCTATTTTTGTTGCTTCTAACTGCAGTCGAGCAATGCCCAGTTTCCTTATGTGTCACCGTGCATCTCGGGTTTTAAGCATATACACTGCTGGTCTGACAACTAGTGAACTGGCATGTTCATTCCCAGACAGGATGATTTTGCACTAGTGTAGAACTTTTGATCCAGTCAATTATTTGCAACCTGCTAAAAACTGTTTTGAACCAGTGAAAACGCTTTGAAACTAGTGAAAACGCTTTGAAACTAGTGAAAACGCTTTGAAACTAGTGAAAACGCTTTGAAACTAGTGAAAACGCTTTGAAACTAGTGAAAACGCTTTGAAACTAGTGAAAACGCTTTGAAACTAGTGAAAACGCTTTGAAATTAGTGAAAACGCTTTGAAATTAGTGAAAACGCTTTGAAACTAGTGAAAACACTTTGAAATTAGTGAAAACACTTTGAAATTAGTGAAAACACTTTGAAACTAGTGAAAACACTTTGAAACTAGTGAAAACACTTTGAAACTAGTGAAAACACTTTGAAACTAGTGAAAACACTTTGAAACTAGTGAAAACACTTTGAAACTAGTGAAAACACTTTGAAACTAGTGAAAACACTTTGAAACTAACTCATTGAAACCAGTGAACATCTTTTGGCACCAGTGAATGCCCTATTAGAACAAGTGAACATACTGTGGAACCTCTGAGCTGGTGAAATAAAGATGTGTGAACGGGCAAATTCGAACTGATGAAATGAAAACTTTTAAAGAGCTAAATCGCTTTTCAAGCAGTATAAATTAAATGTTGCACTGGTGGAGTGCACGGATGCCAACACGCAAATGGGTGTTTCATAGCACCCAACTGGTTGGCATGCCAAAGGGTCCAACCTGTGCAATTACTCCTCCTCGTGCAGAGGGTGTACTACCTGTCCCTGGAGTACTACATGGGGCGTTCCCTGACCAACACCATGGTCAACCTGGGAATTCAGAATGCCTGCGATGAGGCCCTCTATCAGGTGAGGCTCCGCATTTGGCAGAACTAGAGCTAATTGGCAACATGTTTACCAAGGCAATGTGGTGCAACGCATGCTTTGAGACGACTTCTCAACTTAAGAATTGAGAGAAATAGCTTGTTTGTCACAATACTATATGAAGACCTTAGTCGGTAACAGGCAAATGAAAGAAATGTTTTTATGCTGATTTATCAACTAGAATATTTGTTTTCCTAATCAAGAAAATATGCGCTTGAAAACGATAAAGTAGCATTTCTCCTTCTGATTTTTCTCTTCATATACTTTGCACCAGCTTTTCTATGAAATGCTGGCATAGTCTTCACAGCTCTGCATCCAAAACCTCTGCAAAAGAATGGTGATGACAAGTTTTTTTGTTTTGTTTTTTTGCCTTTTCCCACTCTAGCCGTAACTAGCACTGTAAGGGATGAGTGGACAGAAAATATCCCTTTCTCTGCCTTCTGCTATAGCCAACGACAAGTTAAGAATTCAATATGCTCAGTCTCCAGCACGTGTCTTTTGTCTTAAATAGAATTGTTGCACATGTAGCCAAAGCCCAGCGGAAGGTAGCGAGCACGTACATGCTGGGATGCAAAGCTTTACTTAATGTTTAGCCTGTATTGCCCAGGTGAAAATGTCTAATTGGGACCAGTTGGAATCCCAACTGGGAATTAACTGGTCCTAACTGGGAATTAACTGGTCCTAACTGGGAAATAACTGGTCCTAACTGGGAAATAACTGGTCCTAACTGGGAAATAACTGGTCCTAACTGGGAAATAACTGGTCCTAACTGGGAAATAACTGGTCCTAACTGGGAAATAACTGGTCCTAACTGGGAAATAACTGGTCCTAACTGGGAAATAACTGGTCCTAACTGGGAAATAACTGGTCCTAACTGGGAAATAACTGGTCCTAACTGGGAATTAACTGGTCCTAACTGGGAATTAACTGGTCCTAACTGGGAATTAACTGGTCCTAACTGGGAATTAACTGGTCCTAACTGGGAATTAACTGGTCCTAACTGGGAATTAGCTGGTCCCAAGTGGGAATTAGCTGGTGCCAAGTGGGAATTAACTGGTCCCGACTGGGAATTAACAAGTCCCAACTGGGAATTAACTGGCCCCAACTGGGAATCGCTGGTACAGACTGAAAATCGCTGGTACAGACTGAAAATCGCTGGTACAAACTGGGAATCGCTGGTACAAACTGGGAATCGCTGGTACAAACTGGGAATCGCTGGTACAAACTGGGAATCGCTGGTACAAACTGGGAATCGCTGGTACAAACTGGGAATCGCTGGTACAAACTGGGAATCGCTGGTACAAACTGGGAATCGCTGGTACAAACTGGGATTCAGCTGATTCTAGTTAATCCCAGTTCGTACAAACTTGGATCAGCTGAAGGCCCAACTGGAACCAGATGAGGGACGTGAACTGGGACCAGACGAGGGACGTGAACTGGGACCAGACAAGGGACGTGAACTGGGACCAGACGAGGGACGTGAACTGGGACCAGACGAGGGACGTGAACTGGGACCAGACGAGGGACGTGAACTGGGACCAGACGAGGGACGTGAACTGGGACCAGATGAGGGACGTGAACTGGGACCAGATGAGGGACGTGAACTGGGACCAGATGAGGGACGTGAACTGGGACCAGATGAGGGACGTGAACTGGGACCAGTTAAGGGGTGACCTGGGACCACTTGGGGTACTGTATTGTTATTTGACTTGTTACATTCCCCAGCATTGAGCTTTAGCATAAGCGTGACGAGACACATGTTGACGTATCGGACCAGATGGGGCTGGACATTGAAGAGCTGGAGGAAGTGGAGGAGGATGCCGGGTTGGGCAATGGGGGCCTGGGGCGCCTGGCAGCCTGCTTCCTCGACTCCATGGCAACCCTGGGCATGGCCGCCTATGGCTACGGCATCCGCTACGAGTATGGCATCTTCTCGCAGAAGATTGTCAACAACGAGCAGGCAAGTGCCCTACGGGCTTCGTGCATCGTTGGTCGAGCTCCATGCGTTAGGCTGCATAGAATATTTACCTAGTCTGCCGATGCAGGCCATGTAGTCATGAAAAATCGTATTCTATATCAAGGGTGGCCAAACCGCGTCTCGCGAGCCGCATGCGGCTCTTTGCTGGTCCAAGTGCGGCTCGCGGATCCCTCGTAAGGGCCCCCCGCCCCTTTCTGCGTTTCCTCAGGAAAAAAAAAGAAAGGATTTCAGAATAAAGCATGGCTCGCGGTTTGGTAGCCTTGTACCCCATACGTACAGTCGTGCAGCTTGTGCCCCCATACATACAGAAATTTAAGTTTGCCCCCCCCTTCCCCGCCCCCCTTTCCGCGGCGAAGTTTCGTGATTTCGCTTGCGGCTCTTAGGCCGGGTCTGCTTGGCCACCCCTGTTCTATATACTGGTTCTTGAAATACTTTCAGGGATGACTTCTCGGAGGAATGACCTTTGAAATTTTGTATGTCAATTGAACTTGATTATATTTGGGTGTCTTGAGCAACATTAAATCGGTTCTGTTCTATTCCTATTCTTTTCTATTCCTGCAATGATTGACCACTGTTTGATGAACTTAGGAAGTCAAGAGATGCGATAACATAAAATCTAATTTTTATGTGGTATTCTCGACTACCTCATTGATACAGTTGCCCATTCAAGAGACGAGGTATAATAAGATTTTCTATACTGAACCTCGATGCCCCCACACAGTTGTCTGAAAGGATCTCAAAATTTTGTACCTTGGAAGGCACCTACCTGCCCTAAATAACAGCCGAAGAAGCCTTCCCCTGCTCAGTGCTTTTTGAATAAACTAGTGCAGATGCTATCGACACCTTGATAGCAATAATATACAAACTTAGTCATGTTTGGCTCGTCGTTGTGCATCAGTGTGGGGCACAAATGTGTTAAGAGTTCTTAGAAAACAGCTTACTTAGGATTTGGGATGACCGAGAGAATTTGGATGCTTGAGGAACGGTGGGAGATGCTCAGAGGAACCTTTTATGAGAACCCACCAATGCCTGTGTTAAGATCCTCAAAACCACATATTTTATAGCCATTCATTCCTCAGTGTTCAAATACTCTATTAGGGCTGTCTTGCCAAAACGTTGATTATGGTAATGGTACTTTCTGTGGATTGTGTTAAAATGCTTGATTGGAGCTGAACGAATAAGAATCTGAGGATAATTATGACACCATGTTTCACGAACTGATTTAAAATTGTTTTCGGGGGCCGTGCACACTCATCTGGCAAATTTCTGCCGACGTCTGGGCTTGCAGCAAGAAGAGCCAGATGACTGGCTGAGGTACGGCAACCCCTGGGAGAAGGCCCGTCCAGAGTACATGCTGCCGGTCAACTTCTATGGCCACGTGGAGCAGACGGACAAGGGCTTCAAGTGGGTTGACACACAGGTCAGTCACTGATTGGCTGTCCTAAACGAGGTCGGATAATGGTTCGGTTCACTTCATCTACCTGCACGGGGCTCGTGCACAGTTTCAGTAGAATGAGATTGAGGATCCTGCAGGTTTGACAACACTACTGCTGTGAGTTTACTGACGTGAGTGTGAAGATGCTTAAGGGCACCAGTTAGTGGGCACGCGATAATGCGAACAAGACTGACGGAAAAAAAGATCCACATATAGCAAGGACTGGCCAGTCCTTGTCTAACATTGACGATTTTGTTTGCTGAAAGGTCATGATTCTTAAAAGTACATACAGCACAACAAAACAGTAAAAGATGTCTGTCTTCTTTTAAGACCCATTCACACGCACACTTGCATTTGCTTATGACCGAGTTCTTGCAACCTCTTACGAAGAGAGCACACAGGCGTGCGAAACTATCTATGAGGTGACCCGGAACTGCATTTCACTAGAGTGAAGGTTCTGCGGTATCAGCGAGATCAAATGAACATGGTATCTATGAGAAGTGGTTGTTTTTAACACTGTCTAAAGTTTCAAGCCAAGAAAGAAGGAATAATGCGCAAAAAAAAAGCGGGAAATATAAAGAAATGCAGAGTTCCACGGCTACCCGACAGATACCGCAAGTGTGTTCTCTCGTCGTAAAAGATCCTAAGTAAGAAATTTTAAGGCACTCGGTCATAACTAGTCGAAAGTGTGAGAAACCACTTTATTTCGTCAATGTCCTTGCGCTGTTTGTACCTTTCAATCCTTGTCGTATGTGTGCCTTTTTTACAGCGTCGGCTATAGTATTGAGCTGGTTGTGGGCGAGTGTCGTCTTGCTGAAAACGAATGGAGCATGAGCGCACTTATTGCAGTTGGCTTTGGCCCGGGAGGGGGCGCCACCTGCTCTTTCTCGCCTTTGGTCCCCGATTCGCTCGGCCTCACCCTGTACGTTAGGATGGAATGCACGCAATATCACCGAAATAGTTCTACTCATTCACTGTGCAATACCGTAGAAATATTGCACCATCGGACGCTGTCCATTCGCATCACATCACGTGATCGTCCACGCGTTGTTTTTTTTTTTTGTCTCGGTCGCATTTGTTATTATGGGTATGAACAAACCAGCCCATCGCACTGCTGTATATCTATTCTTGCGCTCGCTTTTGCCAGGTGGTGTTTGCGATGCCCTACGACAATCCAATTCCCGGGTTCCGCAACAACGTCGTGAACACGATGCGGCTCTGGTCGGCAAAGTCCCCCGTCAACTTCAACCTCCGCTTCTGTGAGTCTGCATGCGGTTTTGTTGCACTTAATTAGACGGACGTCTTTTCACTTGCGCCGATGCCATATTTGTTGATCTGTATCGCGTCTCCCTTCATTCCAGTCAACAACGGTGACTACATCCAGGCCGTGTTGGACCGTAATTTGGCCGAAAACATCTCCCGAGTGCTCTATCCTAATGACAATGTGAGTGAATTGCTTGGTTTCTTTCAACGTTACTAAAAGACTCAGTTGGGAAACTCGCCGTCGAAACCTGGGCCGCTGGCGTCCACCGAGACCGAGCTAAATGCGACAACAGCGCCACTCTTTGTCACTTGTGTGTACTGTGGTCACTTTGAGCTTTTTGAAAACCTGTTTTTTGCGTCAAAACAAACGGAAAAGACTCTTTTTGTATGAAATTTATTAGAGTTTAGTACCCAATGATGGGCGCGTGATGTTTTTATCATCTTTAGTTCGCAAGGCTTTGCGGAACAATTAATATTGTTTTTATAAAACCATGCCTCAGCGGGCCTTTCAGGTAGCGCGTCCCGACCTAGGTGCATTTTAACTTCAGTAGTTCAACGCGGCGCGTCCGCCGGGGAGACGGAGGTTCACCTCTGTCAAAGCCAAAAATAGAAGTCACTTGCAGTTTCTCGAGTGGCCGCTGCGGGAGAAATGGTGGCGTTGTGTTCGTCATTAGCTCGGTGCTCGGAGACAGATTGGGGCCATATTTTTAGGGTTGTCTCTATGGGAGTTTCCCAACTGAGTGTTTTAGTAACGTTGGTTTCTTTCAATACAACTTTTGTGCAGTGTTAAAATAGCAATGGGTGTCTGGGTTTTTTTACTCTACCAAGGTTTGATTTATTAAAATGGGAATAGTCCCCTAATTTTATTTATTTCAGTTATTTTTTGTGGCTTGTGCAATTACAACATTATTTCATACTACATATGCAATTAGGGGTGGCATATAAAGTACTAGGAATTGTAAATCAAAATGCCGTCGCCTGCCAATACAATGCGTGAAAAAAAAAACTTGGTTGTAGAACTTATTTCGTTAACAAATGTAGGACTCAAAATTGTTCTCCCCTGCTGGTGGTTATGTATGTCTCCCGTGGTGCACATGCTGCTAAGAGAAATGTAAGTCACAAAAACTTGGTTCTGCTTTATTTTCGGTGAAGAGATAATTCTCCAACAAATAAGAGAAAATAAAATGCAGAAAACAAATGCCTCGATCTTGTGTGTACAGTAAAAAATATGCAGACTGCATTTCCTGCAAAGCGGGCGGTGGTCACGTCATGTCGCAGTGTCGCGTTGTGGTCTCATGTGATGCCACAGCTTGCACTACACTTGGCACGCTTAGGACGTCGCGAGACCTCCTTTCGCTAAATTTAGCAAGAAAAGCATTCTGCACATTTCTGACGTGATGCATATAGGATCGAGTTGTTTTCCTACTTCACTTCGAGGCTGCGAAAAGCGCTGAATGGGGCTACGGCACGGGTGATTGTAAGTACACTTGGTCGTATTATAATTTTTTTGTAAGAACATTTCGTTATGTTTCAAACTTAAGGCTGGTTCACACGCTTGCGTCCGCTTACAACTGTGTGCCTTAAAACCTCTTAAAATTTCTGAAGAGACACACTGCATGGTGCCTTCTATCAGCTAGCTGTGGGACATCATTCTTTCTTTCTTGGCTCGAAAAACTTTCACCAATGTTCGACCATTTTTCATATACAGTATGTACATTCGATCTCGCAAACACCGCAGAACCTTCGCTTTAATGAAATGCAGTCCCAAAGTCACCTCATAGATGGCGCCAGCATGTCAGTGTGTTCTCTCGTCATAAAAGATTGCAAGAACTCTGTCCTAAGCAAACGCAAGTGTGTGGTCAGGCCTTTAAGAACCGAGCCATAAAAGCATTCCACTCTGGAAAAATTGAGCAGAATCCCCCACTCTTTTTCAAGAACGAGGTTGTCATTCGGAATACGAGCCGATACAACCTTTTCTTCCCCGTGCAGATGTTTGAGGGCAAGGAGCTGCGCCTGAAGCAGGAGTACTTCATGGTGGCTGCCACGCTGCACGACATCCTGCGGCGCTACAAGTCGTCCAAGTTCGGCACGAGGGCCCCCGTACGCACGAGCCTGGACCACTTGCCCGAGAAGGTGGCCATCCAGCTGAACGACACCCACCCTGCCCTTGCCATCCCCGAGCTCGTACGCCTCCTTGTGGACATCGAGGGCTTGGACTTTGATAGGGTAGGCACACGCCACACCTTCCTCGGGGCCACGGTGCCGGATTTTCTAAGCGACCTACCAAAAGCCGGCACAAAGCATTCGTTGAACAAGAGCGCTGTGTCGGCATATGGCTGCGACTCGCGCTCGTTGAACATGAGCGCTGTGTCGGCACACGGCTGCGACACGCGTTCGTTTGGCTAAAGCATGAGTCTCGGCCAAACACTGGGCATCGGGAAAGCAGAAAAAGCGCTCAGTTCCCCTGTCTCCTTGTGGGCGCCGTCATTTTGGTACTTTGCGTACAGTGGGCACAGTTGGCAGTACAGTAGCAATTCGAAAATGGGTCTTCCTGAGCTTCAGATAGGGTGCCACGAAGCTCGGGTTATGTGGCACCCTAGCTTTGTTGCTGATTGTTTTAACATTTGTGGAAGACGAAAAAGTGTTTCCTGCAATTTTAGATAAAGCTTCACGTAACTGGCCACCATAATTCTAAGCACTAAGATGGCTGAACTGTTTTTCCTCTGTAGCATAGCTTGTCTGGTGGCTCTAGCTCTACTGACAACCAAGAAGGGGACGACATTGATGGCAGCTGCCGTGACAACCGGTCCGTGACCTTTCCGGATGTTACACAGTCCCCTCCTTTTTTTCGGGCAGGCAGTGAAGCTGACCACCGAAATCTGTGCCTACACCAACCACACGGTGTTGCCTGAAGCCCTGGAGCGCTGGCCCTGCTCCATGCTGCATAACCTCCTGCCACGCCACCTGCAGATCATCTACGAGATCAATGCACGCTTCCTGCACGTGCGTTGCCCTTCTTCCTCAATGTGCTTTGCAGACCGCTCTCCTGCATAGATTTCTTTAATGGAATCTGCTGTTCCTTACTTCTTCTAATCTAGAATGCATTTTAGGGCTAACTTCAAAGTCTAAAGCGTTGCGAAAAATTGTAACAAAAACATTAGTGTTGTCCGAATATTCGAATAATAGTTTAGAAAAATGGGCTATTCGATATTCGCATCGAGGTGAACTGCAATATTTAAGGCCTGTTTACGCGTACAGCGCGGCGCCGAATTGGCGCTGGAAAAGACGCCGGTGCGGCACTGGTGCTGTGCCGAGTTGTCGGTTAAGCAGCAATACATAATTGTTGCTCGCCACTGTGGAACGGCACGTCGCCGATAAGTCACGTGCACCACTGTGGAACCACATTGGTGATAAGTCAAGTGCAGGTCTGAGCTGCACCGGCTCTCTACAGCGCCGATTCGGCACTGCACTGTATATGTGAACTGGCCTTTACTTTTTGAAGTGTTGATCGCGGTAAATTAGCCCCACCAAGTGCACTTCTCACGGAGCACCTGTGCAATGAGGGGAAGCAATGCTCGTGGGCTCTGTGGGTATTGCTTCCCCACAGTGCACAAGTGTTCGGCGTGAAGCGCACTCAACGGGGCTAACCTGCTGCAGTTATGCAGGAGGTATATTAGGCAGCAATGTCTTAAGAGCCTGCGTTCATCATTCGTGTTTTTTTTTAATTTGAAATGAAAAGAATGCTTGCATATAGCAAGCAGATATATGAATCCCCTCGATTAGGATGGCTGCAACAAATGTGTTGTTTACATGCCACAGTTCATCTATATTAAAATTAACTGAGCTTATAAGTGGAGATGTGGAAGGTTGCAAATAACTTTCACAAGTTCAACTGAATTTTAGTTAAATAGTTAAAACCATAGTTAAAATGTTGCAGAAACTATTCAATATTTGATTAGAAAATATTCAACCAAAACCACTATCCGCTTTGAATTAGCTCCAAACTCAAAATACACTATTCACACATGCCTAAAAAACATAAAAGCACAGCCAGGCTTCTCTGCAAAAATCACTTTGCCCCTTGGCGAGAATCGAATCGACGAACTCTGTCACTATTCCTATGCTCCACCCCCTACGCTCGTTTTTACCTCAAGAACCGTAATAAAAAAAATTCCGGCTCCTCGCGGAGCATTCATTTCCTTCTTTATGTAAATAATTAAGATATATGTAGGTGCATTTTAGATTACGATCGTGTTATCTTATCAAGACATACACTTTTCAAATGCCAAAAACACGCATTCTACCTCCGGCAACCAAATCTTGTAATATTCAGTAATCCCTCGTTATAACAAAAAAATTCGATATAAGCGGTCATTTGGTAAAAGCAATAGTACCATAGAAACAGCGCCAACAGCCTTGCAGGTGGGTGGGAACGCTGACCGTATCCTAATAAAAAAAAACTTTAGATATGAACAAGCGGTTGCTTTACCGAGTAAAAAAAAATTAAATGGAGCTTGCTGATAATTTAATTTGGGCATCAGTTCTCCTCGAACTGTTCCAGACATCGCAAGAACACTCTCACCGCCGCTGCGCTCCACTTTGTTTCGAAACAGCTGTAGAATGTTCTGCATCTCTGCAGTCATTGGCCTTTTTCGAGGCGCCTCTCCGACGTTGCTTGGTGTTTACCCCGGCCGCACGCAAGGTCTACGATCGCAGCATTCATGGCAGAAGAAACGGTAACGTCCGCATACAAGTGCGAACAAATCAAAGTTATCTTCGGTGGCTTTGCCAACATGTTTGCACACACTCCTGTAAAACTCGTTGCAGTCCTAGAAATCGTGCACCGGCTCGGCAAGCGCGCTCGTAAGAAAAAATTTGACGTGCGCAATGCAGTTGACAATCTTATCTTTGGGTTGCGGGTGCGCTTACTCTTGCATAAGAAACTTCTCAAACCTATCCAGTATGCCTTGGTTGTTCTGCAAAATGGTGAACAGCGTCGAACAGCCGATGCCGGAATGGTGAATTCTTCGGCGATTTCGGACTTGGCCCGGCCACTTTTCTCAATCCCGCAGATCTAAGCGACTTCGGTAAACACTCCCACCCTCCCATACTACGCACGTGTGCGTGTACGTCACAGGCACGCACATCGGGGGCTCCCAAAGGGATGACCTCCTCCAGGCTCCATCGCTTCCTTGAACCAGATTCCGACAAAAGTCGGGCAGCATTGGCCATGAGGAGCGTCGAAACGTGGACGCTGGTCCCGCTGCTCCCTGCCTGCGTCGGCGCATCGGCATCGGAAGCGGCGCTCTGCCTCCCGTCACCCATTTGCTTCATTTTCTTGTTTGCCGTTTTCCCAGTTTGCCGTTTGCCTCAGTGAAGGGGGAAAGAACGCAAGGGTCTCCGTGCGCCTTCGTGTAGACTCGCGTGCTTTCGGCACCGCGGCCTTCATAATAGGCGTGGTCGGCCGCCGATACACTTCGAATAATCTGATTCAAAATGCGTGCATCTCGGCTAGGACCACGTTGAACTTCGATAAAAGGAATAATTCGAAAAAAAGTGATTTTGTTACAACGGGATTACTGTACTTTACGTAGTGTATGAACAGTGCGCAAAACTTCCCGTTTTCTTGGGGTAAAAAAGGGTATAGTGCTACCGGAGCGGCTTAAAATACTATTTCAGTTCATTTATAGATGTACTTCTGCAATCGTAAAATATGGCAACTAAGAAATGGTTGGAACATCTTTAAGCTTACTGCGAGGAAAAGGACAAAACAAATGGTAACTTTCCTGGATACTTCGCATAAAACCGAATGACGCAGAATGCATCATGCGTGTATTGAAGTCTCATTCTCTAAGATTACCCGAAAAGCCAAATAGGCAGTACACAACAGATTCGAATGGACTAAAACAGACAGGCACAAACATGACGCATTCCGCGTGAGTCTGCTTTATGCGAAGCAGTATCGGGGTAAGTTGTCATTTTCTTTTGAGGCTTTTGATGGGGAGCTATTGCGTGCTGTAACGAGTGGACGTGTTGCAGCAAGTGGCGCAAAAGTTCCCGGGCGACAACGACCGCCTGCGTCGCATGTCGATGGTGGAGGAGGAAGGAGAGAAGCGCATCAACATGGCTCACCTGGCCATTGTCTGCTCGCACAAGATCAACGGCGTGGCTCGCATACACTCCGAGATCCTCAAAAAGGGACTGCAAGTACTCTTTGTCTATTCACTGAGCGAGTCTCTAAGTGAGTCTGGAGAGACTGTCACGAGTTGATTATTCCAATAGTGGGAACACCTTTCAGAATAGTTTGGGTTTGGGCAAGTTGTTTGTTCATACCCCCGATGTTATAGCAGACACAATTTGCATAGGCACACAAAGAGGGAACTCTTTTCTGTGTCCCTTTTTGTGTGTGTATGCAAATTTGTCTGCTTTTGTACACTGTAACATCGGAGGGTTTCAGCTAGTAGTTCTTTGTAACATGGGCTCAGAGTTTGGGAAGCTCTCAGAATGGGCTATTTTAAAATGGCCATTCTCGGTTTGCGAGGGTTGTAGAATGCTGGCAAAAGTGGTAATTCACCATTTCAACGTTTCTGGTAGTTCGCAGTTTACTCAAGTTTCAGAAACTGGAAGTGCAAAATGTTTTAGTAATGTCGTTTGGAGCAACATTCCTGTGGTTGACCATTTTAGGTAAACACTGCGCGTGTTTGCGTCCAGGTTCAAGGACTTCTACGAGATGTATCCAGACCGTTTCCTGAACAAGACCAATGGTATCACTCCCCGTCGCTGGCTGCTGCTGTGCAACGCGAGCCTGGCCGACCTCATTGCAGATGTGCGTAGATGCGCCTATGACTGCACACCGTCTCTCGGAATAAGGAAGAACATGCAGATTAGTACTACCTATGTCAAATGGGGTGTTGTGTGAAGAACCACATAGGGAAGCCTGATGGTAACTTTCTAGGCATGTGCGAACAGCAAACTTGTGGTTGGCTGTTGCTGCATTCAATTTTCGTGCACCTCCTGCATCAGCTACACTTGGTGCATGCCACCAGATTCGATTTACGAGTGTGCCTTATTACGGTACGTTGCCCTGTACTTTTCTGCAGCATGCTACACTTTTCTGCATCGCTGATGGCCGGTGCAGATAAATCGAAAAAGATCCCCATGGCACATTGAGCTCCTCTCGCAGATTCACGGGCACTGCACATCCCCGTCTGCTGATGGGTGCTGAGCGCTCCCTCCTGTGTTTGGATCTTTGCAGAAAATCGGAGAGGACTGGATTGTGCACCTGGACCAGCTGACAAAGCTGAAGCCCCTGGTGAATGACAAGGGGTTTCTCAGGGACCTGCAGAGGGTCAAGGCTGTAAGTGCACCGTTCTGCATCTCGTATCACGTATGGAATCCCTAACAAATCTGCGGTTCTCCTGCCGTTTCCGACGAGACTTGCTGCTCGGGAGTTTGGTGCTGTTCCGCGCGTAACTCTAGGACTACAATGCCTTGAACACGTCTTCGGCCAGTGTGTTTAGTGTCCTATATCGGTCATGCAAAGTGGTACCACATGATGTCCCAAAAGCTGGAGTGTCATGCTGTTGAATGTGGCGATACTGGCAGTTAGGTGTAGATATTGTGGAAAAAGCAAGAGAGGGTTGCCGTTGTCACAGTGTGCAAACTCGTTGCCGCAGAAACTTTGGTAGACTGTTGAGCCAAGAGTGAGCCACGGTAAAACGGGAGTCTGCCGTGCTTGCCTCCGCTGTTGTGCGACCACCAGGATGTCACCAAGCAGACATTGAGGGTCCACATTTGAGGCAGCAGCAAACGCGCCGATCGGAGATGCGCTGTAGGCTCCCTACTAGGAGTAAGATTGGGGGGTGAATTGGGTGCAGGAGAACAAGCAGCGCCTGGCGGAGTACCTGACAAAGGAGACGGGAGTAAAGGTGAACCCGGCCTCGATGTTTGACATGCAAGTGAAGCGCATTCACGAGTACAAGCGGCAACTGCTCAACTGCCTGCATATCATCACCCTGTACAACCGCATCAAGGCCAACCCCTCTGCCCCCATGGTGCCCCGTACCATCATGATCGGTGGCAAGGTATGTGTGCACGGCTCAAATCTCTGAAGCTACGGTCCATTGGAGGTTCAGAATAGCAGTCTAAGCGGCTGGAACTCGTCAGGAAGCAATTTTCTGAAATTTTTAATGAGAAAATGGTGGTCAGCAGGTCTTACACACGCAGGCAGTGTCTGTGACCAAGAGCCAATACAAATTCCTAATTGAAAAATGAAATAGTTTCTAACAATTGAGTTCGATAACCAACTTCTGAAATTTTGGCATATACTAAGCATGAAATAAAGTATAGCTACTTGAAACTGCTGCATTTTAGTTCGAGTAACTCTGCTTTTCGACTGCGCTGGCAGGCGATAAGAAAGAATGGCGGTCAACAGAGCGCGTGCTAACAACGAGGTGCTTTTCCAGGCGGCACCAGGCTACCACATAGCGAAGCAGATCATCAAACTGATCATAGCGGTGGGCAATGTGGTGAACAACGACCCTGTGGTGGGGGACAAGCTGAAGGTGATCTTCCTGGAGAACTACCGGGTCAGCCTGGCCGAGAAGATCATCCCTGCCGCAGACCTGAGCGAGCAGATCTCCACCGCAGGCACCGAGGCCTCCGGCACAGGAAACATGAAGTTCATGGTGCGTTTTTTTTTTTTTTTTTTTAGCTTTTAGGCTAGGTGGCACAAGCTACTGCCCATTATATGTAGCTGTTAATATCTATCCATTTCTCCAGCTCCTTTCCTCTATCTGCAGACACTGATGTGTTTCAAAATTTACTTAATCTCGCTCCAGAGTAAAGGTTTTGTACTATCAAGCACGAATGAAATGCAAATGAAGGTGCATGTAGCCTTGGACACATGCTTTGCTACCTGGAGGTCACGGAGAACTGATAATTAAGTAGAGGGGGTGGGGGGAGAGTTCAGAGTAGGTGCGCACCCTCGCGGCCTCCCTCTCCACTGAAGTTTTATCCCTTTCCAGGAGCTTCCAGGTAGCAAGGCAAAGCCGGTGTCTTTCTGTGTTGTCGTGCGATATGACCAGCAGGAGTAACTCTGATCTACTGGAGCAAGATTTGAAATGCAGCCTCTGAGCGGCAAAACTTGGCAGATGGCAAAAGCTGTGGCCCCTGCGAGCCAATTGGAGTGAGGCACGTGACAATGTACCATTGTCCGGTGAAGGGCTGTTGCGTGTTTTGCATGTTTGCTCCGATTGGCTCACGGGAGTCGTAGTGTCAACAATTAAATTATATCGAGACAATCGTCGATGAGAACCGTTAAAGGGCAACCATTGTCGACAGTTATGTTGCAACTAATTAAATATAATTTCGTTTGCTGCTCGGTTTGCTAACTAAATACTTCTCAAGCTATAGTAGTGAAAATTTTAGTATCTGTAACTCTGTAGTATAGTTACCTTTATGATGCAATTTGTCACGTGGTTCACTTTGTTACTTGTTGAAATTGTGTTGATACGCAGAAATGCAAATTGTTAGTCTTAATATTGTCGAATTGTTGTTGCTCCCAATTCAAAATCTACCATGAGCCAAACACTAGACCGATAACGAAATTGTGCTGATACCTTTTTCCACATAGGATGTGCGAGTGTACCTTGACATCATAGCACATTTTGCAGCTAATATTTTGTGTAACTTAACTATATGTTTTGAGAGTGGCTGTAAGTAGTACAATCGTAAAGAACAATTTAGCTTTTTAACATGCATGATTTGTGAGTGCAGCTGAACGGAGCACTGACCATCGGCACTCTGGATGGAGCCAACGTGGAGATGCGAGAGGAGATGGGGCCAGAGAACATCTTCATCTTCGGCATGAACGAGGACGAGGTCAACGCCCTGGCCAAGTCTGGGTGAGTGCAGTCTTCACCCCGGTAACTGCACAGAGGCCTTCTTGCCTTGGGCCTTGCAACTGGCTCAGGGGGAAACCAAATTGGCACAATCCCTCGTATGGTAGGATCCATTGGAGTTGGGACTACCTAGACGCTTTGAAATCTATGCTCGTTGCATCAAGAAAAGGAAAGGTTTCCCCATTATTCGTTTACTACACGTTTTTCCAAGGTTTACACTTCGAAATCTATGCTCGTTGCATCAAGAAAAGGAAAGGTTTGCACATTATTCGTGCGTTACACGTTTTTCCAAGGTTTTACACTTCGAAATCTATGCTCGTTGCACCAAGGAAAGGGAAGGTTTGCACATTATTCGTGCACTACACGTTTTTCCAAGGTTTACACTTCGAAATCTATGCTCGTTGCATCAAGAAAAGGAAAGGTTTGCACATTATTCGTGCACTACACGTTTTTCCAAGGTTTACACTTCGAAATCTATGCACGTTGCATCAAGAAAAGGAAAGGTTTGCACATTATTTGTGCACTACACGTTTTTCCAAGGTTTACACTTCGAAATCTATGCTCGTTGCATCAAGAAAAGGAAAGGTTTGCACATTATTTGTGCACTACACGTTTTTCCAAGGTTTACACTTCGAAATCTATGCTCGTTGCATCAAGAAAAGGAAAGGTTTGCACATTATTTGTGCACTACACGTTTTTCCAAGGTTTACACTTCGAAATCTATGCTCGTTGCATCAAGAAAAGGAAAGGTTTGCACATTATTCGTGCACTACACACTTTTCCAAGGTTTACACTTCGAAATCTATGCTCGTTGCATCAAGAAAAGGAAAGGTTTGCACATTATTTGTGCACTACACGTTTTTCCAAGGTTTACACTTCGAAATCTATGCTCGTTGCATCAAGAAAAGGAAAGGTTTGCACATTATTTGTGCACTACACGTTTTTCCAAGGTTTACACTTTGAAATCTATGCTCGTTGCATCAAGAAAAGGAAAGGTTTGCACATTATTTGTGCACTACACGTTTTTCCAAGGTTTACACTTCGAAATCTATGCTCGTTGCATCAAGAAAAGGAAAGGTTTGCACATTATTCGTGCACTACACGTTTTTCCAAGGTTTACACTTCGAAATCTATGCTCGTTGCATCAAGAAAAGGAAAGGTTTGCACATTATTCGTGCACTACACGTTTTTCCAAGGTTTACACTTCGAAATCTATGCTCGTTGCATCAAGAAAAGGAAAGGTTTGCACATTATTCGTGCACTACACGTTTTTCCAAGGTTTACACTTCGAAATCTATGCTCGTTGCATCAAGAAAAGGAAAGGTTTGCACATTATTCGTGCACTACACGTTTTTCCAAGGTTTACACTTCGAAATCTATGCTCGTTGCATCAAGAAAAGGAAAGGTTTGCACATTATTCGTGCGCTACACGTTTTTCCAGGGTTTGGTCATCAAAGAAAGAAACAATGCTCTTGGCATTTGAAATGGGTATGTCTCGACAAAAAGATAAAGCCAATCTAGGATGCCTATGCATACACCGTATTTTCCAGGCTATAGGCGTTTTCAAAAAGTGCTCTCTGGCCGCCGCCGTTTTGGGGCTTGAGCGACCCCCGTCAGTCAGAAATTTCTGCCACCCGCCTGAGCTGTAAAAACCCGACATGATAAAACAGCGCAAAGAATATGAAGGAAGAGAAAAGGACAAATAAAACGAAAGAGCGCGAACAAACGGCGCTCTTCCGTTCGATCTGTACTTTTCTCTTCCTCAGTGTTTTGTGCGCTGTTTTATCATGTTGAAGTACCAACTAGCTCAAATCACTACTTTACTGTGGAAACCCGGTCAGTGTGACTCCCCACCTGCATTGTCCATGCGGAGTTTGCCGGTTTTCGTTAAAAGATTTTACTTTATTTGCCTGTTCAGGATGCTTATCATTTTTGTGTAATCTTTCACTGTCAGAACCAGGGAATTCTAGGGCTTGTAGCCTGCTCGGCCTTCGCAGGAAACGAATGAAGAGAGCAAAACGTCGAGCAGCCCGCGGCGCGCGGGTTGTTTGACATTCTTCGAGGAATATTTCCATCACACTAATCTTCCAAAAAAACTTCCCAGCTATGTTCCCGGTCTTTGCGAAAAATAGCCGATAGGGTCAGGTCGGGGTATAAGGCGGAATAGGCAGGTTCGTGCATTTGCTTTGGTGCGGTGCAAAAAAGCAGCTCTCTGCAAAACGTGTCCCAAAACAAACTGGATTCCGTCCGATCATTGTGAAGCCACTATCGTCGACACTATATTGGATATGCTATGTTATTTGAGACCTTTCTCGAATCTTGTTCGGAGAGCGCGGCACCGTGGGGTATGTACAATATATGTTGTACGATCGATGAGACTCGTTGAATTTCGTGTTGTGAGCGGGGAATACTCATGCAGTTCGGCTATCCTGTGTGGTCAAATAATTTCAACAGTTAAAACCTTTGCAGGGTGATACAGATGGGCGTACGACACTGTGAAAAAATCGGTGTGAAATGAAACAAACATTTCAATTGCATTTCTTCCGTTGCGCACAGACTCGCCGAAAATAGCTTTTATTTGTTTGATTTTGTTTTCAAAAATAGTACAATGTTTCTTGAAGACCTCGAGAAATTCTATTTGCCATAGAATACAAAAGAAACAACGAAATGCAGCAATTTAGCCACCAGCAGCATCCAGAATCGTGCCTACGCAGGCTGCCACAGCCCACTGACGGGAGAACCCGCAGCCCAGCACAGTCGGGCAACACCGTCATACACTCTTAAAACCAGTGATGCACACTGTAAATCGCTTGGTTCGAGACTGCCGCTGGAAAGGTCTATAGTCTGCAGACTATTCATGTTTAGAAGTTTAAATTTTACCCGATGCGGACTATACAATTTTTTTTTCCTAGGTCGTTCATTCTGACAAGTCGTGGAGAATTTAATGGATAACAAAGTATATTAATGTGCATTTATGTATGATGCAAGCTTCTTAGTGAGCTAATACAAGAGGCATTTGTCAAAGTGTGCTGTGTATAATTTTTACGTTCGGGCAAGGTATGGACTATGCGCTGGGTGCGGACTATAGCCCGGAAAATACGGCATCTTAATTTCATGAACGAAGGGGGGAATTAACAATGTTCCGCAAAGAGCCGGACTTTTTTAACGGCGGTTTTTGAGGTGAACAAGAGCATAGGTGGTCCTAGGGCCACCTAGAATGATGCACAGAGAAAACTCGGCGCCCAGAGAAACTGCACGACTTCGCAAAGTTTTAGCAGATCGCATTTTCGTAGAATGTCACTGCTTTTGGGTATTAAAGGGGTACTCTGCCGTTTTCTTCATAGTCCCCGATTTGCCTAAAAACTTGCTAAAAACACCAACAAACGTCGCTGAACTAGTAACCCAAATACTTGGACAATAACCTTTTTTTGCGAAGTTACAGAATTTACAATTTTGGTCCTCATCGTGTTTTTCAAAATGAAAAGCTCTGCTGGCAACATTGAAAAAGTGAAGTCATGGGAAGGCAGGGGTTCACTCTTTGGGCTGTAGACTTTGTTCCCAACTGATTACAAACAGTTTCATGGTGTCAAATGAATGCTTTGGAAAATCGCTCCAGCTCCCGTGCAGCAGCACGATACAAATGCTCGGCATAGTTCATTTTTAGACTGCCCGCTCAAACCGCAAGCTAGCCCACCCGTGACGTCACGGCAATGAAAAGCGCGAGTATTCAAACCTTCGTTTTGGCGTCATTTTCATTTGCCGATTTCACAATACAGTCTAAGCTCGTTACAACAGACCTGGTTACAACATACATTTGGATATAACATACCAATTTGTGAAGTAAAACTACTCTGAATTTCGCAATACTAAATAGCATATTGGAAAGAGTAAAGGACGACAATTTCGAAAATATGGTGAGTTGGGGTTGCTAAAAAAATCGCCGGAATTCCCATTTAACCATAAGCTTTTGCACACCCAAAGCACTGTTGATCCAACTATGACGTTTGAAGCATTTGTTGCAGTGATGCAGCACATCTGTCATGTGATGTGCTCACAGTGCTCTGGCATGCTGCATAGGTTTTGGCCACGATGTACAGTTTCCGCCAATATGAAAGACCCACTCGAAGCAAGTGCCGAGAAGACTACTGATGGGGGCACGGCACGCATTGTGGTCAGTATCATACTGCTCTGAGGGGAGTAAAACTCGATAACGCAGCCTAACTGCATCGGCGCACACTGACGAAGTGCCTTCCTTTCCCTCGGAGTGACGTAGAATGGCCCAAAGCGCAAGCAGTACCCTTACAAGCCGCAGCCTCAGCCATGCGCCGCGAGTGGGTCTTTCATGTTGGAGAAGACTGTACTTCGCCATGCGAACTCAGCACTATCCGCCTTTCTGTCAGTGAGCTAACATTACTAAAACTTGGACGCTTAGCTTCGCCTTTAAAGGGAAGCTGAAACACTACTTGAAAAAAACGAGTTAGAGGTGAATTCTGGCGTATTTTTATCCCGTGAATCTGAATATCACTTTTGTTTTCCCTGAAGATGCAACTAAAAGCGAGAAAAAGCGAAAAAACATTCGACCAGTCGTGACGTCATACTAGGATCTTCGGGCCGCCAAGCGCGTGTCGCTCGTGTGTTCAGCGCGTGCAACGCAAGCTTGCCAGGTATATTTCCCCGCACTGACACCAGTCGTGACGTCTCTTTCTGACCTTTCTGAAAATAGCAAGAGTGCGCGTGCATAGCTTTGACAGGCGCTGAAGATGCGCGAGAGCAGATATTCCGAAGGCTCCTAGTGTGACGTCACGCCCCGGGAAGGAGGGGCTTCGGCGATACTTTAAAAATTAATTTCTGAAGCCTCCGTGCACCAAATTGAAAAATAATCTTGATATTCCTCATTCCTCATCCTGGAGGTAGAATGAAGGCCATTGAAATGTTTTTCCTCAAATAGAGAACCGGTTCAGTTTCCCTTTAAGAGTGAAACGCGAAAACTAAACATATGAGCTCCCACTTGTTCCCAAGCCATGCAAGCATCTCTGCCTGGCCTAGTCATCAGTAGTGCGTCTGACTTGCAACCGAAGGGTCATAAGTTTCAATCCCTCGTAAATTTTTTCTTTAAAGCAAATTATTTACTTTATGACGTGAATTCATTTGAGACATGCAGCGACCTCTAAATCGCCTTACACGTCATTTTAAATCACTTCATTCTACGCATGACGTCACATTTCACATGAGCGTAGTGGGTTGTTTGAAATTCCTGCGCAAGGTCATGTGGCTGTGACGTCATGACCCGATTTACCAATCAGGATTTTCCAATCGCAACAACTCCCGCCGGCTTTTCTGCAAAACAAGTTTCTTAACGCCACCGCATTAATATTGCAATATCGTCAACAACACTGGGTGTTTCACGTGTGGCGACGGATGGTCTTGCAGCTACAACGCCTGGGACTACTACAACAGGCTTCCAGAAGCCAAGCAGGCCATTGACCAGATCAACAGTGGAATGTTCAGTCCTCACAATCCTGGCCTGTTCCACGATCTCACAAATGTCCTTCTCAACCATGACAGGTAAGTGGTTTATGTATAGTTACGTGGGGCCATGGACAGGGAGTAGTTGACAAGACTAGACTTCAGCTGGTACGTCTTTGGCCGGGACGACTTTGGCCGGGACGACTTTGGCCGGGACGACTTTGGCCGGGACGTCTTTGGCCGGGGACGTCTTTGGCCGGGGACGTCTTTGGCCGGGGACGTCTTTGGCCGGGGACGTCTTTGGCCGGGGACGTCTTTGGCCGGGGACGTCTTTGGCCGGGGACGTCTTTGGCCGGGGACGTCCTTGGCCGGGACGTCTTTGGCTGATACTTTTTTTCAATACCTTTCAGCAGACTAATATTTTGCATTTTTTAGCTGGGGCTCTTTAAACCGAGGCTTGGCTCCTGGCTAGGGTAATTTTGGCTAACAGAATGTTGGCTGATAGACAACTAGCTGGCCGAAACTAGGACACCTGGCTGGCTGAAACTTGGCTATGTAGTGATCGGTTATGTGGCTAGTTCGTTTACGTGGCACTTGGTACATTTCGGTTATGCGAGACACTGTTCTACTACACACATCCCTGTCGCACGGTGGTCGCAAAAGACACTCCCTCCCCGGCAGGTTCTTCCTGCTGGCAGACTACGAGTCTTACATCAAGTGCCAGGACCGGGTGTCCAACATGTACACCAACCAGGAAGAGTGGACCAAGATGGCACTGCTCAACATCGCCTCCTCGGGCAAGTTCTCGAGCGACCGCACCATCGCCGAGTACGCCCGCGAGATCTGGGGCGTCGAGCCGTCCTGGGAAAAGCTGCCGCCACCCCATGAGGTCAAGGGTGATGAACAGCCGGCCGCCAAGCCGGCCCCCGTGTCGCCCACCAAGAAGTAGCCGGTCGTAGCCGGCCCGTACAAAATTTCGGCGGCACCCCAACGCGTAGGAGACTCATCTTTGCGAGTAATATATATTGCAGTGTCCACGCGACGATGAATGGTTCCCCCGACTTCCTTGCTCTTGTTTGCGCTCTTTGCTTCGCGAGATGCCTTTCCGGGTCGTCTTGTTTGTATATTACCCGTTGCACATTTTTAGGGTGCCTTTTGTTTTTTGTTTGTTTCACTTTTTTCGTGTGATGCCCTCTAGCTGTAAACCTTCAATATACTCTGGGGGAAATCCTCATTTGGTGCAAGTTTGGCATTTAAAAAATTGTTCCCAAAAACATTTTTTTCTTTTCTTTCGGCGCACCTTTCTCCCCTGCTCGCCGCTTTTTGTTCCGCGGAGTGTTGGAGTCGTACGACTACTACTCTAGGTAGCAATAAATTAAAGGGTCTTTCAACAGCTAGAGTCGTCTGTACGTATGCAAAGGCAAGGCTTCGAGTGTTCCTAAGAGAAGGTACACTGAGAGGCAAAGTTTGGTTGAGAGAGAAAAAAAAAAAAAACTGCCAAAGGTGTTTGTTGAAGTTGTTGGTTGATGCTGTTTTCCGTTTCGAGTCCCAAATCGCAGCCTAAATCTCTCCGCTCTCAGCGCTGCAGTGCTAACCAATCACACTGCTTGTTTTAAGTTTGTGTGTGATGTGTATGTAGGTGTACTCTAAATATACTGAAAGAAACCTCCAGCTGGCATTGTGTGCATTTTCTCGCTTAGATTTCTCTTCACAGTCGCGGTAGCTGGATGAAATGTAAACAGGTGGCTTACGAGCCTGCGGCAGTACGCAAAAGGAATGATTAAGGCAAATAAATTTGGGAGATTGAGTAACCCCTCCGGACGTATGTGCCACTGATGACAAGCAAGCTCTAGAGAAGTGCTGTCGCAGTGCCCTTGATACTTCAACTACTGGGAAGTTGCAACTGAAATAGTTGCTGACAAATAAATAAATTCGCCAAGCACAAAAGTAAATAGTACATAGACACTTGGACAAATGTGAATACATTACACCGGTCCAGACTGTAAAGTCTGGACTTAAAGTAAAACCTGAAAAAATTGTGTAGCAAATACACCTTTAGAAATTGTGGTGCCGGAAGTTCAGGTATGAAAACATGTTTGTGTTCCATGGATTCACGAGTGACCATGGCAGGCTTTAAAGCGAGATCTTGTGCCAGCACTTCCGTGTGCACGTTCGTCCTCTGCCCGTGTTCCGATATCGCACCGGAACGTTGCTGAGCCCGGTACCTATGCTGGTGGCACTTTTCGCCAGACAAGTGGCATATAAGCTTGACAGCAGTTCCTCGAATGAAGATACTGGCGCTGGGGGGTTTTAAAGCCTGGCCGTTTTCCAGAACCTCCCATACTTGCCGGAACCGGCCAACAAGCGTCCATCACGTGACCTTTCCACCAGCCAATCGACGTCGAGCTTCACTAAATCTGGCGACCCTCAACGAGCCAAAGAATGTTTCACGTTAAAATCTTGTCTGCTAACAAGATTTAAAAAAAAAAAAATAAATAAATTAACCCTTTTTGCTAATTTGGATGTAAAGGTCTGTTCTCGTATGCTTGGTTCATCCCCGAATTAATGCCCCATTAACGTCTTACTTCTTCCTTGCCACCGAGTTCCTCAATGACCAGGTCACTGAGTCGCAGTGACCTGGTCAACGCAAAGGCTCGAGAGATCGTAAAGAAGCAAAGGCTCTATAGACCAATGCCCTGCACCCTCCAGTTACGGTTGGTGGAGCAGGGTCTGTATACACGGAATCCGAAACGGCCAAGGCACCCACGGCGAGGAAAAGATTACGCAATGGGAGAGAACTGGGACACCCACCAGATGACCACACCACAAATGCCAAGACATGGTAAGGACACGTCGCATATTCTTGTAATGACCAAAACACCTTCAGCACAGAAAACATTTGAACAAAACATCCAGCATGACAAGCGAGAGGGTCAGAATGCATTACCCCAAGTGGGGGAGCAAAGAGTTGCAAGGAAATCTTTGACCCATCGTTGGCAGGTCTCATCCTCTTCATCTAAACTATCCTCCCTGTCCTACCCCATCCCCCAATTCAGACGACTCAAGTCTAGAGGGCTGGTGTAACTTTCTGTAATAAACATTTATTCATCTATTTTACCTGACACAAAGCGCTGCATGCTCCTTGCCCTTTAAACATTCTGCGCCAAAATCGGTGGAGCTTCCCTTAACGGTACATGTAAAGTCACCGACTCTTGGGAAGGTAGCGCCAAGCTCCCCGTGTGGTCGTCGTGCTGGCCCATGGAACGAGCAGTCCCTCCTTGACCTCTTCATTCTTAATGAGCTGATCCAAATTCCTGGTGACAGAATGCTTCATAAACATTTCTTGAAGATGCGCTACTTTCCCAGGATTCACTGACTGAATGGATGCAAAACTCGGCTGCCAGTTTTGAAAACCTAACTTTTTTTATTCCCAACGACAACTACATATCATACCGGAAGTCCCCCAAAAAAATTTTCACAGTTCTTTCATCGCAAAAGTAAACTGCGTTCCCGAACGCTCGTTTTCCGCGCAAATGTATCGCTAGCGATCTGAACCGGATGCCAAAGTTTCAGAACTAACCGTTCTCTTATTCAGAAGTTATTTTCTGAAATTTTAAATGGGCAAATGGCGGCCAACTGAACCTTCGAATGCACAAAGTTGGTTGGCGCCAGTTACCAAGAATTGGGCCCATTTTCCCCTTAAAAGTTAAAAAAAAAACGCAACTTTTTAATGAGATAACAGTTAGTTTTTAAGCTTTGGCATCTAATTTCGATTGCTAGCACTACATTTAGGCAGAGAACGAGCATATGGCAACGCATACTTTATTTTTGCGTTAATAAAACCCTACGAATTTTTTGACGCCGTACATGCAATTTTGTTGCGTAAATGTCTGCTTTAATTTTCTGCACCACCAGCTCCTTGCGGCCGTTGCTACTCGCAGACTTGTCGAACACTCGATTTTCTCCGTAAATAAAGATCTCGCGCGAATAAGCTATTAACGGCAGATGCAGAGCCCATCCTTAGTTCCAAAAACCTAACACTTCCACCAACAAGTGCACTAGAATGAGAGCGCATAGCTTAGGAGGCGTCCTTGTCCTTGGGCGGCTTGTTGTACAGGCTCACTCCGTCCGGGTTGACGAAGCTGCACAGCTTGCCGTAGCGGGCCATCAGCTGTAGCCGGGTGTTGTAGGCGTTGCGGTAGGGGTCCACCTTGCGCAGGTGCACCTGCCAGCCCTTGGTGTTGTGCCGGATGTACCAGGGCACGTACTTGGGAGGGGGCTTGACCAGCCGGCCCCCGCTCACCACCAGGTCGAAGTCGAGCTCCTCGTCTGTGCCGATCTGCTCCGCCGTGCGGCAGCCGTTCTTCGGCGAAGCCACCACGCGGGGGAAGTTGTCCGTCTCGCGCTTGAACTCCACCAGGTGGAGCCGTTTTTCGTCCGCAAGCTGCTGGTGCGTTTTCTGGAATGGACCCCGGGTTCGTGCTCCTTTTTAAAATGGAGCGTCTTGTACCTGACGCAAACTTTCTTCGTGCTACATTCTCAAAGCTGGCATAGTTTCTGCAGTGCTCCAACACCCTCAAGGTTACTTGCGCGAGCTCGTGTAAAGCCAGATAGAATAATCGAGGCCTGCGAACATCCTCCTCTTCCTCCATGGAACATAATCGCAGTCGGATGGTGCAAACTCGGCAGATGAACCTTAGCATCCTTCGACGTACTGATTGGACATGAAGCCAAGCAGAATGCTGATGCGTCCAATATGTGCCTTTGATGACATCAAAATTCACAGGCTTCGACTATTCAAGGTGGTGTTGGCTCGTGACTCCCTTTGGGAATCTTTGGGAAAAATAGAATGCAAGACGAAGTCACGTGCTCTAGCGGCTTTGCAAGGCTTCTGCACTGCGGAAGCTACACTAGCTTCGACAATGCACCGCAAAGAAGTTGACGGAGAGTATAAAACCTCTCCATAGTAAAACGAGTTTCTCCAGTAAAAGTCTCAACTACATCAGTCTGCAATAAAGAGCTTGTAGTGTAGTAGCCGTCCTCAAGGACCAGTTAGCTCGAGCTAATGTTGTGCAATTGCTCTACTACTGAATGCAACAAGATGACAGAATACCAAGTTTCTCTGCGTACGAGCACTCCATTTTACCAGGTTGGCGAGCGAGTGCTCGTATCGTAAAAATAAGGGGTCCAGCCTAAAATCTTGTATAAGCAACGCAAACAGCCGCCTAAGAATTGGGTGTAAGGGCATACACACACCATATACCAAAATTATTTTGCATATTATATACATTTTTTAATCAATTAAAATGCACATAGACCCACTGCAAAACAATAGAAATGACAAGAAGCAGGTTGGGATTTTACTAGTTGTGCATATAGCATTAGTGCCTTTCTTTGTAGAAAACTTTAAAAGTAAGCACTAAAAAAACATTACGGTTTGCACATTAAAGGGAATCCACCTTTTTTGTAATCACCGGTTCGAGGTGTTTGGGCAGAGAAGGCACATGCACATCCTGAGCTCTGCCATGGTCGCTCACAAATTCATGGAATGTGAACCTCAATTTCAAAAAAGGTGGATCGCACAATACGAGCCACGGAGCCTTTCTTTGAGCAAAGTGGCGCACCTGGTTGTGGAGCCCGAGGATGAAGGCCCTGAGGAGCACCGTGGCAGAGCCCGCCCTGCAGTCCATCAGCTTCACGTGGATGTCGGTGATGCCAGCCAGCTTGCACACTTCCTTGAAGATGCGGTGGCACACCAGGCCATAGCCTGGTCGCACGACGGAACGAGCGTTGGTAAAGGGACTACACAATCGGCTTTTCGACGGCGACGGCACGAGAGTGGAATCGAGAGCGGAAGCGCGAATTAGGCGAGCACCGACCGATCGATTTTCTTCCCGACTACGATAGATAACCTGCTTAGTCGGGACTGCCACATCATACATATTGCCGTAACAATGTTGCAGATGTTCCAAGAGCTACCTCTGGGCTTCTTCCTGACCATCATCTTCATTGGTCCATACTGAGTGAAGAAGTTGTGGTATACTGTAAGGAAAAGAAGTCAGACCAAAAAACATGGGTGGACGACACTTCCAAAGTTCCCTCAGTCGCCATTACAGTATGCCATTTTAGAACGGAATGTAAGGAATGTGAGACTTGTATTACCCGTGTGATCTTCGAATCTGTCGATGTATCGCAGCCGCTGGATGGCCCTGTTCTTAGCCTGCAGTGAAAAGGGAGTACGGCTTGCATTTATAATTTCTATGATTTGCGCGCTGTCGAGCAGACAAAAGCTCACCATTCTGAGTGCCGCCTTTGCTTCCGGAGCTTTTCCGCTCGCAAAGCCTGAGACGGGAGTGGAGTGACCATTTAGTCAATTGGTGAATACTTCCAAGCTGATACTTCAAAGCGTCATTTCCATGACATTGTCAGTTCCAAAATTAACTTTTTATACGTAGCTCCTCGAGATTCCTTCATCTCAAAAAAGCAAGCGTGCACACAGCAGGAAGCTTGACAAAGCCGACTGCCTAAAGCAACGCCTTTGCGACTGTCGTTAGCATCCACTACTATTTTAACGCTTGGTGAAGGAAACTCTACCCTAAGCAAAGGCAAGTGCGCAAACGGACCTTAACGGTTTCGCGCGTGCCGACCGAGGCTGTAAAAGCGCAATGAGCATCAACGTACCGATTAGTCCGTTCTTGTTGCCGACCACCACAACTGCCTTATGCCTGCGTGTACGTCCCAGGTTGCCAGTCATCCTCGATACCATTCTACTCTGCGCAACAGATACGCGAGCGGATGTGAGGCGGATCGACGAGGCGGCACGTTCCGGGATTAGCCGAGACGAGCCTCGCGACATGGCCACTCACCTCAACTACGATGGTATCAAACTTCTCGAAGGTTTCTGGAAAGCAAAGCAAGCTCAAACTTAGAATCGAGTGCCTGGGAAGAATTGTTCACAGCGTGTAGCATTTACTCCTAAAAGTGGCTCTTGTCAAACCGGCTACGGAGCGACAGTAGAATGCTCGGAACTCGCCATGCCCTGCCTCTCTTGAGCTGTCGCTGACCGCAGCCGGAGTGACAAACAAAATTGTCTCGCATTCTTTTTAACGGACCGGTGAGAGCAGCGCCGCCTCACCATCTCCGACGGGGTCCGGGGGTCCTATGCTGCGGCCGGGCGCCCTGGTGCCGCACCACCCGCGTTCCAGCGGGGTCAGTTTGAGGGGCCGGAAGCCGTGCATCTCGTTTCGCAGCTGCAGCAGCTTCTCCTCGCGCTGCTTGTCCGGTGGAAGCTGCACCCTCTCCACAACCTCCTTTCCACGGACCACGGGAGCGTTCAGGCCCGGCCAGACCATGTTCACCTTGCCTGCGGGGGAGTGGACGGGTCCTCGGTCTACAGTCCCTGAAACCTGTCTCCGACCGATGCGTTTAGCGTCCTACTCCGCCCACACATCGAGAATGGCCCCGAGCGGCGACAGACGACGTAACAAAAGCCGAACTGTCACGCTGTCGGATGTTGCAATCCTGCTGGTTCGGCGTAGAAGTCGAGCAAGAAAGCGCGAAAGAATGCAAGCGTTGCGCCGTCCCGACTCCCGGCTACCGAACCTTCCGCGGACTGTCAAACAACCAGCAGCGAAACGGGCCGCTGCCATGTGCACCACCACTGCTGCTCTAACTCCACCAGTATCGCGGCAGGCGACGACGTGACGCTCGTACGACGTCGTTGGGTGGAAATCGAGGAACCACTTTTTGGCACAGAAAAAACGCGTTGGTTCGAGACACATTCCAAGCACCGTATACGGACCGCTTGTGCCGAAAGTCCGGACACCACGCGATTGAGACACGTGACGCGGCGGTGCCCAACACTGCAACTCCTAGATGGCGCTAGCTGTCGGATGGGGACGTCGTAAACCCACCGAGGTTTGAATTCGACCATGTTTGACTTTGTCGAACTTCAAAGTCAAGGTTCGACACAAGTTTGATTATTATGTGCATGTGCGTAAATTGGCACCACATGACAGAGGAAAGATGCGGCATTTATACAAACTCAATCATTTAAAACATATATGTTTGCTTTTATATTGAGTAACGTGGGTAATTACACTTTTAAATTTAAAACGGGGAATTTTATTAATGATCTGTTCTCGAAATTTTTAATGTTTTGTAGAAGTCGGGCAACCCCATTCAAAAAGTTTAACTTGAGAGAATTTTGCCAAACGTTTGAAAGTTTGTAAACAGTCAAACCTCCGAGTCGACAAAAGTCTGCAATGCCCCTGCCGTTGTTTCTACATGATGGCGGCTCTGCATGGAAACCGTCCTAGGGCACAAACATAGTGTCCTCTACGAGCTGCCGTGTCATGTAGATGGCTTAAGTCTGTTACCGACAAACTGTGTTTATTTATTCCTTTAGTCATTATTTTATTAGAGAGATACCACGGCTCTCAACTGACAGCCATAGTAGGAATGGTACAGTTTATGTACATAACTACATAAAAACCAATTCTAAAATATGGGCATGACTGATCCGTACTTGATCGAATGAAACAAAAATTACGAACCCATCGAAAACCAAAACCTTTGGTGGTGCAGGGATTCAAACACCGGGTCTCCCAACCCGACCAGATATCGGGAAACTCACAATCCAAATCCCGGCGCTGCCAAAGATTTTGTCTTTTGGCGGCTTCATAACCTTAGTTTCATTCAATCAAGTATGGTACGGTCACCTGCATATTAGAGCGCAACTCTTAGGCACCCGTTTCCGGCTTGAGCGGCGTCGTCATGGGCGTAACCGCGTGTTGCACTATTGGAAATTTCCCATAATGACGTCACGTGGGTTACCCTCGTGAAAGTTACGAGGGTTACTCTCAAGAGGGTTACAAGGGTCACCCTCTCGAGGATCACGAGGGTCACGAGTGTTACCCTCACGAGGGTTAGTTACCCTCAAAAGGGTTACCCTCACGAGGGTTACTTTCACGAGGGTTATGAGGGTTACCCTCACGAGGGTCATAATGGTTACCCTCACGAGGGTTACCCCCGCTAAGGTCACGTGACACCCTCCTGATGTCACGTGACACCCCCCCCTTGAGGTAACATGACCTCAGGAAGTCACCTATCGCTCAGTACCCTTCCCTCCTCCTCCTCAAGAGCTGCGCTCTAATCCGGCGTTACAGGGAATTGTGAACGGCTTTAATTTTTTTTAACACTTCCTCTTCGAAGACTGCATGAGATGATGAAAAGTGCCCCGTGATATGCATAAATGACGAGAAACACTTGAAAAGCGGACTAAGAAAAGGTATTGCTAGGTGCTTGGTTGAAACTGTTGAGGAAGAAAAGGTAGCAATATCGTTATCATATGAATTTCAAGACCGAGTTGCCACTTTAGTAATTTGCCGCCGTTTTCCTCCATCTTTTGATTTGGCTGTTGCAAATTCCTAAAACTTTCAGGCCCAGCTTTTACTGCTAAGACTGCGATCCAGCAAAGTATCAGCATTCCCAACTTATGGCTCGTTTTCATTACGCCGAAAGCCCCAAACGGTCTCTGGCACAAGCTCCGTATTCCACGTCGAATGCGGCAGTGTGTGTGCGATTGGCACGCGGAGGAGTCACTCACCCACGCCGATCACCTGCCCTCTGTTCAGGTCCTTAGACAGCTTCCGAGAATGGCCAGACGCTCGCCCCCGCTTCCTCCCTGCGTTGCTTACACTGGTGACGCCCTTCCACAGCTGTTCCGCCGTCACTGCGAGGAAAAAGAAAAGGGAGTGATGCAACATAAAAAGACAATTGAAATTATCACTCCTAACCATTTCATGCATGATAAGAACTTAAAAATAAAAATCGCAGCCATTTCTTTTCTTCTTAGATATTGAGAGAAAGAAAGAGATGAGACTGAGCGGAGACATTGAAGCACCGAGCTCTGACTGGAAAGATCAGAGGGAGGACGCAAAGCTAGCTGTCTTTGCCTCTACTCACTGTCCAAATGCATTCGAACACCGGAGTCTGGGGCTTTAGAGTTCGCTACTGCCCCTTTGGTGCCGACACTCTACCAGTGCCTGCGTTCAGAATTTTGTTTTTCCTTTCCAATTAATTATTATTTCTTCTTAATTATATGCCCTTTTGTACAGATTGTCCTCTGGAGGACGTGTTACACATTGCATAACAATTTCAGTGGCGTTCCATCCCACTCTCTTCAAGGATCCCAGTCCTCGAGCACATTCTGTGTTAAAACGACGTTTGAGGGGTTTATATGACACACCAAGGAAGAGCATCTGGCATGTCACAGCGAAGGACTGAGAGCTAATTGAAGCCACATCGACGTCTTTCGATATGGATTTGAAAGCTCAATTAGACTGCACCTTCTTTGCAACGAACCACCACAGAATCGAAATCTGTGGGTGGGAGCTTTGCTTCGAAGCTACCGAAGTGTCTGAAGGTAGTGCTTTGTGCCGTGAGAACAACCGGGGTGTATAGAACCTTCCAGTTCCTGTGGAAACTATTTTTATCATGTGCTACATATTTTCGTAGAATAGAAAAGTTTGAGTACCTACCAGTGTGCGTGGTAGTGGAGCCTATTAGAGGCACAACAGCATTACTACAACAGGTAGCATGTGTAGCACATAGCACACTTAACCCAATGTAGAAATACTTAAACTTGCTTTTGACATTTAGGGCAAATAATGTGCGTGCATAGCTTCGACCGCGCTGCCCCAAAAAGATGACTGTCTGCTCGTGACCTCCCTGCATGGCTGCGTTGCGAGTGTGCATGATGTGTAGACTCGTGGCTAAAGTAAGCACTGCAGAAAAAAGCCACCACTCCCTGCAGCGAGCAAAGCTTGTAGCTGCTTGTACCTCGGTTGCACACCCAATTCCAGCCGGCACTCGTGCCAATACTTTCTACGGGTACCGTTTAGGTGTCAGCACTTGGGTGTCTCCAGAAATGCCTCCAAACACTGTGCTGTGATAGCGTCCTGACGATCGCAAAAGTATGCATCGCTCGAAAAAATGGTTCTGATACATTCCGGCACCCGGTGCCTGGACTCTTCCAGTGGAGAAATGAGGCACAACTCACGTTTCACGAAGAAGCTGGTGCCCCGAATGCATTCAGCGGTGTTTATGGGCTCCAGTGGTCGCAGCAGGACGCCCGATGCCTTCGCTTGCGTCAGACAGGTCGCTGAAAACATTTGAATTCCCGTTACGCTTGCAGAATCGAGGAGAGCACAAATCGAAAACATTCGCACGCGGACGATGCTATTCGACGCCGGGCGATGCGGTCTATAGACGTGGCAACTAACGCCTTCCCAGTTGAAGGTACATAGTGATTGTGAGGGTACGGATCTGACACATACGCTGTACAGAAATCGTAACGTGAACACTGAACGTGGAAAGAGAAATCACCTGATTTACAGTGAAGAGAGAGCCCACTGAAAAGCCGCACGAGGCCCGCCATCTTCTTGTAGTTACAAATGAATAGATAAGTAAATTGGATGGCGGCGGACCGGACCCCGGATGGCGGACCGCATCATCTAGCCACTTATAACAAAGATTACTAACAAAGAAGAAAATATAAGGACACTAACAAGCTAGTTTCGTTTAAAATAATTAAAAATACACAAGATTACGGAGAAATAAAAATACAACACACATTTACCTTGCCATCTATGCACTTTAGCCACTTTAGCCGCCAGGAGGTCAAAAATCAACTTTCGTTTCCGGTAGCGACATGTTGCGGTTGTGTTGTCTGCTGTGAATTTCGCGTTGTTTTTTAAGCTTTCGTTGTTTCGTAAACATATCGTTAACGTTGAATACTACAAGTCCGCTTCTGGAAATGTAACGTTTTAGACATCGCGTGCCAGCTTTAAAAACCCATAACATGGCTGCCGTTTACCTGAAATCGCTATTTGAGTCTGTGTATCGGCGCCGGTTCTTCAGGCTGGGGGTCCCGTTCATGGTAAGGTCGCGGCAATTTTTAAGACTCCTTTGATTTGATATCTTACAAAACGCTTTAATTGCTCCACAGATATTCGTAGTCGGCGGATCATTCGGACTCAAACACTTCACGTCGCTTCGGTACGAGTTTAGGGCCACCAAGGTGAGCGAACTCTGGGCATGTTTCTTTTTGCAGCAACACAACTCAAACACGCCGTTTTGCCAAGTGTCGCTTATCCTTATCCCCTTACCCACAGATCACACAAGAAGACGCAGAAAAAGAAGGAATCAAAATGAAGGCTCCTGGAGAGGTCACTACAGAATCGGTCTACGAGGTAAGGAGGAATTAATTGATACCAACAACCATGGACCTTTTACGGTGATGCACAAACAGAGAGGTCATCATTGAACATGTCAACAAGCTCAAACGATTTGTCAAGATGATTATAAAGATGTTCTGAATGCGAACTAGCGGGAATAAACAAGACATGGGGCATAGCATGGGGTTAATGGCGAATGTGTGATCGTAGCGAAAATGTCTCCAAGATATCACGAGGTTTTCACGGGCGCATGCTCTAAAGCAGGGTTTGGAGACCTCTGGAGGCATCGCGACACGGACTACGAAGATATCAGAAAGAATTAGAAAAAACTGCATCAAAACGCGGGATCTCTCGCCACAGCATTGTACGTTGTCATCCCCAGCAGTGCTATTCGTAGTTCTCTGCTTTATGTTTAACTACGATACAGTTCCTTGGCGTTCTCACAAATATCGGGCTTAGTGTCTTGTGTCTTTTGCCCTGTGTGAACATGCCAAAGGTCCTGTGCGCTTTGATTTATGTCTGATGAGTTCAACATTTAAAAATAATATATGTATTCACCCATCTTACATTTCTTTTTGGAATTTTTGCCTTGGCTTAATTTTCTGTATTTAAAGGCTGATTTGGGTTGTAGACGTTTTTCTTTTCATTTCGTTCTCAGCCACGTGGGTAAAAACTAATAAGACGTTTCAACCTGGAATGTGGGAGAAAATACAGGCGAGGCAAAACAAGAATATGTGGCAATCACGCATGTTTAGTGAACACCTTCTAGCGGCGTGGAGAGGTCACACCGATATGTTTTAACGCATACCAGAAGTGACGACATTCAAGAAGGCTGCGCCCTTACAAGTCCGGTCTCAGAGCGCCGCCCTCTTGCTCAGTGGAATACGCTTGGACGCGTCATAATCCGATTACGGAGCCTTGCTAAGGCGCCGTAATCGGATTATGGCCGCTGCGAAGCGCACCCCAGCCGAGCAGGGTGGCAGCGCCCTGAAGCCGGATTGTTTTAAATAGTACCGCGACCATCGAAACTGCACGGGTAATCAATCAGACACTGTCAGGGCCAAGGTTTTCATTTGTACGTGACACATGAGAGCCCACTTACCCAGAACACACTTTGCTGCTCGAAATTCGTTTTCTTTCCGCTGTAAACCGCCGATCGAGCCTCTGGTTGGTTTGAGCATTGGTTTGAGTCGCACTCACTCTTTTCTTCGTGGTCACGTGCCGTTTTCTATGGTTAAGAGTCTAGACACTATCACTAAATATAATCAAAGTCGTGGGTGATCGAAGGCACACACTGAATATTAAAAAAAATAAATATGATACCAATTTTTTTTGGTCAGCGTACCATATGTTTAGGAACCCCCTCCCCCTCGTTTTACGCCCTAAATTTTACACATGCAGAAAACAAGAGGAGGGTCAGGACATACGCCCCCCCCCCCCCCCCCCCCCCCCCCTTCTCTCTAAATCTGCCCCTGGGTACGGTTACCATCTGGTGCTACTTTTTCTTGAACCAACAATGGTGGGCGAAATATGCCTGCGGAATTTTCACCCGCTTCGTGACCCCATCGACAATCATGTCCACGGTGTTCGTTTCTGTGTAACCGCTAAATCTGCGAGTAAAAAAAAAAATAACGGGAGAAAGTAACAGCAAACGGGCACCGCGCGCGCGGACGTACGCGAGACAAAACGTGAGGTGACGCAAGGTGGCGTTCAGTGCGGTGCCCGGCTTGGCGCAGTTGGTCCTCGATGTTGCACCGACTTCGCGCTGCACGACCGAGGAGTGCCATGCACTGCCCTGATTTCAGGGCAGTTCCGGTGCGAGTTTGAATACGCCGCGCAAACCGGCGCGAGCGGCTTGTGGACACGTTAATTAAGTGGACTCCCTCCAGATGTCGCCACGGCCCCGGCAGATGGGCAGCCCTTTGTGCGCTCAAAGTGCACTCGAGTTTCGACGCGGTCCCTCCCGATTTACGACGATAACTTCGGACTCGACTCGCGTACAGCGTAAAACCTCAGCGTTCATTTCGCAAAAAAAAAAAAAAAAAAGTGAACTTTGGAGGGCGTTTTGAGCGTACGCGGTAGCTCTCTTTCTGGGACTACTGAAAACGGCTACGCGAACTTTGCGAAGGACAGATTTCGGGAATATTTTCCGGGTGCAAAATGTCGCGATTAGGGCAATATCCGACGTATTCGTTACCATGGGCTGATGGATATAGGGTGTTTTCGGTGACAAAACCTTCGTCCACCATTTTGTTGTCACGAGCTGTCGGCCCCGCGCTAGAAGTGAGTGTTCCGAAGATTCACACGACACCCTCAAATCGGTAGTGCACAAAAATGTATGGTTCCACGGGGTTTATTTTTCTCCGAATCGGGAGGTGTTTTTTCGCAGTCTAATTATCCCGCCGATTTTGTGTTTTTCGGTATTAATTTTTTTGAAAAAAGAGAAAAAGAATTGGGGAATAAAAGTTAAAACACGGCCAGGTAACATACGCGTGACCCGAATGCTTGGAAAACGACCCCGTACGGATAAGAGAAGGGAGTACACCGATCTCACTAGTGTTCCACGCTCAAAGACCCCACGATGCATGGCTCGAGATCGGTCTTTTTCGAAAGAAGAAGCAGCCTCGCTGACATTTCACAGCAAAGTAACGTTGTCTCACAGTGAGCCATGTGCGAGTCAACACAAAATAAAGCTGCTACACATCGCTTCACGAGCATGTGGTCCTGAACAGTGCTTGCACTGCACGAGCGCGCGTGCCAGGCAGGGACGCTCAAAGCTCGGAGCTCGCTCTTGCAGCTTCTGCTACGCTTAAATATTTTCTGCTCGTGAAACTATTCAAGAACAGCGCCAATTCGGCGTCTTTTGGTTTTCACCGATTTTGACAAAAAGGTTTGGGAGAGAGAAAAAAGGGGGGGGGGGGGTCAACACACGTCAAAAAACAAAAATTAGTTGTTGTTTTTTGCCGCAATCATAAACTACGCATCACGAAATATAAACTACTCATCATCAGTCAAAACTGAAAGGTGATTTTCGGAAAATTTTAATTGAAAACTGGGGCCCGTTTTTGGTAACCGGCGCCATTGAGTTTCGTGTGTTATCGACCGTTTTAGTGAAAGAAGGGAAGAGAGAAAAGGGGGAGAGGGTTTACAAGCGCTTTCCTCCTTTCTGGTTAGATAGGTACGAGCGGAAGGCCCGGATGAACGCCTTAAACGCGTGCTCCAAGTTCGCTTGTTTTCTTTGCGGTTTCCTCCATTGCTTGACTTCCAGATTTAATTAGAGCTAGCGCTTTCAACGAAGACAATCCCCTGGTCATAGGGATGCCGTTGTTCGATGATAAACTACACGAATAACAACCGAAAGTGCACAATATTATCGGAGAGGTAGGCGTTTGTTAAGCAATGATGTCAGACAGCGCCTGGTGCTGGTTTGCTACATTGTGAAACGAACGGAAGCGAAAATCATAAAAATAGAAGAGAGAAAGGTAAACAGAGAAAGATAGAGGGAGAAACCACACAAAACCAAAGTATAAAAGAATTTAAAAAAAAGAACTAACGAAAATGTTTCACTGGAGATTGTCATTGGCCATTGCTGTTCATCTATATACTCCCCTACAGCTTCTTCTGTAAGCGAGTAGCTGCTCGAAATTTCAGCAGAGTTTTCGTAGCTTTATACCCCTCAGCAGCAGAAATCCATGGACCAAGCAGAGTACGAATGCTTACGTCTTGTTCATTTTGTAGCTTCAGGTCTGTCTACATAAGCTCCCCTTCACGGCCGTAGTCCTTGCATTCGCACATGTTCGATGTTATGTGCTACTCCGCACGAAGCACATTCAGACGACTCGGCTCTAGCGATTTTATCAAGGTAGCTGTTGGTGTATGCCACATTTAGTCTCAAGCGATGTCGGACCGTCTCGGCTGCCCTCGTGGTGCCCGAAATTTAAGTTTGGGATCGATATTGTAAAGATAGGAGTAATGATATCGAGGATTTCTACAGAGAGAAGACGATATTTCTTGGCCAATATCTCTAATCAAGTTATTTGCATGTGACCCAGACGATGGAATTGACACAGTATAATAGCGCTCTCATGAGCGTTTCGAGCGGCTCTGTCAGCGGTAACATTTCCGGTTATACCAGAGTGACCAGGAATCCACTGTAATAAACTGGAGCCTTTTGCATGAAGCTGTTGGCGAGCTGCCTCCAGAATATCATGTGCGAGTTGCAAGTTCGGGCTACATTTCTTCATCGTAGAGAGGGTATGTAGAGCAGATTTAGAGTTTACAAAGATAGTCCTCAAACTAGGACTCTCGGCTCCCACGTGAGCAACAGCTGCTCGAATTGCTGCGAGTTCCGACGCTGTTGACGACGGAACGTGGCTCAACCTTTCTTGTATGCATGCGTCCTGAGACGGAATGTAGGGGTTGATGATGCTTACATTGTTGACCCGTTGATGAAGACATGTCCAAATGAAGCATAAGTTCGGCTCCAGCACTGTCTGCGTAATCACGGGGGCGGGCATTGTTTTCTTCGAAGCGATTCCCGGAATACTCGTTCTGATTTCTAAGTGGTGGTATACCTCCATGGTGGATAGCTTGGAATTACCGCAGCTTTAAAAGAAGCGGGGATGTAATCCTCCAAGAGTGTGATAACTTGTGCAAAGCCAGATGATGGTCTCTCTGTTGCAATATTTGTGAGCTGATGCTTATATGTACGATATTTGTGACGAAGATGATCGTTCTTAACGTTTCTTGCGTTCTTAAAACGGCTGGTGAAATCGCTTGTGCTTCCGCACGAGATCCCAAATTAGAAGTGCCTTTTGGCAGCCCTAAATATGTGCGAAGAGCTTGTGCTTGAATACTTTCGAGTTCTTTTAGAAGAGTACGTGAGATGTTATGCATAACAGGCAGGCTGTAGCGCAGAAGTTCGAGAAATAAGGTATTATAAAGGGCAAGGTGTGCGGAGACAGAGCATCCCCATTTGGTTCCATTAATCATCCTGATTATATTGATGAAAGAAG